AGAAGAGAAAGAGAAAGAGAAAGAGAAGCGAAAGAGAAAGAGAAAGCGAAAGTGAAAGCGAAAGCGAAAGCGAAAACGCAAAGGGACGGGTGGTGGCGTGCATGTGGCTCAGGAGTGCTGAAGGAGGAGCTGGGCATGGGGTAGAAGTGGGGCGTCCATTTGCCGGCGAGATGGTTCTCCTTCAGATAGGCGTAGCAGCACAGCACCACCCCACCGCCGCTCTCCAGGTGCTCATACAGCACGTCACCCATCACAACCTTGTTCTGCACACACGACACACACGACACACACGACACACACACGACACGACACGACACGACACGACACGACCAACGACACGACCAACGACACGACCAACGACACGACACGACACGACCTCTTCATCAAAATTGTGGTGAGCCAATGTTGCACAAAAGTGAGAGTTGGAACCTGTTTAGAAGGAGCGGTTGCGTGAAAGAGCAGGATGGCGCTGAAGTCCTTGGCCACATCGGGCGTAAAGGGTACGCACTTGAAGCCACCGTTGTCCAACTCGCTGCACGCCTTGGGGCTGGCCGCTTTTGGGACCACACCGCCCACAGAGTAAGGAACACGAAATCAGAAGACCCACATGAGCGAAGAATTACATGTGAACAAGACAAGCATCAAAAAAGAAGGGTGCAGGGCGCACCCTGGCAATCAGGATGACATATGCGTGTGTAGTTGATGTTCTGACTCTTGAGTTGCTTGCATAGATTGATGTCGTATCTGTACGAAACATACCAACCACAAGCGAGCGCCCCCAGCGGTTACAAACAGGCCCACTCACGCGTGCCACGATCAGCGTAAAAGATGAATGGAGATGGCACCTGCTGCTTCCGTGAGCGCCATGGTGCGCCAGCACCAGCACCTTGAACGTCTGTGCATGTGCGAAATTGTGTGCGGTTAGGCGCAAGTGGAGTGGGCAAAGTGTGCGGCTGAGGCGTGTGGCGGGCGTACGAAGCGGCGGATGTACTCGCGCTTCCAGTCGATGGTGTGAGAGTGGCCGATGGCCTCGCCCACGGTCATCCCCGCGTCGAGGAGCCACAAGCGCTCCCACGACTGCCCTCGTGCCTGCGCGTCGTCCTCCCTCTCCCCGACCTCTTCATCGTCAGCTGCCGCGGCCATCAGCGTCGTAGTGTCCTCTTCACCCGCATTCGCGGCCAACTGGGAGTTGAGCCAGCCAAGACGGATTCAACGATTAGAATTGAATTAAAAAGTAAAATCGAATTTGGGGGGGGGGTGATGTACGAGAATGCGGTGGTAGAAGGAGGACCAAAGGAGGGGATTGTTGGAGAGGGCGTAGGCTTGCCTACACGTGGGCGCGAATGACGTACACACATCGCGAGGCGTCAGGTACTCGAGCACCATGATGCCCAGCTCTACCGGCAACATGTGAAACAGTAGAGCCTGCGACTCCATCTCGCCCCCACGAATACGAATGATTTTAAACCGTTTGAATGATGATTTGAACAGTTTGAATGGAGGCGTTGGCAAATGCAGGCAAAACGGATTACGCTTGCCTTATTTTAATTTATAAATGTTAAAAAAAAAAAAGATGGTACAAAAAGGTGTGGCTGCCTCACGGGCGAAAGATGAGGTGTGGCCTCTGCTGAGCCACGGTGAGGATGAACTCGCCAAAGAGCGAATTGGCCCAGGCGAACCAGGCTCGCGTGAATGTGCTGGCATCATCCTGGACATTGGAGGAACGCGCACAGGTGGTCAAATAGGGTATGCGACCCCACATGACGCTTTGTGATGACGCGTACCTTCCAAAAGCTCTCGTGCATGAAACCGGTGCCTGCAGTGGTCGTCTTGAGCATCTCCAGGCAATCCTTGATCTCGTCGTCACTCGTGCTTGTGAGTCCCTTGACAAGGCGCAAGAAATGAAGTGAGCAACACACCGCGCCACGCACGACACGCACGCCAATGTTCGCGTTTTGACATCAAACACACTCTGGCCTACCCGCATGATGATGGACATGGGCCAAATGTAACCGCGCCCAATGTGCGGTCCACCAATGCCTGCACAAAATGAGCGTGGGTGGTGAGCACACACCACCGCATGCACGACCAACAATACGACACACACACTACACACACGACACCACACACGACACCACACAACACACACACAATTTTCGCACCTCCGGCCAGGGGTCCGAGGGAAGAGGTGAAGTAGTAGGGGTTATCGGTTGACAGCACGAAGCGGCGCGTGTTTTGGTAGATGGGATCGGAGGCCGAGCAGAAGCCCAAGTAGGGAAGCGACAGCAGCGAGGGCACGTTGGCGTCGTCCATCAGGTACGCATTCCCGAAACCGTCCACCTGCACATCATCAAGAGCACCCAACGGAATGAGCCACACACGACACGACACGACACGACACGACACGACACGACCAACGACACGACACGACACGACACACGCGCAATCTCGCGACCACTGTGCAGAGCGTATATACCTCATAGGCAAACATTTTGCCGTACGTGGGGTGGCTCACGACTCCGTGCGTGTAGATGGCCGTGTTGATCTCGGCGCTCAGCTTCTGCGCTCTGTCCGCGAGCTCGGGCGCGACTGATCCATTCAACACCACGTCAGCATAAGCCGGCAATGAGTGGCCCTGCCAAAGAGGCTGAGACGAGGAGAGAAGTGAACTGGTACCGTTCAGCGAGCGCAGCATCGACGACAGGTCCCGCAGAGACACCACGGCCATCGCATTGGCCGCAATCTTCAAAAATTACGAAAAAATAAAATCAATTACAAGCCAAGTAAAAGCTTGGACATGGTCGTGCAACGCCGACGAGGAGGAGGAGCGAGGTACCGGGAAGAGGTAAGTGGAAGCGTCGTCCGACGGCCGGAACGGACTCTTGCTCATGCCAGTCCTACGCGCCGGGGCACCCTTGCCATGCATGAGGGTATCGGTTGGCTGCTGCGTGGTCCGCTGGAAGAAGTAACGAGGCGGCGACGGCTCTTCGTCCGATCCCTGTTAGAGGACAAGAAAGACGAATGAACCAATTTTCATTGTATTTAAGTATAGTATAATTAATAATAGTAATAATAATATTATTACTATTATTAATTATACTATCTTCTTATAGTATAATTAATAATAGTAATAATATTATTATCTTCAAGATTTCTTTACCTCCTGCATTTCGGTGATGATGGTCACGATGGTGCCCATGGCCTTGAGCCACTCAGCGTTGAACGGCGTTGCGTCCTTTGTGAGGTTATAGTACTGCGTGGAGAGCTTCATCACTGCGCAAGCACGACGCGCACCACCGCACACGCACGCACACACGATGAGTGACTTCGCGAGTAGAAACAACAGTTCACTCTTCTTTGTTTGGGGGACGGTACCAGCGCAGAGGGAATCGAGCTCGTACTTGCGCTCGTGCAGGTAGAGGGTCATGGCGTCCAGGGTGGTGCCGAGAAAGCCTGATGAAACGCAGCCGCGTCAATCACACGACACATACACGACACACACGACACAACGACACAACGACACACACACACACACACACACGACCGCAACAAGCAGCTTTGGAGTGGTTTCATTCTCATACCGGGCTTGGTGGTCGAGTCGGACATCCAGGGGGAGGGCATGGAGAGGTCGTGGTTGAACGCGTTCGCGTAGGCGTCCAAGAGCACCGAAAAGGTCTGCATAACCTCACGTCTTTTTGATTAACGAATTAATTCTTATCCACCACACGCATGCGCGCACACGCACCTGTCTGCTGATGACGCCGTGGAGCATGTCCCTGATCCCCGCGTCCTGGCCCACAAAGTTCAGATAGGGCAGCACCTGCACAATAAAATACGATAATATAAAAACGGTCGAATGAGCGAGCATCGCCTCAGGCTGCAACATGACGCGGTGGGTTGGTGGAGGGAAATGTGTGGAATGTGGAGCACGGGCTTGAAGAAAACCCCAAAATATGGAGGGGTCGTCTCGGGAGAGGCCCGTGCGCCCCAGGCGGTCAAGCCTGGCTGACCAATCAATCAATCTAGGAATGCACACTGCGGCGAGAAGCAATTCTACGCTCTTCCGCCGATGTGACGCATTCCACTTCGGTGGGAGCCCAAGAAGGGAGAGGAATGGTGTATGCATGTATAGTGGTAGGCGTAGTAGTGGTTGTGGAATGCGTCACCTGATTGGTTGAGTCTCGCAGCCACATGGCGTCAATGTCGCCCGTGACCACGAACGTATCAATCCTGGCAATAGAGAGTCAGTTTACACACCGCACACACCGCACACACCGCAAACACCGCACACACCGCACACACCGCACACACCGCACACACCGCACACACCGCACACACCGCACACACCGCACACACCGCACACACCGCACACACCGCACACACCGCACACGCAGGGTTGGATGGAAGCGAGTGGAGTACTTCTTGGTGATGGTGGACGAGTCGTTGGTGAAGAACACGGTGGTGTCCAGCGTGTTGGGCAAGCAGTTCGAGAACAGGGTCGCCAGGTCCTTGTCCACCTGAACCCGCCGTCGTGGTACCACGGAAACTCAAAATTAAATAACTAATAATTAAAGTAATAAAATGAAAGTGAGAATTACCATTCGCTGGCTGAAGTCGGCGATGGTCTTGTCCACCGCAGGACTGACGAAGTGCCGCTGGTCCGCGGGCGGACGTCCCGCTGGCAGCGCAGCGCCCTGCTTCGGTGCGGCCACCATCGTGGGCCGCCCGCCCACCAGCGCATTGACCGCGTCCTTCCGCGCCGCCTCTGCCACGCGATCAATTATTTTGATTAATTGATTATTATTTTGATGGTAAATAATTTTTCCTTTATAAGGAAAACAGGGACGAGGGAGTGTACCGAGGTCCATGGTGAATCCGGCCGACACAGCTGCAACCGAGGCGTGAAGGAAAATGGCCAGCAGCACGACAACGCACAAGCTTGTGGTGCTCCACGTTCTTTTGTCCATTGCTGAGGGAAACGCTGAAAGAAAAAAAGCTGAAAGAAAAAAGAAAATCATGTTTTTTTATTAAAATTATTTATTTCGGTCCAGAACCCAGAACAGTTCAGGAAAGGCGTGGCACCTCCCCCTAGGCATGCCTTGAGTGAATGAGTGCAAGCAGCAGCTCAACTTTAGGCACACAGCGACGACGAGACAGCGCATCAAGTACGGGCAATGGAATCGATTAACGAACGGGCGAGCAACCACCTCCATTTTCTAGGCGACGCCCTGCACGCCCAGTCCGTCCGCCACTTTTTCTTCGTCGACCTCGAGAGGTACCTCCTTCTCCACCACCACCCCCCCCCCTTTGCACGCCACGAGTCGTAAATCTGTTTTGTTTTTTATTTTTGTATTTTATTTTTGTTTTAATACTTTTATTTACGTTTTATAATGATTTATTTGTGCGTGATATTGTCGCTGGTCCAGTGTGGGAGGGGTGGTGCACCCGGAGCTGTACCGTCTGCTCTACGGGCGCGTGAGTGCCGCCCATGAGCCACCCGCGGCCATACTGCTCTTCCGCCGCAGCCACCACCACCGCGGCAACAACAACAACACGAAGGCGACGATGAAGGAGAAGAAGCCAAAGGCCGAGATGAACAAAGAGAAAGAGAAAGAGAAGCAAAAGACTGCAACCAAGCGATTCGAGGAGCGCTGCGGCAACTGCAAGAAGGCCATCACCACCAACATCTACTTCGACACCAACAACAGCAATCATAGAAATCACAACAGCGGCGAGACGCCGACCGCGGCCGACCAGCGGCGGATCTGGGTGCACGCCGCCGCGTCGCCCGCGCACATGATCTCCTTTGCTGCGGCGTTCCTGGTCGAGCGAGCGCTGGCGCTCCCGGGCGGCGACAACGTCAACGACCCAAACGCCAACGCGGCGCCGGCGGCGGTCAATGTCTACCTGGTGTCGAACGACGACGCCGCCACGAAGCAGCTCGCGCGGCAGCTCAAGGCCCGCGAGCGCTTGGCCCAGGCCGTCGCCGACATCGGCAGAGAGACTGCGAAGGAGGAGCGCAGCGACGACTACAACGACGACGACGGCGACGACGCCGAGCGGGTGCGGTTTCATCGGCTCCGAGTCGACCGCGCGGGCGTGTGGGCCAAGCCGAGGAGCATCGAGTGCCTGCGCGAGGCCGGCCTGCTGGCCCACGCCCGGGTGGCCGCCGACAGCGACGGCGTAGAGAAGGCACGGCCCGGGTGGGAGGTGGTCAACCCGTTCGCTTTCTTCGCTCTTCAACCAAAGGATGTAGCCGAGCGGCGGGCGACGACCGCGACGACGGAGGTGGAGGGAAGGTGGAAGGAGAAGGACATCGACGCGGTGGTGCGGCGGGCCAAGTACCACCTATGGGCCGAGCACGAGCGTGGGATCGTGCTGCCGCGCACCCTGCACGACCTGCGCAAGAAGGTGCGCCAGCTGTGCGTTCTGGAGAAGCGGCTCGACCCGCGCGCGGTGCTGGTGCTGCTCGAGCGGTCGCGCCTTATCGACGTCTGCCCCATCTGCCACGACTTTGACTACTCGTTCGATCGCTACAACGCCGCGCGGAGCGAGTCGAAGAAGAAAAGAGCGAAGCCGACCACCGCTGGCACGACGGGAAAGAACGAAGGCGGCGAAACAACGACAAAGAGCGAAAGCGAAAGCGACGCCGCGCGAGCCCAGAGAAAGAAAAAGAAGAAGAGTGCGATGGATCGGCACAGCAAGGAGGAGCGGATCAAGCGGGTCGCCAAGGCAGTCACGCTGAAGCTGCTCAAGGCCAAGCGCGAGGACCGGCCCAAGGGGCGTCAGGCCCTGCTAGACCACATCGACGCCGGCCACGCCGCCTACAAGACCCGGCTCGACGCCGAGCTCGTACTGGCCCGGCTCACCGTCTGCGGCTTCGTGTCGACACCGAACCGCGCCACCGGCGCAGAGAGCCGGCAAAGCGGGGCGGCCGCGGCGCTCGGCCGGGAGGACATCAGCGTCGAGTACGACCTGGGCGCGCTCGGCGATGACGAGCGGCAGTGGAGCGCTGACGAGGCCGCGGCCCAGCAGGCGCGCAAGGCCGCAGCCGAGGCCGAAGCCGAAGCTTCGTTGATGGCCGATGGGCGATCGGAGCGGAATGCGGGGGAGCAGGAGGAAGAGGAGGTGGTACCCTACGCCCCGGCCTGGACGTGGGCGGATGGCGACGAGGCGGCGTCGGAGGACCAGCTGACGGCGCAGCGGCGGCTGATCGGGCTGGCGGCCGGCCGACGCCCGGGCAAGGGCGACAAGGGCGGCGCAGAGCAGGGCGGCGGCGTGGGCACGTACATGGCCTACCTGGCCGAGCAGCTGCGGGTGCCGGGGCGCTCGGCCGACTCGATCGGGGACATCGACTCGTGTGGGCTCAGCGACGAAGTGCTGCGGGGCTTCTACAGCTACGGCTTCGAGAAGCCGACAGTCCTCCAACGCAAAGGCATCGCCAACATCATGGCCAAGCGGTACGGGAAATAATTATTTATTATTATAATTATCCATTCGAATTATTTATTATTCCTCTTTTATTCTTTTATTTGTTTTATTTTAACTGGTTTTTTGCTCATTATTTGTTTATTTGTTTTAATTGTCGCACCAGGGACACGATTCTACTCGGGTGTAGCGGTTCGGGCAAGACCGCGGCCTACGTCGTGCCGTTGCTCCAGTCCCTCGATCGTCACCTCTACTCGCCCCAGGCCATCGTCCTGGTACAATTACTAATTTTTCTCGAACGTGTGCGTGTTGCGTGTTGCGTGTGCCGTGTGCGTGTGCGGTGTTGCACACGACTGAATGACGTTAATTCTTTGTTTGTGCGCCACAGGCCCCGACTCGTCCGCTGGCCCAGCAGATCGAGAAGGTCATCTCGTCCCTCGGAGAATACGTCGGCGTGCAATGTGCCCTGGTGTGCGGCGGTGGCTCGGTAAGCCAATGCATACAAGCACTCACACGTACGCGCTTGGTGTGTGTGTGTGCGTGTGGCGTGGCGTGTGCGGCGTGTGCAGTGCGCGCGTGCGATCTCACAGAACAGTGATTGTGGTGTATGTGCGTATTGGCCAGGGTGTCATGTGGTGGTGGCGACCGCCGGCAGGCTCTACGACATGATAAAGCGGAAGGCGCTGGAACTCAATCACGTGCAGCTCTTTGTCATTGACGAGATCGACGACATGCTCTCCACCACCAAGAAAGACCAGCTCTACGATGCATGTCCCCTTAACCACGACACACACCACACACGAATCGCTCACGAGGCCACACACACACACAACACACACACCACACACACACACAACACACACACCACAGATCGTCAAGGAGATGCCGTCAACGGTGCAGGTGGTCACGGTGGACACGGTGCTGAGCGAGGAGGCCTTCTCGACGCACCTGCGCTTCATGCGCGACCCGATGGCCATCGCCACCGACAGCTCGCACGGCGCCGGCGTGTTTCCGCCGGGCGTGGACCAGTACACGGTCGAGGTCGAGGCCGAGGAGCACAAGCTGGCCACCCTGCTCGACCTGCTGGGCGGCTCGCCGGCCGAGACCCGCAGCGACACGTTGCAGCCGCGCAGCGAGGCCCGCGGCCGCGGGAACTGGGACGAGGCCCGGTGGAGCGAGGCCGGCGATGCGACAGCGGCGGTGGTAGTGGAGTCGCCCCGAAGCGAGCCGGACGCCGGCGACGGGGGCGTGAGTGCGACCCGGTCGCGGCCGCCGCCGCCGCCGCCGCCGCGGGAGATCGAAGGTATGGCGCAGATGGTGATCTTCTGCAACTCCAAGCGGAAGGTCGACTGGCTCACCGATCGGATGCTGGCCAGCAACTTCCCGTACGCTCACCTCTCCGCTCTCGCTAACGATTGCCTCGAGGCGTGTTCACTGACACGACACGACACGACACGACACGACACGACACGACACGACACGACACGACACGACACGCACCACACGCGTAACACGACACACGCACGTTTGGTAGTGTGCTGGCGATTCATGAGGACATGGACCCGACGTCGGTGCAAACGGGGCTTAGCTCGTTCAGGGCAGGCTCGCACCGCGTCCTCATCACCACCGACTCGCTCTCCTTCGGTACGCACCACTCTCCCCTCTCGCTTGCTCGCCTTCGTCCCACTGACACGACACACGCGCCGCACACGCACCACACACGCACGCACCGCACCGCACACGCACACGCACACGCAGGGCTCGACGTGCACCAGCTGAACCTGGTGGTCAACTACGACGTGCCCAAGTCGGCGCCGGGCATGGTGCGGCGCGTGGGCCGGGCAGGTCGGTTCATGCGCAAGGGCGCCGCCATCACCCTCCTGGCCGGCCCCGATGACCGCCGGCTGCTGGAGGCCCTCCAGGCCGCCATCCCCTTCCACGCCCCGCCTCTTCCCGCCTCTCTTGTTCTCCCGTGAAGTGGAAAGCCCATTAAAAAGCAGGTCAATCGAAATGATGGCCGAACTGTTATTGAGAGCCCTCAACGAAGAGGATTCGGTCAGTCCATGTGCTCGTAGTCGGAGTGGATGTCGGCCATCTCCTCGAAGTCGCCGTAGACCGACCCGCCGGCGGCGCCCTGGCCGTAGGTGTCGCCGCCACCGCCGTCGTCATCCTCGTCGTCGGCGTCAAACTCTCGATCGCTCGCGTAGTCGTACGTGTAGTAGTCGTCCAGCACCTCCCCCGACGGCCCATACCTGCGGCCCCGCCAGACCAGTCGTCAATCAGCACATGCGTGCGGTGTGTGCGGTGCGCGCGTGCGGTGTGTGCGTGTGCGGTGTGTGCGTGTGCGGTCGCATTTGTTTGTTTGCTTACCTGAGATTGGCCCCGTCTTGGCGTCCTCCTCGCCGCCGTCGCCTTCGCTGGTTCTCCTCATCGCCGTCGTCGTCACTGTCGTCCCGCCCGTAGATGTCATCTTCCCCACCGTCCTCCTCCCCTTCGTTCTTGCCCTTCCCCTTCTTCGACTGCTTGCCTCCTCCTACATTTTTTACAATAAAAACATATTAAATTGATTGGACAAATAACAAAAAAGGTAAAGAATAATCAGATTCACAAATGATTTAATTAATAAAAATAAAAATAATATGAATAAATAAATAAATAACAAAATAAATGGTACCAGAGCCGAAAATGCTGAAGGTGTCGTCTTCGTCGTCTTCATCGCCGAGCTCGTGCTTGTTGACGATGCCGTAGCCGTCCTCCTCGTCTTCGTCGCCCAGGAACCCGCCCGCCTTCCCGCCGCCGCCCGGCTTCCACTCGTCGCTCTCGAGCGCGCCGTTGGCCTTGTCGAATCGCGTGCACTGCTTGGTGAGCTTCTCCTGCTGCTTGCGGAAGTTGATCGTCTCCAGCAGGTTGTCGTACGACGAGATCACCCCGCGGATGTGGTTCTTGCAGTTCTCAAAGTAGATGTCAAAGTTGGCTCGCGCCTGCGCACACGAGACACACACGACACGCACACGACACGCACGACACGCACGACACGCACGACACGCACGACACGCGCGTGAGTAAAAATAAGATGAGAGAGGCGGTGGGAGAAGGAGCGGGCGGCGTACGTTGATGTTGTAGGAGTAGGTGATCCCGTTGTAGACGAACGTCACGCCCGGCACCGGAGCCGTCAGCTCGTTCAGAATTCGCTCCGTTCCTGAATTCCACCATCTCGTGAGACACGACACGCACGACACACACGACACGCACGACACACACGACACACGTGCGAATGAGGTACCGAGCTCGTTACAGGAGGTGATGAGCTTCTCGACGTTCTCCATCATGACCTCCCACATGCGGTTGGCGATCTTCATGAAGAGCTCGTCGGGGAACTTCTGGAGCTCCTCCATCTCCTCGCGCCGGCTCTCCACCTTCTCCTTCTGCGCCTCGCGCTCGCGCTCGGCCTTGAGCTTCTGCTCGACGTCGCGCATGAACCGCAGCACCTCGCGCTTCTCCCGCTTCACCCGCGCCACCACCTGGTAGAACGCAAAGGCCAGCCCGAGCAGCAGGCACCGCAGGAACAGCATGAATATGGTCCGCGGGCTGATGAAGGCGCTCACCCGGTCGGCCAGCCCGACCATGCCCTTCTCCCCCATCGCCAGCCCGCCGTCCATCAGCCGCCCCACCGTCAGCGGCCGCTGCGACTGCGCTTCGATGTCGAAGAGGCCGCCCAGGCCGCGGTCGGGCCGCAGCGATGATGGGTGGTCGGCGGCGGAGGCGGCGGTGGCGGCGGCGGCGGTGCGGATGTAGGAGCGGGTCCAGAGGGCGGAGGTGAGGTAGCGCCGGAGGGAGTGGACGCCGCGGTAGTAGCGGGTGACGAGGCCGTGGAAGCGGGTCTTGCGGCCCCAGTAGAGCAGGCACGCGCCGGTGAAGAACAGCATCGAACAGAAGAGCGTCGCCTTCCACCACCACAGCAGGAAACGCAGGGCCTGGCACCCAAAGCGAAGATTATTAATTAATTACTACTTATTAATGCACGCACACGCACACGCACACGCACACGCACCACCGCACACCACCGCACACGCACACGCAAGCAATAGAGGTGAGAAATGAGTACCATGCGCAGGATGCGCTTGTATGATCGGCTCTTTTCCAGTTCTTTTCGTTTGCTTTCATAGTCCTTGCCCTCCTCTTTCAACCTCATCTCCACCCTGGAAGCACACAAAGCACACGACACACGCACACACGACACACACGCACACACGACACACGACACACACGACACACACACGCACACAAAGCACACGACACGACACGCGTGTGGGATGGAGAACGTTGAGACATCAGAACAAACGACGAAATGAAAGCGCCCACGAGTGAGCACTGGAGCGAGCTGGCCCACGGAGAAGGGTATGCGTTACTTTTGGGTGGAGTATTTCTCGAGAAGCTGCGTTCGCGCTTCGAGCAGAGTGCTCCTGCAACGGTGACGCACGGGTGAGCTCGTGTGTAGGCCTGATTCGTGTCGCGCCGGCGTGTGGTGCGGTGTGCGGTGGTGTGTGTCGTGTGCGGTGGTGTGTGTCGTGTGTGTCGTGTGTGTCGTGTGTGTCGTGTGTGTCGTGTGTGTCGTGTGTGTCGTGTGTGTCGTGTGTGCCGTGTGTGTCGTGTGTGCCGTGTGTGCCGTGTGTGTCGTGTGTGCCGTGTGTGTCGTGTGTAGAACACGGCTACAAGGCTGTGTCTGGAACGAACCTGAGTTGGCCGAGGGAGGCGGTGAGTACGTTTTGGTTGTTCTCGTCCACCCCGCGCTTCAGCTGCTTCAGGCCCTGCAAGTCACGAAGGAAGACACCGCGTCGTTCTCGAGTTATAGGACCGTGCGCGTGCGATGGTGCGCGCGTGCGGGGTCATTCGCGGTGAGCGCGATGGTATGCGCCGCACCTTCTTGACTCGCTTCAGGTGCTTCTTCACGTTCTTGAGAAGAGGGAACACCTGAGCACCCGCCTTGAGCGAGTCGCCGAATTCAGAGTCCATCGCCTTGTCTCCCGCGTCCAGTTTCCTGCATCCATCGCACAGACAGCACAACAATAATTTATTGTTTGAAAAAAAGATTTCACATTATTTGTATGTTTTGTTTGAGTAATTGAGGTAACAAAGTAATTGATGTATCAATTGATTAAAATATGTAGATGAAGAGAAATAAATATAGAATTATTTGTGGAGGTGCAATAAATATAAAGCATTAATTGATTGGCGTACCAGTTCTTGGTGCTCCAGTGCACGAGGAGGCTGAGTCCGTGATCGACGGCTCGCATGAAGTTCTCCAGGTAGGCGTGCGGCAGGCCGTCCCCGTGAGGGTCTCCATTGCGCCCGCCCATCGTTCCATTTGCTCCCTCGCCTCCTTCCATCTCGCTCTCGGTCTCCTCTTCATAGAACTCGTCCTCATCCTCGTCCTCGTCCTCCTCTTCTTCTATTCCCTTGCCTCCATCCTCCTCTTCATCTGCGTCCATGTACCACATGGCTCACACCCAATCGCCCCAAATCTCAGGATTTATCTTTTTTTCTACTTGAATGCTCGTTTCCAGCGTGCAAATAGATCGATCGAGTCTATCTCCACGAGCCAAGGTGTGATGCTGAAAAGACAAGAGGTCGCCCACGTGTTGTTTGGTTGATCAATTGGGCGGATGGGCTGGGGTTGTGGTGTGGGCCGAAATCGGATTCGATTGTTGGGCTTTCCTGCGTGTCGTCGCCACAGTTTCCGGAGGAATGCACGGTATGCACGTGATTGCGTGCGTGTGCGGCCGCTCAGCCGAGCTGTTGAGCCTTGGCCTCGAACTGTCGCTTGAGTCGAAGGGCCTCATCGTAGAGCCCAATGTCGAGCCCGTCCACGTTGCGCGCCACGCGGGCCTCCAACACATACCCCTGCATGTGGCTGTTAGGTGCTATGGCACACACGCATCACACGCCACCGCACACACACGGCACTCGTTCGATACGTACGCCTGGCTGGTCCTCCTGGCGTCGCAGCTCGCCGATGACCTGGAAGAGGGAGTGGGTGGCGAGGGGCATGGCTTCCAGCAGCCGTGTGTCCACCGTGAGCCGGTGCGTGCGTCCGTGCGGCGACTCGAGCACCACCCGGTTCGAGGGAATGTCGAACTCGACCACTCTGTTCTCCCCCCCCGCGCGCGTCGCCACACATGTTAGGGCTTGGCCAGCGGAAAGCGCCGAAGCTGGCTCTTTGTGCGGGGGGGGGGGCTCGCACGCACTTGCCGAGAACCCGGACGCTTTGGCCGTTCAGATCTTTTGTAGCAAGGATTTCTTCGATGTGCTTGATCTGCCCGAATTGCAACGGCACCGGCCGCCCTCCATCCTCCTCCATCTTGTCCATCTTTCGATTCTTTCTAGATTTTCAGCTATTTCCAAGAAACACACCAATTGATTATTTTATTTTATTTTGTTTTGTTTTTGTTGGCGCGCTACACGCTGCCTACTCCTCGAGATCCTTGGGCGCCTTGGGCTCGAGGTCCTCGCCGTACTGGATGGCGTTGTCGATGTGAGCCAACAGCACCTCGATGCTGTCCTCGTCCTTGATGTTGAGCGGAATGAACGACACCATCGGGTCGTTCTCCAGCTGTTGATGAAAGCGATGCGAGTGAGTGGCACACCACGTTAGTACAGGCATCTCTTCTAGAAGCAAGAAGAAGCAAGAAGCGAGAGGTGTACCAGGGATCCGATGGCGGCGTTGAGCTTGTAGAACTTCTTTCCCATGTCTCTGTTGAGCTCCTCTGTGAGCTGGGGGAGGTCGGGATCGAAGAACCTGAGTGCAAGGACGACGAGGATGATGATGATGTGAGTAGACATGCGACAGCAACCAACAAGAGAGGGCGGAGCGAAACTCACTTTTCCAGGTCGGTGTGCTTCTGCTTGCCGTGCGTGTTCTCGTAGACGTCCATCTTGGTGAGCACGTTGATGTGCGGCAGCTCCATTTGATACATGACGGAGAGGCACATCAGCATGCCGGAGATGAACTTGGCCGAGTCGGACATGAAGTTCGAGTCCAGCTGGACACGAGAAGAAAGAAGAATGAAGCCGTTGAGTGATGTAAAAATTCAAAACGGAGTCGCTTAAAAAGCACAGCGAACGAACCGTGTAGACGGCGCACACTTGGTAGCCCATCCGCTGCAGCTCCGAGGCGAATACTCGCATCACGGGGTAGTGCGTGAACAGCTCAATCTGGCCTGTGGTGTCGTTGCATATTCGTGTGTCGTGTGTCGTGTGTCGTGTTGTGAGCGTTCGGGATACAAGCTTTGCCGAAATGGAAGAGAGAAGAGGAAGTGGAAGAGAAGGAGGTACCAGGGCAATCGATGATGAGGTAGTCCTCCTCAAAGTCGCCGACCTCGTCCCGCAGCCAATCGAGGTTCTGGATGAGGTACTCCATGCAGAACACGAGGCCGCCGTTGGGTCCGTACTGCATGTCCTCCATGATCTCGTCCACCGTGATCAGCTCTCGTATATCTGCACGCACACGCACACGCACACGCACCACCGCACACGCATGCACACACGCACGAGCGACAAAAAGGTGATGAGGTTGTGTCCACCACTCGGTGGATCTAATGGCGGAGAAGAGATCGCATCTGATGCAATGGGTGGAAAAGTACCGACGGAGACGGGGTACTTGAAGACCTCGGCCGCAGGATCGAGATTCACGACGTGCACCGTTCGTCCAATGTTCTCGCAATGCTGCCGCACGATGTCGCAGTATGTGGACTATGTGGGCGAGGAGAGATTAAATCCAAGGCCAAAATTGAATTCATCAAGCTCTTCACAAGATGCAGCTTGTTCAAATGATGCATACGGAACCGGATGTGTGCAAAGGAATGTACCTTGCCACTGCCAGCGGGTCCCATCACAAGCTGTGCATGCTTGCCCATCGCTAGATGCTAATCAGATTGAGGAAAAACAACAAAATCAATTTAAACTGCAATAAATAAGAAAACGATCTGGATGCAGAGCAGCCGCAGGCGTCGCTGGCCGGATGTGCAGTTCTTCTTCCCGCCCGCTGTTGATGGTGGTGCACGAGACGAGGAGCAACCGGCGGATGCAACGACTCGACGTAGCGATTGCAAAGATGAGGAAGAAGATGAAAGATTCGACATACTGAGCGCTCTGCCAGAGGAGGTGGCCCTGCGCGTGCTGGGCGGAGGCGAGCTGGCGACGCGACTCGCCGAGAACAGCTGCAGCGACGGCGGCGGCCCGACCTGGTCGGCGTGGGAGCTGAGGCAAGTGGTGAGCCGCGTGTGCCGCAACTGGCGCCGTCTGGCCCTCGACGCCGGCCTCCTCGCCTCCACACTCCACCAGTACGTCTCTCGCTCTTCCAGTACACGCGGCCACCGCACGCACAGAACACGACACGCACCACGGCACACATGCGACAAAAGCTGGAATTCTCATTTCAGCGTGGTCTGTGTAGGTATCACCGAGGCAGGACCGGGCCGATCGTCTCGCTCGGCGGGGAGGTTATCCACGTCCAAATCGGCAACTGCGGTACCTCACACACACACACACACACACCGACACACGACACACACGACACACAGCTCACAAAAGAGATAAACGGTGGCAGGAAACATGGTGGGCAAGGAGTACTGGCGCGCGCTGGTCCACGAACACTCGCTCGATCCATCCAGCTTCGCCATTTCCGGTTCGTGTGCTCCCGCGGCCGGTCGCTGCACTGAATACCACACGTAAACTCACATCGACACACGCTTACGACACGACACGCGCACACGCGCACACGACACGACACCGCACACGATGGCTTTTGGTCTTTTCAAGGTAGTTCGCCCTTCACAGAACAGATCACGGGCCTGCCGGTGAGCTTCGACGAGAGTGCAACGGGCAGGTTCACCGCGCGCTCCATTCTCGTCGACACCGACCCGGCCTCGCTGGACCTCATCCGCGCGTCGCCGCTCGCCAAGCTCTTCCGCCCCGACTGGTACGTAACCGCCTTTGCCCTCCCAGCCTCCAGCCGCTCGTTTCGGTCGATCGTCGTTTTGCCTAACCTTCGGTCGAAGTATGGTCAGTGGCCACGGCAGCTGCGCTCTGGATTGGGAGGAGGCGCACTTCTTCTCCGGCAAGGCCGTATCGGAGGCCGCCACCGAGGTACCGCAACCGCAGCGTATGCGTGTGCGGCGTGTGCCGGCCTTTACCCATCGCTAATGCGTAGAAATTTATGACGTATCGCTAGGCCATCCAGAGAGAGATGGAGCGCTGTGATCGAGTACAGGCCTTCGTCTTCTTCCACTCGCTGGGCGGTACGCGCGCTATGCTAAGCAGCTGCGCGACGGCGACGCGGCATTTGAGTGACCCGTGCGTGTCGTGCGTGTCGATCATATTTAGGCGGCTGCGGTTCGGGGCTGACCACGTCGGTCATCACCGAGCTGGCCCAGGAGCGTCTGTTCCAGCCGCCGATCATCAATTTTGCCTTCGTTCCATCGTCGTGCACGGTCGACCCCATCACCAACCTCAAGCTGACCACCCGCGAAGCCTGTACACATCGCTCTAATTTGTCAATTTTTCTTTTGAACTGTTTGTTTGTTTGTTTTAATTATCATTTATTTATGTCATTTACGTGCTTCATTTTTATTATACTTATTTATTATTTATTAATCCTCTCGCAGGCAACACAATGTTGGGCTTTAACACTCTGATCGAGTACAGCGGCGCCACTTTCCTGATCGACAATGGCGCACTCAAGCGGTCGGTCTCCTATTTGCCTATCTTGTCAACGGTACGGTGCCACCCCACCCGTGTGCGCGCTCTCTTCGCTCTTCTGACACTAGACGCCTTCGCTCTATTCAGACGGCGGCGCACAGCGCCATGAACCTCACGGCCGCCGCTGCCATCAGCGGAGTGACGTGCCCACAGCGATTCCCAATGGTACGCGCCCTAATACGACCCTTCTGCACTCGTGCTCGCTGGATTGACACGACACACACGACACACACGACACACACGACACACACGACACACACGACACACACGACACACACACGACACGAGTAGTTGGGTGCCGAGTGTCTGGGGTCGTGGCGAAAGCTGATCCACGTGAGCGTACCGTTCCCTCGGGCGCACTTCTTCTCCCTCGCCCACGCCCCATTCTCCTCTGGTACTTTTCTGCCACATGTGCGCACGTGCGGCGAGTGCGGCGTGCGCGGCGCGTGCGGCGTCCACCACGCGCCGGCTCACATGACACACACGCGCGCGACCACCCGACAGATGGCCGTACGCACTGCAGCACCGCCGAGCTGATGAGGGAGGTCTTCACCGAGAGCGCCTGTCTCAAAGGCCTGCCGCGCGATGCTGCCCCGCTCGCGCGCAGCGACTGGGGGAAGACGATCTCGTTCTTCAATTTCGTGTGCGTGCGCGGCCGGCGGGCCTCGTGGCGCGACGCGGCGCGCGAGCTCGAGGCCATCAAGCAGCACCGCCGGTCCCTGCCGCCCGAGGCCGACGGCTGCGACTTCACCGACGAAGTCCTCGATGAAGAAGACAACGACAACGAAGCCGAAGAACGCGAAAACGAAGACGAAGGCGGCGCCAGGACCACCGTCAACGTCAAGGGCGGCGCGCAGACGAAAAAAGAAGAGGAGCAAGTCGAGGTTGATGAAGAAGACGATGACACGCTGACCACCTTCATCCCACGCGAGGCCGAGTGGCTGCCCGACTCCCACATCCGCTACGCCTACTGCCCGGTCGCCTACCCACCACCATCATCGTCATCATCGTCTTCTTCATTGTCATCGCCTTCTTCATTATCGTCATCGGCGCTGGGCGATGGGGCGAGCGCGACGCTGGTGTCGTCCAACACGCGGACCTACTCGCGATACCTTGCGCGCTTCTTCGACCGGTTCGGGCAGCTGCCCGACGCCAGCGCCCTGTGCACCGAGGACAGGCAGCTGCTGCACGAGGCCGAGAGCAACCTACACGACCTCCAATCAGAATTCCGCCACACATAAAAATAAATATAAAATAAAAACATGTGTTGCAACAGTAAAATTAACAGTAACTGTTTTAGTGGGTTGGTTGCAAACTTGTACGAAGACTTAAGACTTCCAGCCCTTGAGGAAGTTGAGGGCGAGGACGCCCAGCTTGTCGACCTTGTAGCCGCCCTCGCCGACGATGAGGGCCGGCAGGCCGGGCAGGCGCGCCGACACGATGGCCGCCATCGTCTCGTAGTAGGGTTCGGTCAGCTTGAAGTTGGAGATCAGGTCCTCGCAGAACGTGTCGAACCCCAACGACACCACCAGGTAGTCCGCCCCGTACTTGGCAATCTCGTCGCACGCCTTGCCCCCCACATCACCACTCGTGAGACACGACACACAAGGCACACGCGACACACGACACGCACGACACACGACACGCGCACGATGTGTACCGTGTTGAGTACGGCGGTGTAGGTGTCCTCGTCGGTTCCGGCCTCGAGAGGGTAGTTGATGTTGAAGCCCTCGCCCTTGCCCACGCTACGCACAAACAACACCCGTGAGTGTCGTGTCGTGTCGTTGGTCGTGTCGTTGGTCGTGTCGTGTCGTTGGTCGTGTCGTGTCGTGTCGTGCGGTGGATGTGTGGTACCCGATCTCATCTTCGAAGCCGGAGAAGTAGGGGTAGGCGCCGTGCGGGGTGTGGTGGAGCGAGACAAAGAGCACACTATCGGTCTCGTAGAAGATGTCCTGCGTGCCGTTGCCGTGGTGGAAGTCCAGATCCAAAATCGCCACCTTTTGCGCTGCACGATCGACGTCAGCTGCGCGTGTGTGCGGTGTGTGCGGTCGCGCGTGTGCGGTGGTGTGTGCGGTGTGTGTGGTGGAATGGACTACCGGGCGCGGTGGGGTGGTCGAGAAGGTACTGGGCGGCGATGGCGGCGTTGTTGAAGAAGCAGAAGCCACCGGCCAAGTCCCGCTGGGCGTGGTGGCCTGGCGGCCGGCACATCGCGTACACCATCTTGTGCTCCTCTAATGTGTTCGTCATTGGACACCCACGACACAACGACACGATTGTGTTGTTAGTCATGTGTCGTGTCGTGTCGTGTCGTGTCGTGTCGTGTCGTGTCGTGTCGTGTCGTGTCGTGTCGTGTCGTGTCGTGTCGTGTCGTGTCGTGTCGTGTCGTGTCGTGTCGTGTCGTGTCGTGTCGTGTCGTGTCGTGTGTGTACTGTTGGCTAGCATGTCAGCGCCAGTAAGGGCCACTTCCACAGACTTATAGGCAGCCTGCAAGAGCACATTTTTGTCAACGACACGACCAGCGACACACACGACACATGACACACAGCCGACACACAGAGCGCGAACGCGTACGGGGTAGGTGTCCGAGTTGATGGGCGTGGAGAGATCGAAAACGTAGCGACCCATCTGTGCGATGATCGACCGCGAGCGATGCTTGGACAGACCCGGCCGGGCGTACGGGAAGGTGAACGGATAGGCCACCGGCGCCGGTTTGCTGCACACGACACACGACACACGACACACACGACACACACCACACACGACACGCACGTCAGGAGTGTCCAGGGCCTGGTGGAGCTCAGAGGCAACGAACCCCTCGGGGATCTCGGGGTCGTCGATGGGCGTGGAGTTGACGGTCCTGATGAAGTTCACGTAGTCGGCGTCGTGCACGGCCAGGATGGGCTCGATGGGGTACGCACGCGGCTCCACCACCTCCACCTGTCCTTTGTGTTTATTTTCACGCGTCCAAGCAACCATCATCCATTTAACATCATCCATGTCAGCAGAGAGTTTAAATCAAGATCTTTTGGTTCTTGATTTTTACAATGAAAATGAATGAATCGATTTTTGCAGATTGAGATTTAAGTGTGGATCTGCTGAGGCACTGCCAACAGATGATGGATGGACGAATGGGTGGCGGATTTGGTGGTACCGGATTCGACGAGCCTCTGTACGAGGGATTTGGTGCGCTCGGGCGTCTCGACAGCCGGCACCTTCTCGCCCAGGTACAGGCCGTGTGGGGTCACGAAGCGCTCCTGCTCGCTCGAGTAAATCACCACAAACTTGCCCGCAGTCTCCATCTCTCTCGCTCTTTCCGCCACAGAATACAGAAACTGAGCTCGAGCTGTTTTATTACTTTGTTTATTTAAAAAACTTTTTTATTATTAAATTATTATAAATAAAAAGCGAACAAAAGAACGAAGGGTGGCAGAAGCGAACGCTCGCGAGAGAGATGGGTGGGTGGCTGTCGTCGTTGGTGTGGGGCGAGGAAGGCGACGAAGTGAAGGAGAAGAAGATCGTGATGGTGGGGCTGGACAACGCCGGCAAGACGACCATCCTCTACAAGCTCGTCGAACGAGATGAATCGCGACGCCGAAGCGAGCAGCCGCCATCATCTTCTGCAGAATCAGATCAGCAGCAAGCCAGCCTCCTCTCTCGATTTTTCATCGATTATGGATCATCTTCATCATCATCTTTCTCGTCATCTCCATCTCCATCTCCATCTTCACAATCAGTCGTCAATCTTGCGCCCACAATTGGATTTCAAGTCGAGGCCGTTCGATGCGGTGGCGGTGGTCCCGTGCTGGCGGTGTGGGACGTCGGCGGCCAGACCCGCCTGCGGCAGATGTGGCCCATCTGCTACACCGGCGCCGCCGCGGCCGTGTTCGTGGTCGACGCCGCCGACCTGCGGCCCGACAACGGCCGGCTCAGCGACGCGCGCGAGGCCCTGCGCTCGCTCCTGTCGGCCCCGGAGCTCAGAGGAGCCCCGCTGCTGCTGCTGGCCAACAAGAGCGACGACCAGCGCGCCCTGGGGCCGCGCCGGGTGCTTGAGGCACTGGGTCTGCTGACGTCATCACCGTCATCAACAGCGTCATCGTCATCGTCTTCATCATCATCATCATCGAACGAGCCGGAGCCGACTTCGTACTCGGCGTCGCTGGCGGGCTATGCCACCATAGCAACTGGCCCATCGAATGCTTCTTCATTGTCGTCATCGAGTGGAGCGCCGAGTGCCTTCTCGCCTTTGCTCAAGGGCCGGAGGTGATTGCTGCCCACTTCTCCTTGATCGGCGCAATGTCTCATCTGCTCACACCCATGTCGCGTGCGTGTACGGGTGATGTGTTGCATTGTGTGTGTGTGTGTCGTGTGTGTGTGTGTGTCGTGTGTGTCGTGTGTCGTGTGTGTGCCGTGTGTGTAGGTGGTGGGTGCAGGCGACGTGCGGGCTCACTGGCGAGGGTCTCGAGGAGGGCTTCAAGTGGCTCGCAGACACGCTCAGCTTTGTTGATGAGCAACGCGAGGCCCAGGACGACAGCCTCACCCGGTGGAGCTGAACAGTCATTCCTTCTTCCTTTCCTCCCTAATCATCTTGCTGCTCTTGTTTTCCTGCTGGACCGTGTATATCTCCCAAGATGTGGTCCACATGCTGCGCCGACATCCTACATTCTTCTTTTTATGTGTAATGTGGACGGTGACGTCACCATCCCGGAGCGGCCGTCTCCGTCCGGCCAGGCTTTTCTTTTTGGCTGCTCCGGCACTTGTTGTCTTCGTTCTCTTCCTGCGCGCTGTGTTCCCACTGGACAAGGTACCCTCATCCCTTCCAATCAATCTTTACCACTATTGTAGTGCGGCGGCAAGGATGTTTTATTACACGTGTTAGACAATGACCCAATTCTGATTATAAACTTTATTTACTGAGCCATCCATCAATCGATCGGTTGTTGTTATTCTCTGAATGACGATTCCACAAGATCTCTTTTCTAATCGCTCTTTTCCCGCTTGCACAGGTACCTATGCAAGATCGTAAATCGCTGGCCGATTGTGTTTGTGATGTTTTAGAAGCGAGCGCGAGCTTCAATAAACCAATTCAAATTATCTAGAGCGATTCATGCAATCGCTTGCCTGCGATTTCATCTGCCAGTGGATTGCGGAGCGGGAGAGGAGCGCCGCCCTCGTCGCTTCTCAGAGTGCGGTAGCGTTGATACCGCCGTAAGTCCCGATACCTGGCTGTCCAGCTTAGGCGACCACGTGAAGTTGCCTTGGCACCCACCACCACCCAACTCTCGCCAGCTCGGAACACCCAAGGGCTATCCCTCTCAACACCCACAACTTTTGTTCCTGAACTCTTGGCTCTTGACGGAGACCGGTTGAGCTGCGTGCTCCGACCCAACCGACGCACACAGCGCTCTCGGAACGGTGGGGGACAACAACCTGACTGCCAGGACCGGTTTGAGACTCCCAGGGCTTTCTCGGCACAACCCCGACGCCTATTTTTCGGTGTTCTGCGATCGGCGGTCGACAGTCCTGGGGGGCGACAAGTCTAGGTCGGTCTGGTCCGCACCCAAACCCCCAGACACACCAAAGCCCTGAAGCAGCAGCAGCAAGACGAAAGACAAGACCCAAGAAACTCCAATGCAGGCCGACGAGAAAGACGAAGGTACCCCCAGTGGCACGAAAAGAACTCAGCGGCTCTCCCAGCGAGCCCCTTGCGCTCGTGGTGCCGCCCCGAAAATATGCGAAAGGGCTAAGGGCCAAAGGGGGGAGGGGCGCGCTCTACTCAAGTGACGCAAAGTGACTTTCTCTCACTTCCCCCCCCCCCAACCAACAACCTGCAGCAGAAATTGCTCCCACCACGCACCCAGCCCCCACCGCCATTGCGTCGCAGCAGGAAGAGGTACCACCACCACTCCCCCCCCCCGCGAAGGAAGTCCTGGCCAGGACAAAGTTTTCCCGAGGCTTCGGCCCCAGGTGCCAGAAGCACGATCGCGCCACCAAACGTCTACAAATACCTGGCATATTTCCAATTATTTTGCCCGCATTCCTGGAATTATTCCCAAACGCTGGCTTGTTGCCCCAGCTGCGGCCTAAGAGTTGACGGTTGATCGGCCTATGGTGTAACAAAATAATAAAACATTGTTGGACTCACGCTCTATCTGTCCTGGCCACCAGGCGCGCCTGATGAAGAAGAAACCGTCCGACGAGCAGATGGATCACACGCCCAGTGCCGCCACCGCCAAACCGAAGCGGAAGCTGGTGACGGGGAGCGAGAACGCGGAAGACACGGAAGCGGCGCTGGTGGCTGAGCGGCGCAGCATCGACAAGGAGCGGGCGGCCATCGCCGCCGAGCGCGCGGCGATCGACAGGGAGCGGCAGCGGTTCGACCTCGGGTGGGAGATGATCGAGAAGGGCAAGGGCATCATCCGCCAGGAGCTCGACAAGCTCGTGGCCGAGCGCCAGGCCTGGGAGAAGGAGCGCGAGCGCGAGAAGCAGAGCCTGGCCAAGCGCAAGGCCGAGCTCGACGCCCAGGAGAGCGACAAGGCCGCGACCGCCGGTGGTGGCGGTGGTGCCGCGGCGGCCAACACTGCGCCGCCGCGCGGCGTGGAGCAGATCATCGAGGAGGAGATCCAGCGCGCGGCCCGCGACGAGATCGAGAAGATTCGCGGCGCGTGGGTGCTGTCGCTGGCCGACGCCGAGAAGGGCCGCATGGAGATCGAGCGGATCAAGGCCGAGTGGGAGAAGGAGCGCGACCGCCAGCTCAAGGAGCGCGAGGACATAGATCAGGAGCGCGGCCTGCTCGAGCGGCTCAAGGCCAACCTCATCCCCGCGCAGCAGGGGCTCATCGCCGCTGCGGCGGCTGCGGCTGCGGCCGCCGGGGGAGGCGGCAAGGGCGGCGGTCGCCAGCCCGAGTCGCTCCACGGGCTCCTCCCGCACGTGCCGCTCCCGCACTACCTCCAGCCGCAGCACATCCAGCCGTCGCCGCCGCCGCATAAGCAGCAGCACGCGTACCAGCCGCACTCGTCGTCATCGTCGTCTTCTTCTTCGTCGTCGCAGAGCCCTCACCACCAACAGAAGCAGCCGCAGCAGCAGCAGCACGCGGGTGGCCACCACCACCCACAGAAGCACTCGTTGCACTCGGGCCAGCCGCAGTCGCACCACTCGGGCGCGAGCCAGCAGCACCAACAGCCGAAGGGCGAGAGCGGCAGCAGGGATGAGCAGCACAGGCAAGGAGCGAAGAGGCGACGGAAGGAGGAGGACGAGCACCGCACGTCCTCATCGTCTTCATCTTCGTCGTCATCGGCCGCCCCAGACAGGGAAAAGGAGGAGGCGCGGTCGATGGACGATGACGACGACAACGAATACGGCACGGCCCATCCGCGGAAAGAGCGGCGAGTGTCCTCTTCCACGCAGGAGGGCGACTACGAGTACGTCCACACACGAACGATGGCTTGCTCCCCCCCGCCGCCGCGCACGTGAGGTCTCACATCTCTTCGTTCTTCTTTCTATCTCTCTCGCTTCGTTCTTTTTCCGCGCTTCACGCAGGTACTCTTCGGATTACGTTCGCTCAAGAACGAGGAGGACGTGGGAGGAGCGATACGAAGAGCTCAAGCAGTTCCAGCAGAAGCATGGCCACCTCTACATCCCCTACTCTGGTACCGCTCTCTCTCTCTCTCTCTCACACCACACACACCACACACACACCACACACACCACACACACACACACACACAAGAGAAAGACACGATGCGCATGACTCGGGTTTTGACTGACGCCTTCAGATAAAGGGAACATGAAGCAGCTCTACGAATGGGTCAGCACACAGCGCAAGAACCACCGCAAGAAGAGTCTGAAGAAGGTACGTGGCGGTGGCCCTGCCGTGTGCAACGTTGTGTGCGGTGTGTGCGGTGTGTGCGGTGGTCTGATAGCATAGTGGGGTGGCTGTATAGGATCGCTTCCTGCTGCTGGACGCGCTCGGGTTCCCGTGGACGGGCAAGCGCGAGCTGCTGGCGGCGGCCAAGCACACGTCGTCTCCGCCGCGGTCGGGCGCCAACTCGGTCGCGTCGCTGCTGTCGCCGGCGGCCGACGACGTTTCGCAGCCGTCGTCGTCCCTCCTCTCCTCGCTCGCGTCGCTGGCCCACGAGGAGCGAGGCCGGGCCAAGGTCCCGCACAGCGAAGACGAAGACGACGGCGGCGGCTCGTCCGATCGCGATGACTGAGCCACAACACATCACCAGCGTCCTCGCTACGAAGAAACAACATTAATGTACAATTTATAATAACTCAACAAGCGCACATTTATTATTCTTATTACTTATGTTGGGTTGGGAGAGCCAACAATGTGAGGTGGAGGGAGATGGACCAGGATCATCATGAACAATGGTCGGTGGTGAGTGGTCGCACAGCAAGTGTCGACACTTTGAGCAACCTTGAAGAAAGTTCACAGCACGGCAAGAAGGAAAAGACGACGGTAAAGCTTCGGTTGAGTTTGTCGGCTCCCCATCTTTCATCTATCTCAGTATCTCCCTTTCTTTCGACAGCTTTCTATCTTCTCCTTTCACGTTATATTCCAGCGACGGTGTCATGACCAACAAGATGGAAAAGCAGTTTGAGCAGAGGTTCGTGAATGCCACGTAGCGACATCTCGACGTAGAGTTAATCGAATTTAATCGATTTGTTTTTGCCTCCCATTCGAATAGGATCGCGATTCTGGCCGATCTTTTGAAGCAGCCCGAAAATAAGGAGTGCGCTGATTGCGGCGCCAAGGGTGCGTCGTCGATCCCTCTGCCCTACACACATTTTTTTAGAAATATATAATTTACATTCCTTTTTCCATGCAGGCCCCAAATGGGCTTCCTGGTCCATTGGCGTCTTCCTTTGCATCAACGTACGTTCGCAGAGTCTTCTCTTTGGCGCCCCAGCCCTCCCATTGCGCTCTCATCTTTATCGCCGGCGTTCCGTGGGAAACAGTGCGCCGGCATCCACCGAAGCCTCGGCACTCACATCAGCAAGGTCAAGAGCGCCACCCTCGACAAGTGGACAGATGAACAGATCGACGTACGTCTCTCGTATTTTTATTCAACTTTTATAAATAACGAACAAACAATTTGATTTACTGTTTTTCTTTTTTAAATATATATATCATATATGCAGAATATGCGCAACATGGGCAACGCCAGGGCCAAGCTCATCTACGAGGCCGCCCTCCCGGCCGGCTACCCGCGACCTCGCGAGGGCGCTCCCTCTCAGTACTACTCGCCATCCATCCGCGTGCTGTGTGTGCGGTGGTCGTGTGCGGCGTGTGCGGTGGTGTGTTCGATCAGAGGGATGAACCATCATTCGTTGACTCTCTCACGTGGACTCTGCGCAGCACGCTGGAGAGCTGGATCAGGGCCAAGTACGACAAGAAGCAGTTCATGGAGCGCGGCCGGACCGCCCACAAGGAGAAGCGCGAGGAGCCCTCCGCCTACCACCACCAGCAGCACAGGCAGCAGTCGACCGCCGGCGGCCACAGCCGCAGCAAGCCCGCCCCGCCCTCGCCCCGACAGTCGTCGTCCAGACATCAGCACCAGCAGCAGCAGCAGCCCCAGCAGCCGGCCAAGCCGCTCATCAGCATGGTCGACCCTACGCCCGTGCACCCCGTTCAGCAGCAGCAGCAGCAGCAGGGCGTCGACCTGTTCGGCCTCCTCGGCGGCGGCGGCCAGCCACAGCAGCAGCAGCAACAGCAGCAGCAGCAGCAGGCGGTGAGCGGCGGTGGTCATGATACGTCGTTCTTTGCGAGCCTCGATGGCGGCCATCAGCAGCAGCAGCAGCAGAAGACGCTCGACAAGAACTCGATTATGTCGCTCTACCACCAGCCGATCGCGCCCACGATGCAGATGGGCATGATGCAGGCCGCCGCCGCCGGCCAGCAGCAGCGCGCGCCCAACTACAACGTCCACCTCGTGCCCGCCACCAACATGTACATCGCACCCAACGGCATGCCGATGATGTACGTGTGCCCCCCCCCCGGTGTGTCGTGTCGTGTGCGGCGTGTGCGGTTATGCGTGTGTCGTGTCGCTGATGTGATTTCAAACACGCAGGGTGGGTCCGACTGGTCAGCTGGTGCCGGCGGCGATGGCGGGCGGGTACCCGGGCGTGCAGGGCTGGCCGATGCAGGGGCAGCAGGCCGTCGGCCATCAGCAGCAGCAGCCAGTGCAGATGGGCATGGCCGCCCCCTACGGCTACCCGCAGGGCTACTGATGATGATGGGAAGAAGAATCAAACGTGCAGGTTGAAACCACTTTACTGCTGGCGCGACGACAGGTCGAAGCAAGCTCAGAAGGAGGACATATTGTAGAGAAAACAGTTTTTGCTTTTATTTTTTGCCTCATTTGGTTCGTCTGTCAGCTCTCTTTTGTCGTCGCAGACGCAGGAAGCGATCTGGAACTCAACTCGCGAGGCAGATAACAATCAACACTTGTTGCGTGGGCCAAATGGACCGCGGTTGTGGACGGCGTCAGGCGGCGAGGCGGTAGTAGAGGGTGAGATCGCCCTTGCCGTCCCAGAAGCGCGACGCCACCGCATCGATTGTCAGCGCGTCCTCCAACGCCACATGCTCCGGCGCCGCTTCCACAACGGCCTTGTCGCTCATCTCCTGCTGCTCGCCGTTTGCCGTCAACGTCGTCATCGTTGCCGCCGCCGCGGCCACGGTCGGCAGGATGCTGATCGTGAAGCGCGTTTCCGGCTGCTTGCTCTGCTGCTGTTGCTGTGACGCGGTCGTGGCCGAATCGGCTCGGCTGGCGGTCGAGGCGCGCGGCGGGACGAGCAAATCGAACGAAGAGGGCGCGCTGAGCGGCAGCTGCGGTAACTTGGAGGCCAGGAAGTCGGCGATATGCGCCATCGTCACCTTGCGCGACGTGCGCAGGTAGGGCCGCTGGAGGGTCAGATTGCTGGGCGGCGGCGGCGGCGGCGTCGCGGCGGCAGCGCCAGCGCCAGCGAGCTCGTCATTGCCTCCTCCCCGAGTGTTGACGGCCGACAGCCGCTCGTCGTCGGGGTGAGGCAAAAGGAGGAAGCTGATGAGGGTGTTGACTCGGCTCAGGAACGAGGCCACGGCGGCCGATGATGATGATGATGAAGAAGAAGAAGATGAGGAGGAGGAAGATGATGAAACTCGCTTGTGCGGGATGTGGTAGTGCGTCAGCGGGATGCCCGAGGCGTCGAGCTCCAGGCTGATGGCCGCCATCTCCGGCTGCTTCGCGTCCTGTTGCTCCAGCCCGCCGTTCCTCTGCCGTCTGCTGAAGAGGATGACGTCTCACCATCAGCTCAGCCCCAGCACAAACAGCACACACACTCATGCACGACGATGACGACAAGCCAAGGTGAAGAGGAGGAAGACAACAACGTACGTGTCCTGCGATTTTGATCTCTTGGAGTTCTTGTTGGAGGCGCGAGTAGTAGCAGTAGTTGAAGAAGATGAAGAAGAGAGCCCAGACGAAGATGAAGAAGAAGCAGCAGTAGACTTCCTTTTGCGAGATGAGGAAGAGGAGGAAGGAGTGGTGGAGGGGGTCTCCATGGCCTCGAGCTGTTCCTTGTCGCGCTTGCCACGAGGACCGCGTGAAGCGGCCATCTGGCGCATGAGGCCCTTCTCGACGCTGTCGGTGAGCGATTTGCGATTCATTCGCTTGTTGATGTCGGCGATGAACTCCTGCTCCTGGGCCTCGTACTCGTCGAGGTTGGGGTAGACGGTGGCGATGAGGGCGTCGAAGTTGGGATCGGGTCGAAGATGGCGACGCGACGAGCAGTGGACGCGGCAGGTGGGACACTCCTTCTTGCCCCATCGTAGGCACTTGGAGATGCATTCGTCGCAGAATCGATGGAGGCACTCCATGACCGTCATCGTCTGGCGCATGATGCCCAGGCAGATGGGGCAGGTGAGCTCCACGTTGAGCATGCGCACTTGGAGCGTGGTGGTATGGTTGGGATCCTCTGGCGGCGCGATGGGTTCGCGGTAGGTTTCGTAGAGCGTCAATCCTTCTACACATTCCTCCTCTTCCTCCTCTTCCTCGCCTTCTTCAGCATTCCCGCGCAGCCCGCTCCCGCCCTGCCTCACCTTGCGCAGAACCTGCTCCTTGGTCATCGTGGGCGTCTTCTTGTTGATCAATTTGCTCAATTCGCGCGAGATGCCCAGCGAGCCTCGTCCGCCGCTCGAAGACGATGCATTGGCTGCCGTGCGTTCTAATTCCTGAAGCAGGGCCGACGAGGCCGACGCTCGATGGCCTCGCGCTCGCGAGTTTGGCGCTAGAAACGTTCCCTCCATCTTTCTTCTCGTTCCCGCTTGTTGTGATTTTGAAGGGAAGGGCACCACGTCAGCTATGTCGACCGCACGTCGTTACCGTCGACGTTATTTGATCGAACAAGGACAAGACGGTAGAGCGAAGGAACTCAAGAACGAGAATCGAAGGAGATGGCAAGGCCGCGAGGTGGTGGCCTCGTGGTGCTCTTGGCACTGATGGTGGTGTTTTTGGTGGGCTTTGCCCTCATCCTCCATTCCCGCCCCAGTGACCAGCAACCTCTGGTCATCCCCACCTACGAAGGCGACGACGATCGAGAGGACCTGCACCACGTCTCCAAAGAGCCCGCTTCCAAGCCCTCGCGAGCGCCAACATCTGATCGCGGACGGAATGAGCCAAATCGCGAAGATGAAAATCGTGGACCAGAGCGAGTAGTGGAAGTGAAAGTGGATCACAGCAGCCACAACCACGCCTCGGGGTGGGACGCGCGATTCAACTCGACCATCGGCTACCTGCAGCGCTACGTGGGCGGCGTGCGGGGCGGCAGCGAATGCGAGGATGACTACGGCATGTCATTCATCAGGCGGTGGCAGAGCTATGGCAAGGACTACTGCCTTCCCACATCCTCTTCCTCTTCCTCTTCCTCTTCCTCTTCCTCTTCGACTCCATCTTCCTCTACTTCATCTTCGCAATTGACAGAGAACGAAGATTTCCGATTAGACTCAAAGATTCGATGCCACTCGCTGGTCCCATCACATCAGACACCCGAGCCGCACAGTGTGTGCCTCGCCGAGAACGTCGTGGTGGACTTTAGCCGCCTCGGCGTGTCGCTGTGCGAAGGCAACGGCTGCCACTTCGACTTCTACGACGGCGAGAAGACCGTCTTCTTCAAGCCGGGCATCGTGCGCGGCAGCTGCCGCCAGGTGGTATCCGCCGATGACGGCTGGAACACCAGGAACCTCGTCAAGACCGTCGGCAACTGGCTCGTCCGCGGCTGGGAGAATCTCGACGACAAGCCCTCCGAGGTGTGTTGTCGTGTATCATCTGCGCGTGTCGTGTCGTGTCGTGTCGTGTCGTGTCGTGTCGTGTCGTGTCGTGTCGTGTCGTGTCGTGTCGTGTCGTGTCGTGTCGTGTCGTGTCGCGTGTGCTAATTCTGTGATATATGGGTGCTTTAAGGCCAAGAAGCTAGAGAGCGAGGTGTGCACGAAGGAGAACACCGTTGACCACTTTGTCTACCTTGTGTCACGCTACGACGTACGTCCTTCATTTGTCCGTGTTGTCGTGTGTCGCTTGTGTGTCGTGTGTGTCGTGTGTCGTGTTTTGTGATGCTTGTGCCATGGCGCAACACATGCTCACGACATTCCCTCTCGGCAGACGACAAATCTGTACCATACGACGGAGGATCTGGTGCACGCCTTCGCCGCTTTCTCTGTGCTCGAAGCGCCCATCGAGCGGTCGCAGGTGGTCATCGCTGACGGTCTCATGTACTCACACCGCCGGCCCACTTCCCTGACTTGACTCGGTGGCCCGCTTGCCGAGCCTAACACCCCTTATGCCTCCGTGTGTCGTGTGTCGTGTGTCGTGTGTGTTGCACAGTCCTGGGCCTTATGTGGAAGTGTGGAAGGAGCTGTACTCGCGCAACTACCCTGTTCTCACCGCCAACGACCTCCACAAGAGCGGCGAGACCAAGTGCTTCAGATACATGGTACGCCCCCCCCCATTGCCTCTGTTGCGGCGCCACACACGCAATCGCCGATCCCGCTCCGATCGGCTCACAGCCCGTCGCAGGCCGCCAATGTGTTCGGCGCGGTCTCTCCGCTGTGCAAGGGAGTAGGCGCCACCACGCCCTGCGCCAACAGGTAACGCAACATAGCACTGTGTGTTCAGTCTTCATCTTTGCTCACACGACACACACGACACACACGACACACACGACACACACGACACACACGACACACACGACACACACGACACACACGACACACACGACACACACGACACACACGACACACACGGCACACGGCACACGGCACACGGCACACAGCACGTTGCTTCGCGGATTCCGTGATTTCGTCATCTCGTCCTACAAGGTCAAATATCTGCTGCCCCCGGTACGTCGACGCACACGACGCCCCGATTGCGCACAACATTGCGTTCACACTCTTTCTTTTGCCAACCAACCAACCACAACAGGAGGACAAGCTCACGGTCACGATCGTCAAGCGCAAGAGCTACGCCCGAACGTCACAATCCTTCCAGCATGTGAGCAGGCAAATCAAGAACCACGACGACCTGGTCGCGATGACCCAAGCCACTTTCCCCACCGCCGAGGTATTCCCTTGTGCTGTGTCGCGTGTTGTGCGTGCCGTTTCGTGTGTGTCGTTTCGTGCGTGTCATGTCATGTGTGTCGTGTGTCGTGTGTGTCGTGTGTGTCGTGTGTGTCGTTTCTAAGCGTAGTCTTTCCCAGGTTCGATCGGTCGATTTTGCGTCGCTCACGTTCCGAGAACAGTTGAAGCTGATCCGCACGACGGACATCCTCGTGGGCGCGCACGGCGCTGCGCTCACCCACATGATGTACCTCCCGACCACTTCCGCCTCCATCGAATTTTGGATTGACGACCGGTACCCCGCATCCTCCTTCTTCTTCATTCTTCTACTTTCTTGAAAGCTGACTTAACGGTCATGATGGTGGTGGTGGTGTTGGGTGCCAAGGTATGGCAACTACCACTATGTAAATATGGGCAAGTGGTTGGCCATCCCGCACTTCTTGGAGCATCAGACCAACCCGCTCAACCTGGACGAGACACGAGATCACCTCCTCGAAGCGGCCGAGCACGTCGCCAAAAGCAAGAAACAACGGCTCTACGACCACTGAGCTCTCTCTACTCGAAGAACAACAATTAATGTTATTTTTATTTATTTATTTCATTACATTGTTATGTATGTTGTTATGTTGATATATATGTAAACCATGTATGGCGGGCCTGCTATGAACCAAATGACCCACTGGAACTGTACTAGGCATTCTCTCCTTCTACTTCTCCTTTAGTTCCTGTTGTGGGCCGCGGCGAGGGCGCCCTCGCTCACGTAGGTGAAGCCCTCGAGGTTGGGGTTGGTGGGCATGGGCGCCTCGGCCAGGGCGCCGGTCTGGGTCGGGGTGTTGATCGGCTGGTTCAGGAAGTCGGGGTCGATCATGCTGTCGGCCTCGAGGTCGCCCGCCACCGGGGGAATGTAGGGCGGGGGCACCTCCTTCTTGGCCAACTTGTCCCAGTCGATGTTGATGAAGTACGGGTGGGACTTGACCTTCTCCGGGTCCGCCATCCTCTTGACCGGGTCACGCTCCAGCAACTAACAACAATACAGCATATTTGTGATCAACATGTAGCACTATGCCCAAAGATATATATAAATAGATAAATATGAGCAAGATAAGGTCATATGTAGAACTAGTGAGTGCGTACTTGCTGGAGGAGGTTGATGGCGACTTCGTCGATCTTCTTGGGGTTGAGCTTCTCGGTCATGATCTTGTCGTACATGAGCTGCACGTCCTCGCAGTAGAACGGCGGCTGGTTTTTCACACACACACACACACACAACACACGACCAACGACTCAGACTCGATCGATTGTGTCATTAAATGATATTCTGCGCTGGTTGCGTACCAGACCGGTCATCATCTCGTAGATGAGGGTGCCGAAGCTCCACCAATCGATCTCCTTGCCGTACTTCACGCCGCGCAACACCTCGGGCGCTGTTGGTTCCGGACATACGAATGTAAATGAACCGCGACCACTCAGAGTTGAGAGATTACAAAAACGTGTGAGTGGCGCACGTACCCAAGTACTCGGGGGTGCCGCAGAAGGTGCTGGTTCGGGACTCCTTGCAGGCCAGGCCCTCCTTGGAGATGCCAAAGTCGGTCATGCAGATGTGGCCGTCGTTGGTCAGGAGCAGGTTCTCGGGCTTGAGGTCGCGGTAGATGATGCCCTCCCTATTTTTTGTTTTGTTTTTTAAATTATGAGAATGAGTATGCAGCTCAGCATATATAGACCGATCTGAATGTAAGAAAACAATATATGAAACAATAGAGACGTACTTGTGGAGGTACTCGAGACCGAGCACGATTTCGGCGGCGTAGAACTTGACCCGCTCGTCGTTGAACTTCTTGTCCTTCTGGAGGTGGTGGAACAGCTCGCCACCGTTGATGTAGTCCATCACGAAGTACAGCCTTTTCACAGAACGCACCGCAATTGAGGTCAGCCATCGACACACGCACGACACACATCACACGACACGACACGCACGACACACACCACACGCAACACACACAGTAGACGCACCTGTCGGCGGTCTGGAAGGCAAAGTGGAGCTGCACGAGGAAGGGCGAGCGGAGCTTGACGAGGATGGACCGCTCGTTCTTGGTGTGCTCGAGCTCGTTCTTGTCGAGAATGACCTTCTTGTTCAGCACCTTCATGGCGTACACCTTGTTGGAGCTCCTGTGCTTCACCTTCAGCACCTTGCCGTAGGAGCCGCGGCCGATGACCGAGATCAGGTCAAAGTCGTTCACCTTCACCTTGCTGGGGTCCAGCTCAGCGGCCGGGGCGGCCTGCCACATAGATAATAACAATAACAAGTCATATAAGTGAAATGTCATGTTATCACAAACAGAGAGTTACGTGGCTGCGGAACCGGTTGAGATCTGAAGACGGACCTCAACTGCGGCTTCGACCACCTGAGGCTCAGCCTCGGCCGGCTTGGCAGAGTTGTTGTGGCCAGAAGCGGCAAGCAGGGCGTCAAGCCAATCCTTCATCTTTTGTTGTTGTTTTGAGTTTGGGTTAGTACGATTGTTGGGTGGGGGGGGAGTTGAGAAATCGAAAGGACGTGTCATGTACTTGTTCTTTGCTGTCGGCGGCCAAGTGGTAGTTCCTGTGCGGAGTCTGGACCTCGAAGCAGAAGGCGATCTTCTTCTTGAGGATGATGGGCTTGACGGAGCCCACGTCCTTGAGCTGCACCTGGCCCTTCAGCTCGCCATTCTGTTTTGTTGATGATGTCCCCTTTAGAAAAAAAAAAGTAGAGGATGAAGAAGATGGTGAAGAAGAAGACATATATACCCTCTTGGTGTAGTAGTACAGGGTGTTGTCGTCCTTGAGAACGCACCACCTCCGCTTCCACGTCTTGATGGAACCTCCCTCCTTCGTGAGAAAGCCTTCAAGGATGCTCATGCTGGGTAAATCGGTGTGTTGGTGTAGGGAATGTTATACGCTCTTGACACCGTTTTGTCTGCTGTTGGCAAGCCACGGTTCGTGTGAAGTTAACCGTCAACAGTGGACTAAAAAGGTATCCCTTCTCCAATTGGGCACCCGATTGGCGCCAAGAAGCTGCAAAAATGGTAATAAGAAATTAAAGGAAAATAAAACAAAAAGAACAATAAGGGGTGTGCAAATAAAAGATCATTACGTGTGCACCCTCCATCACGCCAACCTTGGCTGGCGGCACTTTAGGTGATAGTAGCGCAGAAGTGCTGGCCGGCCATGAGCTTGCTGATGTCAGCTACTCAGGGCCATTGATGCTGAGCAGATGAGAATAAAAGAAAATTAACAGATAAAATAAGGGGAAAAGCAACACATGGCTGAGGAACCACTGCCCAGCCCGAAGAAATTGAAGACCACATCTGAGGAGACAAGGCTGCAACCTGCACAGCGCGGACTCGATCTTGTCGTTGCAGAAAAGAAAACGGAGATGCTGGGACAGGATGAGGACCGAAGCAGCGAAAATCTTGTAGACGAAGAGGAGGCGCAGATTGCCAAGCGAAGGCGGGTGCTGCTACGCAACTTGGCCCTGCTGCGCCCCGCTTCATCGGCAGCTACACCCGAGGGGGTGTCCTACGATGCCAGCCAGGCAGTCGAGCTGTCCGACAAGGAGCGGGAGGTGTTCACCTTCCTGCTCGCCGTCAACGAATCCTTCGGTCTCAAGTCCACCCTTCGCGTAGCTGGTGGCTGGGTGCGCGACAAGGTACTCTCTTCTCAATGAGCAAAGCAAATCAGTCTTTCAATGACACAATCCTCTTTTTTCCATTTTATTCATTTCACTCGCTACGTGCGATCGATGATCTGCACGGCGCAGTTGCGCGGAGAGCCGAGCTATGACATCGACATTGCGCTGGACAACATGATGGGCAAGGTGTTCGCCGAACGGGTGAACGAGTACCTCGCCATGAAGGGATACGAGACGCACAACATTGGTACGTGGTATACCTCGACTCTTCCCTACCCCACTCCAGGAGACCAGCTCACGCATTTCGTGTGCCGTGTGCCGTGTGCCGTGTGTGTATCGTCGAATCAGGCGTCATCCAGTCCAACCCCGAACAGTCCAAGCACCTGGAAACGGCGACCATGCGCGTGTTTGACGTGTGGCTCGACTTTGTCAACCTCCGAGAGGAGAGCTACTCTGAGCACTCCCGCATTCCTTCCGAGATGGTGCCCATCCTCTTTTCGTCGTCGTTTGTTGGCTGGCTGGTGGGTTGGTTGGTTGGTGGTGTCGATACTCACGACAGGTCGCGTTTTTAACCGGCCATAGACCATCGGCACGCCCACGGACGACGCCTACCGAAGGGACCTCACCATCAACTCCCTTTTCTACAACATCAACGAAAACACCGTCGAGGATTGGACCAAGAGCGTACGCCTCTCGCTTTGCTGTGTGTGTTGTGTGTGTGTGTGTGTTCGGGGAGATGACAATGCGGGTGCTTGCAGGGGTTGACGGATCTGGCCGATGGGATCATTCGAACGCCGCTGCCCGCGGAGACGACCTTCATGGACGACCCGCTGCGGATCCTGCGCGCCATTCGGTTCGCGTCTCGCCTGGAGTTTGCGCTCCATGCGGATATCATCGCGGCCGCTGCCCAGCCCCGCGTGCGCGTCGCGCTGGGCAGCAAGATCAGCCGTGAACGCATCGGCAAGGAGGTCGAGGGCATGCTCTCCGGTACACACACACACCCTACACACACACACACGACACGCGCGCTCACGCCGTCATGCCGTGTAGGTCCGCACCCGGAGCTCGCGTTCTACTACATTCACCACCTGGGCCTGTACGACGTCGTGTGGGCGCTGCCGCCTCCGCCCAAGGGGGCCACGGAGCCGACCGACCACGTGTTGGTACCAGACTACCGCGAGAGGGCCGTCAATAACGTGCGACAGATGAAGAGGCTCCTGTGCCACGAGTGCCCCATCATGCACGACAAGGTGGCCCGAAGGCGCCTCTTCCTCGCCGCCTCCCTCAAGGTACCGTCCCCCGTCAGGCGTGTGTGTGTGTGTGTGTGTCGTGTGTGTCGCATGTGAGTAGGGCTGAAACGAGGAATCTGTCTTCCATGGCCAGGTCTACAGCGGTGTCCTGTACATGGAAAAGAAGCGCGCGTTCCCGGTGACCCACTACATCATCAAGGAGTCCCTGCGGGTACGCCAATACTGTTGGAAAATGAATTATTGTTATTATTCTGGTCATTATTATTATAAGAAAGCTATTTGTCATTTTGCTCATTTCCGTTGCGCGGGTTTAGTGGAAGGTGAAGGACATGGACGAGGTGTTGCTCCTCCACAACGGCATCGAGGAATTCCACATCCTGATCAACAAAACCTACGGCTGCGCTGTCGATCGCAAGGACGCTGGTAAGAGAGAGCACCTTCACGCGTGCGTGCGTGCGTGCGTGCGTGTGCGTGTGCGTCGTGCTTTGACACTGGGCTGAATGCTGTGCGTCGGGCCAGGGCTCTTGATGCGACGTTTGGGTGCGCTGTGGAAGGAGTGCCTGTACCTGGCGGTCATCAACGACCTCCCGCCCTTCACCACAACACCCACCGCGCGCGACCAGTCCGACAATATACGTACTGGCCCGCCCAACCCCACGCCTATCAAACCACGGTCTTGTCCTTGCTCACGCACCACCACCTCGCTCGCACCACCGCACATTCACGCCGCACGCACACGCACATTCACCACCGCACACGCACACGCGACAGTTCCGTTGGAAGACGAGAGTGTGAAGCTGACGTTGGCCAAGTTGCACGAGTTCTGCCACAAGGTGGAGAAGGAGCTGCACTTGGACGGGGTGTGGGACCTCAAGCCGCTCATTAACGGACAGGAGCTGATGCAACTGCTGGGCCTCCCGCCCGGACCCGCCATTCGCCAACACCTCGAACGGTACTGTAATCCTCTTTTCCCCTCCCCCATGACAAGCGCATGATCTCTCATTGGTGCCACCCACGCAACGCAACACAGGGAGATGGCCTGGCAGTTGTCACACCCCGACGGCACCCTGGAGGAGTGCGCCGCGTTCTTGCGACAAGCACACAACGCCACCTAGAGACCACGAATGCCATCAACACACCGACGGGAAAGGTGGTCTCAACATTTTCTGGTTTCTTCGAACAATTTCAGATCATTTCCTGGAAACGTAAATTCTTCTCGAAGGGAAATTTGGTGTCGACTGAATTCCAGGAACGACGGTCAGCGTTGCAATTATAAAGGCAAAAATAGGAAGCGGTGTTTAGGCACTTCACGAACTAGGAGACCACCAGCGACCGACTACGCGCAAAGGAGAGTCGCTTGCCCGGTTTTTCCTTCACCACCAACCACACCTCGCACCTCATCTCAACTCTTCGAGCAGCGTCCGTCGCCTGAAGGAAAAGGAAAAGATTTAGAAGATGAGCTCTTCTACGTCGGCAGCTGCTGGAGGTGGAGACCTCATTCACGACGAGGGCGTTAATCACGCGCTCCAGTTCCATTTCGATCACACGCAGGACGTCGAGCAGCTGCTCGAGGTGGCGCGCAAGCTCCTGGCGAGCAAGAACTTCGAGGCCGTTCACGCCTTTGCCGCGCAGGCCCACGAGAAGCTCCAGATCCTCGAGAATGCGCGCCGTACGCGCGATTTGAGAATGAAGGACCTTACTGAGGCCCTCACGACCAAGGCCTTCGACAAGAAGCTCACCCTCGAGCGGGACCTCTACCAGATGCTGCCGGCCTACGTCAAGCGGACCGAGCAGGCCCATCAGCAGCTCGTCCTCTCCATCTCGCAGGTGGCGCTCTCGGCCGCGCTCACCAAGCGCTCCGACGCCAAGGCCCTCCAGGTCGTCGATCGCAAGGTCGGCATCATCGATCTCGAAACCCTCGACGACGAAGTCCTCACCGTACGTCACCACATTTGTAGGGTTTTTTTCTATTTTTTTCTATTTTTTTCTATTTTTTTCTATTTTTTTCTTTCAACACAGTGGTTATTATTATTGTTATTTTTGTTATTATTATTTCGCAGACCAGGCGCCAGGCCAAAAAGAGACAAATTAAGAGATATTTATATCCATAAGCGCGGTCCAGGCAACTGGTCTGGTTTTGGGTGTGTTGTTACAATTGCAGTTGCGCGCGAACTTCATTTCCGGCGTCGCGGCTAACGACGATGGTTGCTGTCGATGGTTTAGGTGGTGCGTCGCTGCCTGAACTACGTCAGGGCACCGGCGGGCGTGGTGACGCTCCTGCAGCAGCTGTCGGCCGAGGGTCTGCCCGAGCTGGTGGTGGAGCTCGGGCCGACGTGCCTGGAGAGCATCGAGAAGTTGCGCACCGAGTACCAGCAGCGCAGCACGCTCATGCACGAGCTGGCCGTGCTCGAGCAGGAGAAGGAGCGGCTCAAGCCCATCAAGAAGCACATGCCCGACACCCAGTGGAACCGGTACAAGCAGCTGCGCCTGGCCAAGGCCGAGATCGCGCGCAATCCGGTGCCCTCCTACGACCCGCAGAGCTTCCAGGGCTACGACCAGCTCACCTTCCAGCTCATCAGCGCCATCCTTCAGGTATGCCAACTATGCGCATTGTCAACTATGCGCATTCCCTAACATGTTTGCCGCCAACCCCACACACCAGTCGCTGTTTGACGCTCGGGACGCGCTGGGCAAGAACCTGGAGAACCGGAACTGGAAGCCGACGAAGAAGGAGGACCGCCAGCGTACGCTGCGCTACTCGCAGTGGATCGAGCAGGCCATGGGCTGGGCGTTCGGCCCGAACCGCATCGAGGACCCCAACCAGATGATCCAGCTCGCCGAGCTGCTCAACAGCCGCAAGCAGTACTCGGCCGTGCTCGACGTGGCGGTCAAGGTGAGGCACCGCATCAAGCAGCTCGAGACCTTCAAGAAGGAGTGGGCCGCCCAGTCGGTCGTCCTCCAGGCCCTCACCCAGGAGCGCGAGCAGCTCTACAAGCAGTGGAAGCTGCCCGAAGCCGACAAGTGGCATCAGCTGTGGCAGCTTGAGCACCAGAAGCTCATCTACAACTCCTACCCTGGGTACTCGTCACGTCACGACACGACACGACACGACATAAATACCAAACATATTTCTCTGACATTCTTTATGTAATGCTGTTATTATTACGTGGTGTGTGCAGTTATTACTGGACTTCGTTCGACTATCTGTACCTCAACATCTCCAAGCTGATGTTGACGGCGGTGATCGACATGAAGCAGCAGAACAAGGAAACGGAGATGAGCGAGGACACCAGCCGCAAGGTGCAGGCCATCATGGACGAGGTCGACGACCCGCAGCAGCTGTGCGAGCTCGCGCGCCACATCGAGAAGCGCGACGAGAGCGAGATCGTCATCCGCCTGGGCGAGAAGTGCCAGCGCAACATCAAGGAGGTCGAGGACCTGCGCCTCATCCGTGCGCCGCTCACCCGCGAGCTCCTCGAGCTCGAAACCGAGCAGCAGAAGCTGGTAACAACCACCCTCTCTCTTTCTCTCTCTCTCTCTCGTACAGTCAGCGGTGATTACGAACACAACTAACAACACAACGACACGACACGCATGACACGCATGACACACGACACGCACACTCACTGTAGGCCAAGGACAAGAAGCACTTGCCGCCGTCGCAGCAGGCGAGGCTGAAGGAGCTGCAGGAGCAGATCGCGCAGCTGCCGGCGTGGCCCGTGTACGGCAACGTGCTCGACCCGCACCAGTACGACAACCTCAGCCTCGACGTCGTGCGCGTCATGACCTCGGCCATCCTCGACACCAAGAGCGCCCTCGAGAAGCGCATCGCCGAGATGGTACGCCCCATCCCACCCCCCTTGCGGAGTGCGTGGTATCTTGGTTGGTGTCCACACCAAAAACTTACAAAACGAAACCGAAAACGAAAACGAAACAAAAAATTACAGTTTAGGAAGCAGGACCCGAAGACGATCGATAGGAAGAAGATCGAGCGCGACAGGCAGGACATCAAGAACCGCATCAACACGATGGTGCAGCTGTGCCTGCAGAAGTTCGACAACCCGTCGTACCTGCTCAAGTTCGCCAAGGACATGCGCAAGCGCAAGGAGGCCGAGGTCGTGCTCCAGATCGTCGACAAGGCCATCGCGCGCATCAACGACATCGATGAGGAGCGCCAGCGCCGCTACCCGCTCGTCAAGCTCATCGCCGACATCCGCGAGGAGGAGAAGAAGCTCTTTGCCGCATCCAAGAAGAAGCTCGACGACGAGAAGCTCAAGCAGCTCCAGGGTACAGTACAACTACTACTACTACTCAACAGCCTTATCTTTCCTATTGTCGCTCACGCCAGCGAACACGACACACACACACACAACAGACGCGGAGGATCAGCTCGCGGCGCTGCCGACGTGGCCTCACTTTGCGCAGGTGCACAACTACCACCAGTACGACCGGGACAGGTCGAGGGTGATCCAGACGGCGTTCAAGGCCGTCATCGAGGCCAAGGAGGCGCTCGAGCAGCAGATCGCCACCGAGCGCTTCAACAAGTCGGCCTCGATGATGGCGATCGAGGGTCTCGACGAGGGCGGCGACCATTCGATCGAGAAGAAGTTTGGCGAACAGAAGCTGAAGGTGCAGAGCTGGGTCGACCACGCCGTCAAGCTCGCCCTCACCAACGTGCGCGACCCCGAGCACCTCGTCAAGCTCGTCAAGCTCGCCAAGCGCAAGAAGGAGATCAAGGTACAGTACATTTCACTTCTTGCGTGTGTTGTGTGTCGCGTTGCATGCGTGCGTGTGCGGTGTGTGCGGTGTGTGCGGTGTGTGTGTCGTGCTCACGTGGTGCTGCACTTGTTTACGTTACACAGATCGCGCAAGAGGTGGCGAAGAACTGCTACAACCGCATCGCCGGGCTGGAGCAGATGCGCGAGCACAAGGACGCCGTCGCGGAGCACATCGCGCTGCTGCAGGAGGAGCGCACCGAGCTCGTGGCCAAGAAGAAGACCCTCGACGCCCCGCAGGCCAAGAACCTCACCGAGCTCGAGGCCCAGCTCGCCGCCGTGCAGCCCCTCCCCCAGTTCCTCTCGACGTACGCGCTGACCCACTTTTTATTTCATGAATTTGTTTCATTGACGTTTCGTTTTTTCGTTTGGTAAAATCAAACAACAACAGTGCGGACGAGCACGATGACATGAGCAACCGCGTGACCACTCTTTTGCTCGACGCCACCCTCGAGAAGGCGGCCGAGCTCGATGCCAAGAAGAGAGGCGAGGAGGTGACGTTCGAGCAGATCGACGCCTTCGAGACCGAGAAGCAGGAGCTGCTCGAGACCACCATGACCCTGGCCAAGAACTACACCCGCAACCCCCAGACCATGGTCAAGTTCCTCCGCCGCCTCCGCGACAGCAAGCAGTTCGACTTTGCGGTGCAGATGGGCGACCAGTGCCGTCTGCGCCTGTTCGAGCTGGCCCAGTACCGTCTGGAGACGCAGCAGCAGGAGAAGCAGCGCGACAAGCTCCTCGCGCTCAAGGAAGTGACCGACCGCCAGCGCAAGTCGCTCCCCATCGAACAGACCGACGCGTTGCGCGAGGTGCTGCTGGTGCTGCGGATCAAGGCCCAGCAGCCGTCCTACTTTGGCACGTCGATCGACTACCACGCGCTCAACCACAACCTCACCGTGGAGATGGTCGAGACGGTGCTCCAGAAGCGCAAGCACTGGGAGGACTCGATCGCCATGAACGACGACCTGTCGGCCGACGACATCGAGGTCCAGCGCAAGTACCTCACCGAGCTGCTGGCCAACGTCGTCAAGAACTGCCTCCTCAACATCCGCGACATTCCCACCCTCATCCGCCTCGCCACCGTACGTTCCATTATTTCCGGCATTTTTTTTACTTCATTCCTTTCATTCCAGAACTGAACTTATTGATGGAATGTGTGGAATATATGTGTGCGCGCGCAGGATTTGAAGGGCAAGCTGCAGTACGATCTGGTGGTGGCGGTGGGTCTGCACTGCGAGGAGATCATCGCCGATATCAAGCAGGAGATCGAGCACCAGGAGCAGCTGCGGGCGCACCACAAGGAGCTCGAGCAGCAGATCCTCCTCTTCTCCATCGCCTCGGCCGACACCAAGCCCAAGGAGAAGCGCGAGGTCATCGAGCAGCGCCTGCAGGAGTCCAAGGCCCGCATCGACGCGCTGGCGCCGATCGAAGTGGACAACACCACTCTCGACGCCTACACGCTTCAGATCACCGACCTCATCATGGACGCCGCCAAGATCGAAGGCCTCGACGACGTTCTTCGCGACCAGGCCATCCTCGCCTTCAAGGTACACTACACGCGCGTGCGGTGAGTTTGTGCGGTGAGTGTGTGCGGTGAGTCTCATCGCTCGTGTTGTATCGGTGCGCGCAGACGGACGTCAAGACGGAGCGGTGGGACCAGGTGCGCGACTTGTGCAGCGAGGAGGAGTGGGCCTCGATCAAGCAGGACCTGGTGATCTACGTGCTCAAGCAGGAGGCCAGCAACGTGCGGGCCAAGATCGAGCTGCTCATGAAGGACGGCCTCTACGCGCAGTGCATCACCATCTTCCCGTCGCCGTCGGGCGAGGCCGGCGAGATGGAGCTCCTCGAGCAGCTGTGGAAGGAGCTCGAGCGCAACCAGCCCACCGCCCTCGACCAGCTTCTCGGCACCGTCTCCCGCTACATGAAGCGCTACTACCAGGTAACCCCCAACGCGTGCGAGTTTCGCCGTGTGCGTGTGCGGTTGCTCATGTGTCGTGTGTGTCGTGTGTCGTGTCACACAGGAGTTCCGTCATGAGGAGGTGGACGGGCTGCTCGACCGGGTGCAGCTGCACTTCCCGGCGGTGATGTCGACGCTGCTCGCGGCGGCGACGGACATGATGCTGCTCAACATCCTGCCCTCGCAGTACAACCAGTTCGTGGCGTGCCTCAAGAGCTTCAAGCGCCGCCTCAACGGCGTGCTCAACCGGCCCCAGGACTGGGACGAGTTCTTCACCAACTTCAAGAAGAAGCACCGCGGCAAGAAGAGGCTCATCCAGGTACCCCCCACCACCACCACCACCACGCGTGTGTGTGTGTCGTGTGTCGTGTCGGACGGTGACTGACGACTGCGTGTTGCGTGTGTGCGCACACAGATGGCTTCGTTGATTGGCGACAGCAGCTGGGACATCGGCGCTCTGATGGCCAACCGTAAGCTCAAGCGCGAGAAGCCGGAGCCGCCGTCGGACGACTTTGGCGCGAGCCCTTCGTCGTCGTCGTCGAAGGCCAAGGCCCCGAAGGCGGCCGCCAAGAAGCCTGTTCTCGCCCCGCGGCCCAAGTCCACGCGCGCGGCCAAGAAGCGGAAGCTCGCCGACGACGAGGTCGACACGTCGGCGCTGGTGGGCCTCGAGGAGGAGCGCGACGAGGCCGAGGAGGAGCGGGAGGCGCTCGGCATGGAGGAGGGCGAATCCGAGTACCAGGAGGAACCCGCTGCTGCGGCTGAGGACGAAGAGGACTACTAAAGCCCAGTTCTGGGCGGGGCGAAGAGGTGGAAAATCTTTCCAGGATCTTGAGCCCTTGAGATGTGTATTTACAAATCTTGTGGAGGTTCGAAGAAACAATCAATTGCTCGCACCCAAGTGCTGGACGAGGGCTTGCGCCTTGGCGACCTTGGTCGCTGGGATCGGGAGTTCGTAGGGAGGTGGTCCAACACGTTCCCTGGCAGCTGGGCGAGTGCAAGCATACTCACGCCGGGCACAGTTACTTTGCCCGGAAGCTCGTCTCGCGCGGCATTCAGGGGCCAGACCAGGGGCTCAAACGGCCGCGCTTTGGCGTTGTGGATCCTGGCCTCATGAAGGGCAAATCTGTTTTGGTGCAGTGTCAATACGATATCGTTAGGAAGATTGGTTGGTGGGTGGCACCTTGCCTGGAATTCCTTCATGGTCGTTTTCAGAGCACCCACGTCGGTCTTGAGAGTGGCCACATCGGTCGCAATGGTAGCCATCGCGGCCTGCAGCTGCAGCGCCCATGCCGGGACATTGGCAAGAGTCGGACCCTCTACAAAAGATGAAGATTAGAAACAACGTATTCAAATCAAGTAGGGGCAACTCACCAAGAAAGGCTGTCTTGACTTGGAGGTCATGCAGGATTGCTTCCACTTCGATTCTCCTCGAGGATCTCAGACGCTTAATGGCACGTACATACTCGTGCGATTCTTCAACTTCGTCCAGCGTCACCAGTCCAGTCTGTCCCGGGGTTGCGGGTCTTGGGTGGCCTGCAAGGGTCCTTACCTCCCGGGGAAGCTTAGGTGCCCTATAAGCCAGACGGCGATACTGGGGAGGAGGAGGGGGAGGAGGAGGTGTGGGGGCAAGTGCGGTGGCCATCTGCTTCTTCCTTTGCCTAGAGTTTCTTGTGAGATTGACGGCGAGTCCCGTCTTGGATCGCATTGCACTTCCCGCCATTTTTTCCCGCCAAAACTTTAGTCGAGAAGAAAGCACAATCTACCGCTCGATGAGGGAACTGGGGGAGATGATCTCTAGCTGTCTGCGCTGACGCTCCCTCGGCCACAAAGTATGGGCACGAGCGTGGCGATGCGATACTACTGGTACAGAAAACTTGTAAAAAAACTCTCGATCCTCTAAAGGTCTTCGTTGTTGATGCTGCCGTCGTTCTCGTCGTCTTCGAAGCTCTGCGAGTGCGAGTTCGTATTCTTCGAGCTCTTGGTCCTGTTGTGTGCGATGTGTGCGGCCGTGTGTTGGTCGGTCGTGCCACGGGCGCCGGGAAGAGGGGGGAAGCGTACGTGGCGCCGGACATGGTGGAGTTCTTGGACTCGCCCCACTTGCCGCTGCCCATGATCATGTCCTTGCTGATATCGAGCGCGTCCCGCGGCGATTGCGTGGCCCACGCCTTCAGCAGGTAGTACCACCAGATCAGCATGTCCTGCATTCATGCGTGTCGTGTCGTGTCGCGTGTCGTGTTGCGTGTCGTGTCGTGTGCGGTGAGTTGATCGAAAGAGAAGGAGGTTGAGAGGGGGCGAAGAGCGACGTCGTACACTGGAGCACATGGTGATGAAGATGATGATGCCGTAGCAGCTCACGTCCATCACCTCCAGCAGGAGCGAGCCGTAGTTGAGTCGGTAGGTCAGCCCGCTGCCAGCGCCGCACAACCAGGAAGAGAGCGCCAGAGAGATAGGCGTCAGAAGGGCGTCTTTTCGCTGGCGAGCGCTCGGGAAATGGTACCACTCGGTGGCGGTTGTGGCGCTGCATGTCACCTGCTCCTCGAGCGCGTCGATGAGGTCATCTGTCAGTTGTTGTGTTTGCGGCGGTGCGTACGTGTCGTGTGGGTCGAGTCGTGTGTGTCGTGTGTGTCGTGTGTCATGTATTGTGTGTGTGTCGTGCATTGTGCGGTCGTGAGCAATAATATCTTTTTTCTCATGGTTTCTTGCGTGGGGGCTGCGTACCTTGGATGACGCGTTGGTAGATGCGGAAGGCGAGTGGGTAGGCCAGAATCAGGAAGTAGGCCATCACCAGCAGGATCATGCGCACCAACTGTGTGCGTGTGCGTGTGCGTGTGTGCGGTGATGTGTGCGTGTGTGCGGTGAGAACAAGACACAACACGCATTCATGGAGCGGGGTGAGCGAAAAGAGAAAAGCGAACACACAAACCTGTTCGATCTTGTCCTTCGTGTGGCCCGAGAAGCGGAACCGAATCTGCACCACCCGCCATCATCACCGCAAGACAATCAGGAATGCTGCGAAAGAATGTGGGAATGTGGGAGGGGGGAACGAACCCTGGCGAACTTGATGACCGACAGGGTCATCAGGATCGAACCGATGATCAAACATGTCGCCACTGTGTGCGCACACGACAACGACACGACACATGACACGGAGTGGTGTCAGCAACGCAACACATGCTGCGCGCAGGTGCGAGAGAGAGAGAGAGAGAGGAGCGTACGAGGGCCGTAGAAGAGGACCCAGCCGTAGGCCTCGTGGTCGGTGGCCATGAAGCACGAGGGCACGCCGGTCAGCGCTCCGATGTTCTGTCGACAGAAAACGGTTGAGTGACGATTCGCATGCGTGCGTGTGCGGTCGTGCGTGTGCGATGTGTGCGTGCATGCGGTCGGGCGTGTGGGGTGTGGATGAGAGTGCGATACCTTGGAGGCAAGCAGGATGACGACGCCGATGAGCGGGAAGCCCCAGGCGACGATGTGATAGAACAAGTGGAAGCGCTTGATGAAGTTGGTCGACCGCTCCAGCACGATCAACTGATGATGATGAACGAAGAACGAGGAGGAGGAGGAAGAAGAAGCATCGTTACTACCAGCCACACGACAACGATAAAGAAGAAGACGGCGATGATGATGATGATGATGATCGAACGGTACGCACCTCGAACACGGTCAGCACGAGGAAGAGCCACCAGAACATGGCCGCCATGGGGCAGTAGTACAGGATGATGCCTGGCATTCCACACAATTCCCGACACGCAGGTGTCAACCAACCAATAAGGACTGAATTATTTATTTTGATTTTATTTTATTGCCAATCAAAAAAGCGGAAAATGATAAAAGGGGAAGCAGTACCTTGGATGATGCACACGACGCCGCCGCCGTCGTGCTCGCCGGCGTTGCTCATCGTGACCAGCCGCTTGGGGGTGCCCTGGAGATGGTGGTGAGACTAGTGTGTGCGGTCGTGCGTGTGCGGTGGTGGTGTGTGCGGGCGTACCTCGGTACAGACCAGGGGCTCAATACCCCCGCGCACGGCCGGGAAGAAGAGACACACGAAGCCCACGATAGCCGACAGCAAGCCCTGTAAAATATAATTAATTAATATTATTATTCATGGTGTGCGCGTGATCGCACACGCACAGAGCGAATTGGAGGGAGGCGGTACGAAGTAGAAGAAGATAAGAGCGGGGAAGCGTCGCTTTTGCGGCATCAGCAGGAACGTCACCACCTGTGTCGTGTGCCGTGTGCCGTGCGCATGTCGTGCGTCGTGTGTCGTGTTTGTCGAGCGATCAGCTGAGGGTGCGACCAGGAGTGGGATTGGCGCGGGTGAGGGGGGGGGGCGTACGAGGAAGAAGGAGAGCCAGAAGGAGAGGAAGTTGAGGACGATGTCAACGACGATCACGCCGGCCCACTCGCCGTCGGAGAACATGGGATCGGGGCACGGGTAGACGCAGATGTCCATACCCTCGTACCCGTTGTTCTGGTAGTACTCCTCCTTCAATTCGTTCATCATTCAAACACGACGACACACGACACATGCGCACGACACGACACGCACGACACACGGTCAGTGGCGAGTCAGAGGGTGACCAGGAGGCGGGAGGTGTGTACCCCGTCCTGGTTGTACTTGAGCGGGTACGGACAGTCGGCTTGGCTGTAGCCCACAACTATGATGTGGGTCAGAAGAATGCAAATATATAAAAAATTTTCAACTATACAATACGATATTTAAAGATATAAAAACGGTATGTGCGATGGACAATGAAGATGGAGGATGAATGGCGGGTGGGTGGGTACCGAGGCCGGCAGGCGGGGCGTTGCAGTCGACGAGGCCGTCGGGCGGGAATGCCGGGTAGACCACCCCATTCAGCTCCACCGTCTTGTCGCAGTCGGGCAGTAGCGACTGCAATGACAGGCAACCAATCAATTAATAAATCGTTCATGTGTGCGGTGTGTCGTGTGTCGTGTGTCGTGCGTGTGTGGTGTATGTGTAGTGTGTGTTGCTCGAAGTGGGCGGATGAACGGTACCGCGAGGCCGTTCTCGATGGCAAAGGCCGAGCACTCGGTCAACACCCTCTCGCAGACCGAGCGACAGGGCAGCACCACTACGCAGACGCCAATGATGTTGGTGATGTTGATCGTGAAGATGATGATTGGGGTTGAGAGGAAAGAGAAAGAGAAAGTGGGTGTGAATGTGAGTGCAAACGCTCAAGGAGACGCTTCAGTAAATGGTGGAGGCGAGGCCGGCGTGCGCGCACCGCTGGGCGTGAAGGTGGTCGTGTCGACAGAGCACTCCAGGAAGCTGCCCAGGCATGCGAACGTGATCAGGGCCTGTCGGCAGGAGTACGGCACAAACGCACCGGCCAGCTTGGTCTGTGTCGCATTCGTGTTCGAGTTAGATAGAGTCCGCGTTCGCGTTCGTTTTTGTCGTGGTAAGTGATGGATTGTCGCAATCGCACAAAAAGACGCCAAGAAAGATATAGAACTTCTTTGGTGGTGGTACCACATTGGCGGCGCCCTCGTCGACGGACTCGTAGGTCTGCCCCAACCTGTCAAAGAGAGGGAAGTGAGAAAAAGTGTTGGGGGACAAAAAAGCGAGAGGTTGGCGTGGTTGGTGCTCATATCTCAACAGTTGCGATTGGCTACATAATTAGTTTTTGACCGATTTGACTGTTTCGAATAATACAAACAAATAGGGCAAAAAACGAAAAATAAACAATGTGGGACTACCCACAGGCCAAGACAAAAGAGCGAAAGGGGTGGCATGGGCAAGATAAAGAACGAAAAAAGCGAAGAGGGGCAAAGAACGAAAAAGCGAGACGTACGCGACGTAGACGTTGGAGTAGGTGACGACGGGGTCACACTTGCCGGAAGTCGCCGGCGAGCCCTGGAACGGCACGCACCCTACAGAAGACTGTGCTGCCGTCGTGGCACACAGCAGCCCCACCAGCCCTACACATCCGAGGAAAATGAAATGAGCCCGTATCACGGTCTGGCTGGGTCGGCCAGCTGCACCATCGCATCTTCCGGTCTTCGTCGTCTTCATGAGGCGGGGGGGGAGTGGGTACCCAAAATGAAGAGGGCGATGAGCGGCCGATGGGGTGGTGTGGGAGGCATGGTGGTTGTATGAAATAACAATGACCGAGTGCGAGAGAGGCACGGCGTCAACCGGTAAACCGCGATCCTCAACCTGTTGCCGATAGGACCGGAGAACTGCGCATGCGCTCCCGTTGGCTGACCAACTTTATTCACAACCACGTAAAGAATGCATCGCCGCTTTCCGCCCGCAACGCGACGAGTTCAAGAGCGTGAGAGAGCGGTTGTGTCCCGCGTGGTGGTACCATCTCGGGCCGAGAGACCGCTGGCGGAGAGTGCGGGGATGACCTCCTCCTGTGCGTCGGCGCGTTTCTCGCGTTTGTGGTGGTCGCGCCACGTGCGATGGCCCGGGTCGCGGCTCACGATGTGGGCCACCAGGTGGACCGACGCGCCCTCGGCCAGGCCCATCAGCAACGGACCCACAAAGGGCACCGACGTCAGCACCGCGAACGGCAGAGTGAACCTGTTGCGTCGACAGACCGCGGCAACGCAAGGTTGGCTCGTCAGCCATCATTGCTGCGAGTGTGTTGAACTTAAATGATGCGCGGTACCCGAAGATGAGCCATCGGTAGGTGCGCATCCAGTCCTTCTGCTGGCGGTAGTTCATCTTCCTGCAGTCCTGGGTGTAGACGCTCAGCAGATTCCACCCCAGCCGGTTCGTCACAAGGACAATCTGAACACGACGCACGACGCACGCAACAGGATAACGTTTAGGCCCTGGCAAGCCAAGCGTGAAGAACCACACGTTGGTGGGATCTTACCTGGCCGAAGAACGAGACGATGGGTCCGACGACGGGAACGATGGAGAAGGCCAAGAGGAGGAGCGAGTAGCGGGTGAAGTGCCACGATCGATGCACGTCGTCCTTCACGCCGCTCACCCAGGCACGGCCCTTGGTCGCGGAAGAGGCATCTTTGAGCTCCCGGTACAGCGAAGGGTTCACCTCACGCACCTCGTCCTGTTGTAGAAGAAGATGTCAGAGGGTTGATCGAAAAGGGAAAAGGTGAGAAGATGAACGTAGAGGGAAGAAGAACGTACGAAGAAGAGGAGGTTGGTGGAGACGGGGGAGCGTGATTTGGTGATGGAGATGGCCCAGTAGGGGATGAGGGCCAGCAGCTGGAGAGCGAGACCCGGCACGAATACCACGATGGGCAAGGCGAAGAAGAGTAGCACGATGGCTGCCGAGTAGAGCGCGAGCAGCACAACGCCCATCGACTTGGCGAATTGGGTGTAGTCCTTCATCAAGCGTGGATTCTGCAGAGCCGATACGACTCCCCATACGGCGAATCCGATACCGCGAAGGATACCCTTGGCTGCGTCCATGGCTCCTCCAGGAAAATCTAGTGAGGCAGGCAAATGTGCATAACGTTGCTCTTGTAATTTATCCATAAATCTTGTTCTCATATCTAGGGCTTGTGTTGGAATGATCGAAAGTCGATCTACTGCGCCCACCAGCATCGACCGGCACGCCCACAAAGACCTCCCCTCACATCCATCTGCTTTTCCTTTGATTACACGCTCCTCCCACAAGCGAGCACGCGTGCCGATTGAATTTTCGAAACACTTACGAAACAGTTACTCGCGCGTTACCACCTCAGAAAGCGCACCCTGACACCACACCTTGCACCCGCACAGCTTTGCCTTGAGGCCGAGGCGCTCCACGACGATGGGGGTTCGGGTTGTGCTTGCGCATGTCCCGTCCCGCCTGGCTCCATTTGCCGAAAGGCACTGGGCGGTGCCACTTCCGCTTCCCTTGTCAACCGGTGTGTAACGCTGGATACTTCTGCGTGCCTCACCTGACGCAAGCACAGCGAGTGGGCTTGTGGGGTTGCAACCTAGGTCGATTTCTCGGCGTCCACCTTCGGCGCACCCCACACACTGATCAGGATAAAGGCGCGCCTAGCCAGGCCGGATGACGACAGAGTAGATCAGGCACGGCACTCGCAAACGGCCAAGGATGACCTGTCAGGCAACCGGTTCCCTGGCGTCGCCCCGGTGCTCAGGCAACGTGGTCTGGAATGCACGTAATAAACCACGAAAAACCAAGCAAGATTCAGTCTTCGATGAATAAACCCGGAAAAACCAGGTAGACGCAAATTTGACGGGTTAAGCCCTCGGCTTTGGCCAGCAAACCACAGCTTGGTCTTTGCTGCTCGCGCGTATTTAGGGTTCAGGAGTTGTCGTTTCCTTGCCTACCCACTCGTTCCATTCGCGGTGTTAAACCCGGGTGGCCCCACAACGACCCCCGCTACCATTGTTCGGATGAAAGGGGAAAGCCAGCCAACACCGCGTCTCCCGTTCTCTTTCATAACGCGTCAAGTTCGAGGCATCGAAGCACCAGGAGCATAACAGAGACACGACGCCTCTGACACGACGCGACACGACAAGCACACCTACACACGCACACGGCTCGAGAGGCACAACCAGGGCCAGACCAGATCAAGCCTCAAGCTGCCGCAGCGACTGCTGCTACACACCGTCTACCTGCACAACGAACTCCCACGCCGCAGAGAGCCAGCCGGAGGAAGCAGACACCATGCTGGCCTCAACGTCTTCCTCACCCACTACTCCGCACAAGAGGATGATGAAGCCTCAGCAGCACATGGCCATTCGAAGGCTCAGCCTGCCGTCTTCCTCGCTCCTCCCCACGTCATCGTCCTCGGCCGCCGCCTCTTCTTCCCCTCTCACGCCCCTCTCACCCGTGATACATCGAGCCAGGCGAGACCAGCACATGCTCGCCATCGACGGGTGGCTCCTGCACGTCGCCAAGCAGGCCGACGGCTCCCTCCTCCTCAACTTCCAGCACGAGTCGTGCGGCGCAGCTGCCGCCTCGTCCTCTCGTGATCGCCCCAACGAAGTACGTTCCCCTTCCCCACTTCAACTTGCCAAGTTGTGTGGTGGTTCCCAGGGGGCGTTGGGTTTATTTCTTTTTTGTGTCTTTGGTCGCTACGTTGCGGATTTGTGAAGATGAAAATCTGGATTTGTTTGGGCCTCCTGTGCTAAGCGACCGTGGTGGACCTGGGAGCAGGTGCTTCTTAGATGCAGCGGAGTATCGCGAAGATGCGGACGGTACCCTGACGAAGCGCACGAGATTACTGCCGAGGATGGCGCCGCCTCGGAGACGCAATGCGCCCCGCCCACCACGATTAGCCTCGAGAACGTCGAGGCGGCGGACGTCGCGCAGTCGGTCGTCTCTACCCTCCTCACCTCTCTCACCAACGACACCAGCAAGACCAGCAAGACGAAGCGCTACTCGAGTAGTACTACTGCCTTCGAATTGGAGCCTTTCGCCGCCAACAACGATGAGGCGGAGCTCCGAAGAGGAAGGAAGCGAGGAGCCGACGACGATGACTCGATTGAGATGACGATCGAGGAGGCCGCGGAAGAAGAAAGCTCTGAGTCGACTGAGAGCGACAATGATGAACAGGAAGAGGAAGAAGAGGAAGATGAAGACTGCACGAGATGCTACCAGAACGCTCTCAAGCGTAGGCGGAGATGGAGGGCCGACGACGTCAAGAGCGCCCTAGGGTCGCCCTGTTCGCCTTCGCCCATCGACCCCACCTTCTCGGGCATGCCGGCCGAGATCCAGCTGCACATCCTGCAGCTGGTGCCTATGCTCGACCTCCTCCGCACGGTGCCCCTCGTGTCGCGTCAGTGGAACGACCTGGTGCGTGACGACGGCCTGTGGCGTCTGCTCAAGACCCAGTACTTTGGCTCCGCGACTCGTCCCAGCTGCCCTCGCGGCTTCCTGTCGCAGACCCTGCACGACAAGATGAACGCGGCCTCGTCGGCCTCATCGTTGTCGCTGCCCTCGTTCCGCGACCAGTGCATCAGCTTCCTGCGCGAGCTCAAGGTCCTCCAGCAAAAGCACCACCGGCGGCTTTACGAGGAGGAGCGCAGCTACCGCCAGCATCAGCTCATATGGGGCTGCAGCGGCGGCCACGCGAGCTTCGTCCACGACCTGTTCCGCTACCACGACAGCCTCATCGACGTCGACATGCTCTCCGCCTCGGGCAACCACGCCGAACGCACTCCACTCATGGTCGCAGTCGGTACGCCACACTTTCCTTCGTTTGCTTCGAGCTCGAGACCCGTCGCTGAGCAACCAACGCCTGACTTTCTTTTACTTTTCTTCTTCTTTTTCATGTCTGTCACAGCTGCGGGCAATGACGGTGTAGCCTCGTTCCTTCTCCTCGAGAAGAACGCCGATGTGAACCGCGCCACCAGCGACGGCTCCACGCCGCTCATGATCGCCGCCAGCAAGGGCCACAAGAACGCCGTCCAGTTCCTGCTCGACCAGCGGGCCGAAGTCAACAGGATCACCAAGAACGGATGCTCTGGTATACTCGCCCACCCCTCTGCACAGGCTCGTCTGCACTCTCCTGGTCTCACTTGTCTTCGCTTGTTTTCCCTCCAGCCCTCATGCTCGCGGCCCTGGCTGGACACGAGGAGATCGCGGCGCTCCTGCTCGAGCGCGGGGCCGACCCTTGCGGCAAGACGGTCGACGGCTCGACTGCCCTGATGATCGCCGTGAGCAAGGGGAACAAGCAGATCGTTTATTCGCTCCTGCAGCACACACGTACGTGTTTCGCCGACAGCTCCCCCGCAATTGTGTTGGTTCGTTCACGGGCTCACCCGTACTTTTCGCTATTGTGCAGCGGCCAATCAGAGATCGCATGTGGTGAACGAAACGAGGAAGGACGGATGGACCGCCCTGATGATCGCCTCCACCAAGGGCGAGGAGGAGCTCGTGCGCGTGCTCGTGAAGCACGGCGCCGAGGTCAACAAGCGCAAGACCGGCGACGGGTGCACCGCACTGATGTTTGCCGCAGCCAAGGGGCACGATGAGATCGTGCGTTTTCTGCTGTCGCACCACGCCGATGTAAATACGCGCAACCGGTACGCACTCCACACACACAACAACAACAACAACTCGAGTCTCACCTCTTCTGTTCTTTCGCGCTTTGCAGTGACGGATGGTCTGCGCTGATGATCGCCGCGGATTGGGGCCACAAGGGATGCGTGGAGGTGTTCATCGAGAACAAGGACCTCTTCACCGCCAACGGCCACCCCTTCGGGCGAGTGAATCTGCGGATGGCGCTCATCGTGGCCTTCATGAAGAAGTACTACGACATCTTCTCGCTCCTCCTTCAAGTGGGTCCTCCGTAGCCAGGCCATGCCAGCAAGGTCAGGACGCAAAGAGAGAGAGAGAGAAGACAGTCGACGTGGCGACTGTACATACGCAGGCGTAGAGACTCCAGCAGAGATAGATATATTGAACATATAAATAATAGTTATTTATTTTTTTATTTATTCAACCCTCAACCACATTCTTCTTCTTGTTCACCCGTTCCATATTGAGGCAAAAATTGGTGTTCTATTCACAGGGGGGGGTACTGGATACAGGCGGTGTGCGATCGTAGATCGTCATCTTCGATTTTCATCTTCATCATCTTCTAGAAGAGGGTGCAGCGCTTGGCCTGCTTGCCGCGTCGCTTTTGTGACTCCTCGTCGGCGAGATGTCGCTTGCGGATCTCGCGGACGAGGTCGAAGAAGCACTGCTCGACGTTGATGCGCGCCTTGGCCGACGACTCGAGGAAGTGGCAGCCGAACGAGCGCGCCAGGTCCTGGCCCTCCGACGTGGCCACCACCCGCGCGTTCTCCAGATCGCACTTGTTGCCCACCAGCACCATGGGCACGTCGCTCTCCTCCTTCACCCTCAGGATCTGCTCGCGGAAGGTGGCGAGCTCCTCGAACGACGAGCGGTGGGTGATGGAGTAGACGCAGATGAAGCCCTGGCCCCCGCGCATGTACTGGTCTCGCATGGCGGAGAACTCCTCCTGGCCAGCGGTATCGAGGATGTCGAGGAGGCAGGTGACACCGTCGACGGCCACCTGCATCCGATAGGAGTCCTCGATGGTGGGGTCGTAGTCGTCCATGAAGTGGTGGTTGATGAGCTGAATCGTCAGTGCGGATTTGCCCACGCCGCCCGTGCCCACCACCACGATCTTGTATTCTGTCATCTTCCCCTCCTCCTCTTGTGCTAAGTTGTTGGTTTGATCTCGTCTTGTTTTTGTGTTGACTTGAGGTTTGCCAAAGTCAGTTGGGAGTGTGAACACCCTAGAAACCTAGAATGGGCAGTGCCATGACATTGGTGGGTATTTTTGCAGACCAATGGTAGCCCTTGAGTTGTTGCATTTCACAGGTGACGGCCGCATTTTGGTTGCAATGCACCACTCTTTCTCCAAAGAGAAGGCGGGAATTTGGAAATAGCTAACATTCCAACGGCACAAAGGTCTGTGGCCACAAGGCGTCATAGCTCTTTTATGGTGATTAAGAAAACAGCATTCAGCAGAGAAGACGATCATAGATAGATATAGGGCGAGGCTGACACCGCGCTTTTCATGGAGACCGGGAAGAAGGGCCGAGGGAGGCCTCCGCAGAGGATCTCTCTACTACTTCTGCTACTTTCTGCCCTCCTCTCCCTCCACACCCCCAGCACCGAGGCGCAGGTCTTGAGCTGCGTCCTCACGGCAGAATCCCAGTGCTACTACAGCGGAGGCAGTACCACCCCACCGCCCGTACGTCTCTTCGTTCTCTGTGTGTACAAAAAATCTACCCTTCCTCTACACAACGGTGTCGTTCTGATTCTGAACTCTCTTCCATCACCAGGCCAACGCGACCCAGTTGACCGCCAATCTCCAGCAACAATACTCGAGCAATGCGCTGTTCGGCCCCACCTACAGCTGGAACAACAGCTTTGTGCTCAACCAGACCACGGCCGTCTTCTTCTCCTACATCATCCAAGACCCGGCCTACAACATCTCCAGCCTCCGCAAGAAGAACGCGATCATCAGCATCAACTCGGACCAGCTGCTGCTGCTGTGCCCCAACGTCCCCGGCAGCGGCCAGATCCTGGACGCCTACGTGAGCGAGCCCGTCTGCGCCAGCCCGTCCCCCACACAGTCGCCGTCCAGCACACCAACGCCCAGTCCGACCCGCACGGCAACACCTACGGTGACGCCGTCGCCCACCAGCACCCCCACCCCCACCCCCACCTTGACACAATCGCCCACCTCAACGCCGAGCAACAGCCAGTCGCCAACCTCCTCTACGACTCCCACCTCCACACCCACGCCGACCGCTTCGGTCACGCCAACGCCCACTGTCACCGCTACCCCCTCCATAACGCCCACCCCGTCGCCTTCAACCTCGTCCACTCCTTCCGTCACCCCGTCGACATCGCTCACCGCCACGCCCACGCCCAGCCCGACGCCTTCCGTATCCTTGTCGCCCTCGCCCTCTCCGACGCCCTCACCGACCCCGACGGCAAGCCCAACCAGCTCCGTTACCCCCACCTCCACCCCCTCGATCTCCGTATCGCCCACCAACTCTCCGTCGTCGACAGCGTCGCCCACCAGCTCGCCGTCTTTGACACCCTCGCCCACTCAGTCGCCGTCAACGAGTCCCACACCCACCAACTCACCCACCGCCTCCCCATCTGCCAGCGCGTCGCCCACGGCTTCGGTCAGCATCTCCACCACACCGTCCATCACCCCGAGCTCCTCGAGCACTCCGAGCAACAGCCCGAGCCCCACGAGCAGTTCGAGCAGCAGCCCTAGCAAAAGCCCGAGCCAGTCTCCGACCAACTCGCCGACTCAGAGTCCCTCCAACTCGCCCACTCCTAGCCCCAGCACTTCTAACACGCCGCCCAATTCGCCCCCGCCATCACCCACCCCGTCGCCTACCCCGTCGCCGACCAACTCTCCCTCCGAGTCCCCCTCGGCGTCGCCCAGTAGCACCCAGACGCCCACTCCGACGTCGTCGCCCACCCGGTCGCCATCGAGCTCGGCGTCGCCCACCCTGTCGCCATCGAGCTCGCAATCGCCCACCCAGTCGCCGACCAACTCGCCCACGGCCTCCACGTCGCCTTCGCCGTCGGCCACACCAACCATCACGCCCACCCGGACTCCCTCCAATTCGCCGTCGCCGACCAACTCTCCCCCCAACAGCCCCTCCGCGACGCCGACGCAGAGTCCGACTTCGACTCCCAGCTTTTCGCCCTCTTCGACGCCGTCGAGATCGCCGTCGTCGACAATCACGCCATCGCCTACGATGACGCCGTCGGCTTCTCCATCGGCGTCCGTCACATCGTCCAACACTCCGAGCCGGTCGGTGACGCCTACTGTGTCGACATCCAGCACGCAAACACCGAGCGTCACGCCCTCCATTACCCCGACGCCGACGGTGACGCCTTCCATGTCTCCGACGCGTTCCGTCACCCCTACACCAACCACCACGCCCACCCAGTCGCCCACCAGCTCACCCACTCCTACGCCCACCACCAGCCCCACCAGATCCCCGTCCTCCAGCGTCACCCCCACCATCTCCGGGACACCTAGCATCACGCCCACCCCCTCCGTGAGCCCCTCGGCCACCCCCTCGCTCACCACCTCGCCCTCGCCCACGCCTCTGGTCTTCAACACCTGCAAGTTCTTCTTCTCCGCCAGCTTCACCCAGGGCTCGCCCTTCCAAGACACCGGCACGGCCGAGCAGTTCAGCGACCTGCTCACCCAGTCCTGGAACTCGTACCTGGAGCCGGGCAGCTTCACCGTCTACGTGAGCCGCTACACGGCCAGCCCGTCTCAAGCCGAGGTGAGCTTCGACTATTCGATCTACTTCACCCCGGCCACGGCCCAGGACGCTGTGCGCAGCAACATCGCCCTGGTGTCGCGCGAGGCGCTGATCAGCGTCACCCAATCGGATCCGAGCTCGTCGGCCCGACTGATCAGTACATTCCCCGATTTGACGTGCTTTGTGCCGCCGACGGTCACCCCGTCGCCGTCGATCACGCCTTCGATCACGCCTTCGATCACGCCTACACCCTCTATCTCGCCCACAATATCGACCACGCCTTCTGTGACGTCGACCATATCAACGACGCCCAGCACCACGATCACCCCGTCCGTGTCGCCTTCGAGGGTGTCCGCGACTCCGACTCCCACCCAGACTCCATCCCACTCCCCCACGAATGGCACGACTCTGATCGACAGCGGCGGCGGGGGCGGCAGCGACATCGGCTTGATCGCCGCCGGTGTGGCGGTGCCATTGGCCCTGATGTTGCTGGCGGCGGTCGCTGCGGCAATCGCGTTCGGCGTGTGGCGCATGAAGCACCGCGCACCGCCGGACGTGGACGTCAACATGATTAGCCTGGACACAATGGTGAGCTCGGTGGCGTCGCCTCTCTACCGGGGTGCCAACGAGACCTTCTTCAACGAGATCTACCAGCACCCCGACGGTAAAACGGACACGAGCCGGTCCGACATCCACCGAGCCAACAAGGAGAGCTGGATGTCGGTGTGAGCCAGCACTCATCACACCATCACCCTCTTTCCTTCTCTCAATTTTCCTTCTCATGTTTTTTAAGTACTTTTTCTTCCAGTTGCCACTTCATCCTCTTACAAGGATCGAAGGGCACACCCACCCCGGTCATCTCCTCCTCTTCTTCTTCATCTTCTCTTCCTCCTCTACACCACAATCATTTTTGTCCCTTGGCAGTTTTCACAGTGCCCATTCCAACTGCATCTTCCACTACATTCTTTGACGTGTCGTTTGTCGTCGTGTCGTGTCATTGCCCGCGTGAGTGCCCGGGGGTGACCTCGATGAGGTCGTCCCGCCGCTCGAGTGCCACGCTGCGTAGTCTCAGGTGCTCGGCGAGGAAGGCCATCACATCCTGCATCTCCTCCCGGCTCTTGATCATCTCGTGGCCCTTCTCGTACTCCTTCCATTGCACCAGCGCCTTGCCGCCCGCCTCGGCCTCGGCCGCGCCATAGCGGCTCCGCACGTGGACCAGATGTCGTCGGGCCTGGTCGAGGGGCACCATACGGTCCCGGCGGCCGTGGGTGACCAGCAGCGGCGTCCGCGGTGGCGCCGCCGACGCGGTCGGCCCGATGGGCGTGGCGAGTGCCTCCTCTTCGAGCAGCGAACTCGAGACGGCGATGACGCCGCCCAGCGGTCGGTCGACAAGCGTCAGCGCCAGTCGGACCGCAACCACAGCGCCCTGCACACTAGTGTTAGTGATCGAGTGATGACACACACACACACACACACGAACCTGCGAGAATCCGAGGAGGAAGACGCGACTCGGTTCCCAGTCGTATTCGCGCTCGAGCACGGCCAGGAAGTCGGTGAGGAGCTGCTGCGCCTTGGCGAGCCCGTTCAAGCGTCGCTTCTCTTGGACCGTCGGCGTAATCACTATGCACACCACAAAATACCATACTTGGTTATGCCATGGCACACGCACACCCACACGATCGCACACGCGCACGCACACAAAGCAACACGCACACGCACACGCCGCTCATGCAAGCGAGGAGGAACGCGTACATGAGCCGTCGTCTTGGTTGAACGCGGGGAACCAACCGTAGCCGAGCTCGAACGGCAGGTCGAGCGGTGCGCGGAGGGCCAGGCAGCAGGTCTGCGGCACGGCCATCGTCCTGCCCAGCGACTCGTAGTTCTTATGCGTGTCGCCTGAGCAAACACTCACACGTTCAGCACGACACGCACCGCACACCGCACACCGCACACGACATGCACACCGCACACCGCACACCGCACACCGCACACCGCACACCGCACACCGCACACCGCACACCGCACACCGCACACCGCACACCGCACACCGCACACCGCACACGACATACGGACCGAGGCCATGAAGGAGGATGAGGAGGTTCTCGTTGAGCCCGTCGGGACTGGGCACGTAGGAGAAGACCCGCAGCAGCGACGGGAACCGAGCGGGGTCGGGCGCCACGTCACGCCTGGTGCCTGCCGACCGGTCGACCTGCGTCACCACCCTATCTTGCACTACTTGCGGCGGAGTGGCTGCAGCAGACGATGGTGTAGTGGAAGATGAAGGAGATGGAGATGAAGATGAAAGAGGCGATGGAGGGTGGCAGGTGGTCTTGTGGCGCGGCCAATTGGCTCGCTGGCACGCGGGCGAGCAGTACCAGCATGCACGACAGCGCGAACAGCGGAGCGGCGTCTCGAGCGCCTTGCCGCACTCCCCGCATGCCTTCCCTCCGGCTTCCATCTTTTTTGCTGCTTTTTCCGACCTTTTCCTTCATTTCCCTCATATTTTCCTGTGGGAGTGTGAAATTCACGTAAATGAATTTTAGTTGGTTGTGGTGGTCTCCGCCACTTCTCTCACCACCTTTTTGAACGATGGATCCCTACGGAGGCGGTGGTGGTGGCTACCAGCAGCAGCCCCCCTACTACCAGCAGGACGTGGCCGGGTACGGCGCGCCTCCCCAGCAGCAGTGGAATGCCGGCCCGCAGGGTGGCGGCTTCCCTGGCGGCCCACCCGGGGATTTTACGCCCCTCGATTTCCCCAACTACTACTCGACTTCGGGTCCACCCGCCTATACCACCTCCCCCGCCTGGGGTCCTCCTCCGCAAGGTATTTACAACAATAATTATTGAATTCTATTTTTTCAACAAATCATGTTAAAAAAGTGTAGGGGGAGGCTGGGGTGGTCCACAGCAGAGTGATGGCGGCTACTATGGGCAGCAACCTCCTCGGATTGAGATCTACGGTGGCGGTCCTCCAGCACAACAGCAGAACTTCGTCGCAGGCCCGCCCCCCAGCTTTGGCCCCTCGTTGGGAGCTCCGTCTACCCAGGTCTACGGTAACGCACACGCCATCTCGGAAATGTAGCGCACACGCTCTTTGACTCCTGTTCGTCCACTCTTGATGCAGGCTCCGCTCCTCCTCTTTCCCAGCCCGCCCAGTACTTGACCTCCCCCTCTTCCAACTACGGCGGCCCTCCGCCCTCGACCGTGCCCATGTCCTCCGGAGCACCCACCTCGCACTCGACCTGGACACCACCCAACAGCAGCGGTCCGCTACACGCCACGTTTTACATTCCTTTCTTTTTTATTATTTTCATTTGTTTTTGTTTTTGTTTTATTTTTAATGAAGTTTGTGCAGGTCCGTATGGCTCGGGTCCGTACCAGTCGACACCTCCGGCGCCCTACGGCAGCGCCGCGGTGCCGTCCTCGCCGTCGCTCGGGCCGCCCTACGGCTCGTCCGACCCGACGGCCCGTCCGCAGCCATCGCTCGCCGACCTCATCCCGCCCTCGATCGGCGTTCTGGGCTGGAACAGCCCTGCGGCTGCTGCGCCCACCTCGGCTCCGGCCGCCGCAATCTACGGCCAACAAAACGACTGTACGCACCACCGCACGCGCACATGCGCACCCACACGCGCAATGCGGTGTAGTGATTCATGTTTTTTCCCGGCGTGTGGCATGTGCAGGCGCTGGCTCCCAGCAGCAGGCGCCGCCGCCCCAGGAGGAGGAGCAGCAGGACCAGTGGTGGACCGAGAAGGGCTGGTGCGACGAGAACGGCCTCTGGTGGAGCGAGGAGGAATGGGCCAAGTTCTACGAAGAGGAGCGGCTGCGCAAGGTCCACACACACGCGCGCGCGCAACCTCGTGCGCACTCTGTATGCTGACTTCTACGACACGACACACGACATGACACACGACACGTATACAGGAGAAGGGGGAAGCGCTGAGGAAGGAGCAGGAGGAGGTGGAGGCCAAGAAGCGTGAATTCCTGGAGAAGGCCAAGGAGCTGGCGGCCATGGAGGAGGAGCAGCGGCGCAAGGAGCGCGAGACCCGGCGGCAGGAGCGGCGTCAGCAGCGGGAGGCCGCGCTCAAGCTCGAGGCCGAGCAGCGGCGGCTGGCCGACGAGGAGGCCCAGCGCCGGGCCATCGAGGAGCAGCTCCACGCCGCGACCCAGCAGCAGGAGCAGCAGCAGCAGTCCGACACGGCGGCCGACGCCGAGCGGGCCAAGCTGCGCGCTGAGCACGAGCGACTGCTGGCCGAGGAGGAGGCGCGGCGCAAGGCGCTGGATGAGGAGCGCGAGCGGCTGCGGGTCCTTAAGGAGGCGGAGGACCGGCGACTCGACGAGGAGCGCCGGCGCATCAACGAGGAGAAGCAGAAGCTGATGGCGCTCGCGGCGGAGCTTAACGTCAAGGCCGAGTCGCAGAAAGAGGAAGAGGAGGAGCTGCGCCGGCAGAAGAAGGAGAAGAAGCGGCTGGCCAAGGAGAAGCTGCGGCAGCAGGAGCTCAAGCTCAAGGAGGAGAAGGAGCGGCTCGAGCAGGAGCGGCTCCAGCTGGTCGAGCTCGAGCGCGCCCGACAGGCGGCCGAGGCCGAGAAGCAGCGCGAGGCTGCCGAGGCCGCGCTGGCCAAGGAGCAGCGCGACAAGGAGGCCAACGAGCGCCGCATGCAGGAACTGCTCGAGGCACAGCGCAAGCAGGCCGAGCAGGGCGGCGCCGAGCTGGCGCAGGAGATGGCCCGGCTCAAGCTCGAGGAGGAGCGCAAGGCCCAGGCCCAGGCCGACGCCGAGCGGCGGCTCGAGGAGGAGCGCCAGCGGTTCGCCGACATGCTCAAGCGCAAGGAGGAGGAGCTGGCCGCGCTCGAGCAGTTCATGCGCCAGCAGGAGCAGCGCCTCCAGGAGGAGGCCGAGCGCAAGCTCAAGGCCGCGCTGGCCAAGGAGCAGCTCGACAAGGAAGCCAGCGAGCGCCGCATGCAGGAACTGCTCGAGGCCCAGCGCGTGCAGGCCGAGCAGGCCGCCCAGGCCCAGGCCCAGGCTCAAGCCACAGCCCAGGCTCAGGTGGTTCCGGCCGCGCCGCAGGAATCATCGGCTTCGCCCGCGGTGGCTGATGGCATGCCGCCGCCACCACCGCCGGCCCCGAACGCGCCGCCTGCGCCGCTGCCTCCGCCCCCGGCGCCGTTGGCCCCAGCTGCACCGGCCGTCCTTCGAAAGGTGGAGGTCGGCGACCAGCCACCTGTCCCAGGTACAAACTTTGCTTTTGCTTTTGCTTTTGCTTTTTAGCTCACCTGGGTGGTGCTTGGTGATGGCTGCAGCAGGCGATGGCGGCTCGCTGATGGACCAGATCGGCGCCATCGGGGCGTCCAAGCTCCGCCATGTGTCGGCCGAGGACAAGGAAAAGGTCGCCTCCGCGAAGAAGGGAGTACGTAGTTGATGATGATACGTTGCAGACACGGAATGTGGCGAAGGGAAGGTGTCGTATGCTGACTTCCTTTGTGGTGGTTTGTTGTTGTCGTGCGACACAGGACGATTCGGACTTCATGAGCCTGATGATGGCCGCCATCGGCTCGCGTCGTACCGCCATAGAGTACGTTTCTTCACTTTCGTGGGCCTCCATGGCCCACTGAGGTGGTTACTCGTGGTAGTGGTTACTCATCTTCTATTCACCAACAACAGAACCAGCGACAACGAAAGCGAAGGCGACGACGACGAGTGGTAGAGACATTGGGCTCACGAGGCTCCCGATTTATTTTGTTGGTTATTTATTTGTTTATTTGTGACTGTGCCCAGACTCCAACAAGGCTTCTCCTCGCGAGGCCACGTGGCGTATGCACCAGGTGGCCAACCAGCAACATTAGCTCTCCTTCCTGGAATTTGTGCTTACATTTTTCTGGGTAGCAAGAGAGAAATAGAAATAAAAAGAATAATATCAGATTATGCCGCAACGAGAATGGCGCTGCTCTACATCTTGTTGACCATCTCGGCTCTGATTTTCCTCTACTTCAAGGTACGCTGCACGTAAGCCCGGGCGGGCTTTGCCTTGAAGTAGCATGCCCATTCAATTAATTAATCGCGCAATCCTGTTGCTGTTGTGAACGCAGGCGAATCCATTCAAGAAGAAGCGAACGAAGCAACTCAGCACAACGCAGGCCGATGCCTCGCAGGTTCCAGAGGCGACGCGCCAGGCCGTCTGGGATCTGTTCAAGCGCAGCTTCGTCAACGAGTTCAAGGGGTTCAAAGATTTCGACGATTACCTTCTCACTCGCTCTCTGCTGCTCTTCCATGACACCACCCGAGAGAAACAGCTGCAAGGATTCATCATCTTCCACATCGTCGATCGCGTAGTGGACGGTCGCGAGCTGACCGTTGTCGTGGGCGACTTCTTCACCGTGACGGCCGACTACCGACGCCAAAGCACGCCCATCTACGCGCTACTCAGGTTGTGCATCGCCACCAAGCTCAAAAATCCGAGCCGAGAGATGTACTACTTCTTCATCACCTACTCGTTCAAGTCGTACCTCAGCTTCAGTCGATCGATGGGCGAGTTCTACCCGTGTCGCGTGCGGCCTACGCCCCCCTTCGAGCAGCGCGTGCTCGATCTGTTGGGCACCGAGAGCGCGGGCGACTGGGGCACCTACAACCCGCGTACGTGCGTCATCGAGAGCCTGGCCGTCAAGCAGGGCAGCAGCACCGGCGGCGTCGAGGAGGGCCACCTGTCAGATCTTGCGCGCTCGAGGCCTCGAGATCTGAGCACGACGTGGATGTGGTTCGCCCAGCAGAACCCCAACTTCGCCAAGGGCGACTGCCTGTGCGTGCTCTGCAGCATCGACCTCAAGAACATGCTGCACGGCGCCAAGAACTCCCTGTTCCGCGCCCTCGGCCTCGGCTCCAAGCGCATGACCCAGCCCGTACGCTCTTTCATTTTTATTACATTTTTATTATTTATTTACGTTTTTTTCCCCAACTCAATGTTATTCTTTCATTTTCAACTATACAGAACAAGCCGCTTTCGTTTGGCATGGCCGAGACAAGAGCCGACGAAGTGCAGGTACGTTTCCTGAGCGCTCGACGCTTGACCGCTTTGCTTATTGATTTGTTTCTTCATCTTGCTGCGAGTAGAGGAAGGAGCCCGAATCGTTCATGATCTCGGTCAAGGACGAGGAGCTGGACGACCTGACGGAAAGGCTCGAGAAAGCACGTTGGCCCGACCAGTTGGAGCTGGCTCCCGACGCCAAGTGGTCCTACGGCACAGGTACCTCACGCCCACGGCTAGAGACTTGCTCTTCTTGCTCTACTTGTCTGACGAGATCCCTCTTCCGTTCCTCCGCACAACGAACAGACGTTGACTATATGAAGCAACTTACCAAGTACTGGGCCAACGACTACCTCGACAACTGGAAGATGCACGAGAAGCGACTGAATCAATTCCCTCACTACAAGATCGAGGTACAACAGAGCTTCGTTGCTACGTTGCAGAATGGCACGCACTGTAGAGTTCTGCGGCTAACCGCTTGAGTCGCTCTTGCCTGGCGCATGTGCAGCTGGAGGATCGCCAGGTGCACTTCATCCACGTCAAATCCACCAAAGAGGACGCCATCCCCATAATCTTGCTGCACGGGTACGCTTTACGCGTTTGTTCCTCACAGCTTCTGATCGTAATTGTTCCTAAATGATCGCGGGGTTCGATGGGCGCCGCAGATGGCCGGGTTCCTTCTACGAGTTCCACAAGATCATCGGACCGCTCACACGTCCGGAGAAGCACGGCGGCAAGTCCGACTACGCCTTCCACGTTGTCGTCCCCTCGCTGCCGGGTATCATTCCCTTCCTCTGCACGTGCAGTGGAGCGTGTGCGTGCGTGCGCGCGCGTTGTCCCCTTTCGCTTATTTCTCTCTGGTACGCATGGAACGTGCAGGCTACGGGTGGTCGGAAGCGCCGCTGACTCCGGGCTACGATGTGCAAAAGGTGGCCAATCTGATGGTGAGCCTGATGGAGACCCTCGGCTACAAGCAGTACGTGGCCCAAGGCGGCGACTGGGGCCACCTCGTGGCGGCGCACATGGCCATCATAGACGCCCAGCGGTGCCTCGCCATTCATCTCAACATGGTACCCACACGCCTCCTTTGCTCTTCTACACATGGTTCACAGACTGGCCTTATCGTTAACTAACGTCGTCGTGCATTTATCTTAGGTGGCTGTCGAGCCTCGAAGTCCCATCGTCAAGGCCAAGGTCGCGTTTGACGTGATCTTCCAAAGGTAAGGCATTGCGCTTCTTCTGCCTCTCTGGGCTTTTGCTGAATTTAGCGTTCGATGCGTGCGTATGCACCAGGTGGCGATTGACGGCAAAGGAGAGGGAGTGGTTGAGCGGTGTTGATAAGTTCCTGGAGGAGGAGACCGGCTACATTGACATCCAAGCCACCAAGCCACAGACGATCGGCTACGCCCTGCACGACTCGCCAAGTACGATTTAATTGCTATTTTTTATTTCTATTTTTGTTTTTATTTTTCCGCTTATTTGAGCGCCCGCACAAGGCCCCGTCGGTCATAACTTACTCACACCCTTGATTGTGTCCGTGCCGGGTCTTGCCAACACACTCAGCTGGTCTGGCGGCATGGATCATCGAGAAGTTCAGGTCGTGGAGCGACTGCAACGGCGATGTTGCGACTCGATTTAGGTGCGTGGAGCCCCTCTTCCAGGGTGGGGTTGGTATCAAAAATTACTCACGCACGCGTGTGTCTCCGCATGTGGCCCAACAGCAAGGACGACCTCCTGACCAATGTGATGATCTACTGGCTCACCGGCACAGTCACTTCGGCAGCGCGCCTCTACTACGAATCAAAGAAAAGCGGCAATTTTGCGTCGCCGCCCATTCAAGGTACGCCCACTCTCTCCGCCGCCCCCTTATGTTACATCATTGGCAATGCTGACCGTGTTCTCGTGTGTGTGCGTCGTGTGTCGTGTTCTGGCCACAGTGCCGGTGCCAGCGGCGATCGCGGTGTACCCGAAGGAGATTCTGCGGCCGCCACGACGGTGGGTGGAGTACTTCTACACGGTGAAGCGGTGGACGGAGATGCCCGCCGGCGGCCACTTCCCGGCCCTCGAGGAGCCCGACAGCCTCGTCGCCGACATCCGCGCCTTTTTCTGCGACGACCTTCGCCTTCACGATGTCTTCACCGCCTCTTGAGCGAGCGAGAGAGAGAGAGAGGCCCTCTTCGAGTCTGTAAGTAGTACAAGCCACTTCGCCCCTTTCCCACCTCATGCTTCTTCTTTCTTGTTGTACTTTCGAAATTTTCACAACCAGCCAAATAAGAACACAAGCGTGCTTGGTCTGCACAACACCACAAGCAAGCAACATCCCCTTTGCGCCGATTCCACTGAGCTCCACCCACACGAACGCCGCGCGTCCAGAACCTGCTGCTCCATAAGATGTGTGTCATGTAGCGCTTTGAGAACCTGTGTTGATGGAATTCACCAGAGGGCACCGAGTGATTCACACACGCCATCAATCATTTCTCAACTTCGCGTTGATGAGCTAAGAGGGTGACGTTGGCGTGGGGACATGGGGGAGGTGATGATGGCAGAGTGTGTGGTGAAGGCTGCTGATGGATACGGCCATACTGCGCAGAAAGCACCGCTTCCCATCCGAACAGCGAAGTTAAGCTGCGCCAGGCGGTGTTAGTACTGGGGTGGGCGACCACCCGGGAATCCACCGTGCCGTATCCTTTTTTGCAGCAGCATCTACCACCTTTAGTGTGTGGACTGATCCTTGGTGGCATGTGTGCCGTATCCTCCTCCTTTTTGGCTTGCTTTCCCTTGATCCCAACAACCCAAAAACCCCAAGCCTCTTTGCCTTCCTCAGGAAGCTGCTATTGGTTGGTACAGTTGGCTGTCTTTCGCCACTGTTTAAAGTGGGCAGGGCCTGATGATGCGGTGGTTCTGGCCTACAAGAGGGCAAGGGTGTGTGCGCGAGTGGATGCAATGCTTGTCATGAAGAAGGGCACGAGGGCATCGATCTTCTTGGGCACATTCCAGCTGTCGGTTGTACCGTGGCCCAACCTGGGAGGGAAAGGCCGAGCAGACAGACAGATATCAGTCACCCACATGGCAGCTCCCCGTGCAAAACAGAACGTGGGGGCTAAAATCGCACTGGTAGAACTCGCCGTCGCCAAAGGAGTACACTGAGCCGTCATGGGCGATTGCGCAGCTGTGAAGCGGGGCTGCAACTACACCCGCCACCTTAAAATAATATATAAAAAATGACGAGGTAAGGTTAGTTGAGAGGAATTGATGGTGGGTGGGGCAGGCAGCACCTGGACGTGCGCGAGCGCAGCGACCGGGCTCGGCAGTTCGGTCGGCTTGCTGACGTTTAGCTCGGGCGATGTGCGCCCCAGGCCCAGTTGACCGCTGCGATTGTCCCCAAAGGCGAAGAGGCGGCCGTCTCGGGTGAGCACCAGGCTATGTCCCTCGCCTGTTGACCCGGCGTGGAAGTGGCAGATCGCGTCAGTTCGCAGACATCACAACTTTGCGACTTTTCTTTTGGAGCTTGTGGTGTACCGGCCGCGATTGCCGCCGCCACTTCGCCGGTGAAGTGTGGGATTGGGCGTGGGACTCGCTGCTCCTTTCGCGGGTTGTCGCGCACGTCATAACCCAACAGGCCGCTGTGGTACCTGTGCGACAGACCAACCCAACCACCACCCTGGTTAGCGCTGTGGTGACCCAGGTGCCCAGAGGCACACCACTTGCGCGGCCACGCAACGTGTGTGCGGGCTGTACGTACAAGTCGAGGCCGCACGAGAGGACCAGGCCATCGGTGGTCAGGAACAGGCAGTGGCACTCGCCAAGCGCCACGGCCGCGATTGGAGTGCCGCTCAGCGCCTCCACGAGCGTGGGCTTCGTGGGGTCGTTGGACGGCAGGTCGATGCAGGACCGGCACGAGCCCCACATGAAGACCTGGCCACTCTTCGTGATCGCTGCGCTGTTGGTGTCGCCCGCAACCACCTGCACGATCTCCTCGCCTGGGCGATTAGACAATGAATTGCGTTAAGTAAGGACACAGAGTCAGTGGTTGGCCAACCAGATAGGCTCTCATTCTTGTGAGGGAGTACCCCGGAGAGCTTCGACCAGTGTGGGCGTCCAGCGGTTCTCGTAGTCGCCCAAGCCCAGGTGGCCATACCGGTTTTCGCCAAACGAATACACCTAGCGCTATCAAGTTAGATCACTGCCTCCACGGCACACGACACGACACGACACGACCAACGACACGACACGACCAACGACACAGCACACGACGCAAGACACACAGCACATGATAGGTTGGCGTACGGCGGCAGTGCTCGTGAGCACGAGACTGTGAGTGGGACCCGCTGCGATCTTCACCACCACAACGTCGTCCAAGCCGGACACTCTTTCCGGCACGTAGTGCATCTGGCAGAGGTCCTCCTCTCGGCACCCGGCAAAGCCGAGCTGGCTGCCGTTCAGAGACACCCCGCAAGCGTAGACCTATATATATTGAAAATAATAACATAATATTAAGTATATTAGTAGTATACACTCTTATTACTATTATTATTTCCATATATATAAATATTTATATATCAATATGGTGGGCGTCCACGCCACCTGGCCGTCGTCGGTCAGGAACAGCGAATGGTTCTCGCCTGCCGCAACCGCAGCGATGCGCAGGCCTCGTAGGGCGCCGATCCGGGCCGGGGCCGCCCAACGGACTCCCTGGTGCGACGACGGCTGATGATGATCAAAACAAAGGACAACATCGATGATGATGCGCAATGAATGGGGCACACCTCCTCCTGGCGGGGATGACCCAGAACGGACTGGTCGAAGTGGCTGTCGCCGCCGCCGAAGGAGAACACGAGGCCCCGGAGCATGGCCCGCCGCAGCGCAGCGTTGGCGCACACGTCCCGCCACCGCCTGGGCGGGCCGAACACGGACCACTCGAGCGTTGGTGAAGTAGAAAGGCTTCTTTGGGGGGGGGGGAAGATAGCGAGAGGGCGCACCTGCAGACGAAGGGCAGGATGCGCAGGTGCTGTTCGGTGAGACACGACTCAAACGTCCACGCGAGCAGTTCAGGAGGCACCTCGTCCATGGCGGCACAGCAGCAAACTAGTTCAACCAACGTTCAGTGCAACAAAACAAGAGTGTAAGCCGACAAAAGAAGAAAGAAGAATACGAAGAAAAAGAAAGAAGAACGAAGAAACTCACGTACATCGACAGTGATGATGGCACAGTGTGTGGTGAAGGCTGCTGATGGATACGGCCATACTGCGCAGAAAGCACCGCTTCCCATCCGAACAGCGAAGTTAAGCTGCGCCAGGCGGTGTTAGTACTGGGGTGGGCGACCACCCGGGAATCCACCGTGCCGTATCCTCCTTTTTGTGCTTGCTGTCTTGTCCTCTTCAGCCTTACAGACAAACACTTGTGGGTGTATGTGGTGATGTTTGTGCACAGAAATGAGTGAGCAGGAAAGGCAACCAGTGTGGCTATGATATTGATCATGCCATCTGAATTAAAGCCATGCGACCAACTGCATCCACCAAGAACTTTTCCTCGTTTGACCAGTCATTTTGAAAAGTGATTTTGGTTGTGATTTTATCTTGGGCAAATGAGTTTTGGAATTTTTGTTGTGCTAAAATCGTGTGAGATTTGACATTTTTGATTTATAGGGCAGTTTTGAAGATTTGGATCTGAATCTTTGATTTTGACATGCAAAACCACTGCTTATAAGTGATATTGAGGGACTTGAGATCACATATGTGTACTCAATGGAATATTCACATTAAAGCACTTTATTTCACTGTTTCCATGCAGAAAGAGTGGCATTTGGTTGCTGGGTGGGCAGGCTGCAGTGGGTGGGTGGGCAGGTCAGCATGAGGGCAGGCTGCCAGGTGGGTGGACAGGCAGGCAGGGTGAGTGGGTGGGCAGGCATGTGCTGATAGGGCTCAGGCTGGCAGGTGGGCATTTTGGATACAGGTACCTGTACATGATGATTTTGGTGTAACTGATGTGGTGTGGCAGGCTGTGTGGCTTGGACACTGCCCCACAAAGCTCACCACACCAAAATCAGCCTTGGGCTGGGTATATGTGATACTCATCACCTGTTTTGCACAACTGCACCCATCTCAACCTCCATCTACATGCCAATGATCATGACCAAGGATCACCTCTACCAGAAATACTTGGATGCCTTGAACACCCAGCACTTCACCCATGCCAAGCTGTTGAGTCTCACTTCTGCAAGATGTTCAAAAGGTGAACACAGGCACATCAAGTTCCCCCAGGCAGTGCCATTTCACACTGATAAAATCACTTTTAACTCCACACATTCCAAGTTTTTATTAAATCATTTTCATCTCAAGTCCCTCAATATCACTTATGAGCAGCAGTCTAGCATGTCAAAATCACATGCAGATTCCAGCATCATATCTCTCATTATGATGGTATTTTAATCTGCCATTTCTCAAGATGCTCCCAACTTTGTCTTGTTCTTTTTAAATTAAAACCATTTTTGTGTTGTCTAAACCATATATATGAGGTTAAACTCACAAACAAAATCACTTTTCAAAATGACTGGACCTCTCATTTCAAATGACCACAAGTTCTGTATGTATGGTATACCCACCTGCTGGCCTGCACCCTATCTGCCTGCAGAAAAGTGCAAGTTAAAAATTGGACCTAATCATCTGTCAACTGCCTAATGGGCATAAAAATCATCTGTTGCCTTTAAAATCATCTGCCAAAATGGGCATAAAAATCATCTGTTGTCTGCAAAATCATCTGTCATCTGTCATCTGCAAAATCATCTGTTGTCTGCATAAAAAATCACCTGTTGTCTGCACAATCATGTGCCAAAATGGCCATAAAAATCAACTGTCATCTGTGAAATGGCAATGAAAATCATCTGTTGTCTGCAAAAATGGGCATACAAATCATCTGTCATCTGCAAAATGGCCATATAAATCATCTGTAAAATGGGCATAAAATAGCCACAAAATCATCTGTAAACATACCCAAAAATTCAACTGTCATTCATTACCCACCCAGCAATTAGACAAAAACAACAAATTGTTGAAAATAACAAAGATACCACAAAAACCTCCCGCTGCTGTCGACATAAAGCTGCTCCTGCCCAGGCAATGGTTGGGGGGTGCCTTAGCAGGCGGTCGGGCGGGCAGGCCAAGGATGGCTGTCTGTGTACACGTTGATCAAGGACGACTACCAGTAGTGGATGGTGTACTCGGGGAATGACTGTGACACACACGACACACGCCAACGTGAGCATCGGCAGCGAGGCGTAAGAGAGTGTGGGGGATTCGTACCCACATACATGCCGTTGCCCCCGTGGACCTGCCCGACGGAATCGTGCAGGCCACCGCCTCGCTTCTCAGGCAGCCGCCTGATGCCGGACTTGCCCGTGCCCACCGAGCCCAGGGTCACATGACAGTACAACATCTGCTCATGGCCAGGACTGATCGTCAGTCTACCACTCTCGTGTGTGCGGTTGTGCGGTTGTGCGTGCCTTCTTGGCATGGCCGCCTGTGACGTGGCCGGTGGCGACCGACCCGCGAGCTGTGGAAGAGGTACTTCTCGTTGGGGTCCTTCTTGTTCTTCACTGAAGCGTCGCAGGTAGTAGAACATCCACTGCGACTTGTTCTGGTTGCGCTCGATCCGCGTGATGTGCGCCCCAATACCTGGACAGGTGGCATAAACACGCACATGACCACCGTGGTAGCATGTCAGCAGCAGTGACACGGTGTTCTGTCGGTGCCACACGTGTGAGCAGAGCTGGATTGCAGTGAGTGCTAAGAGGCAGTAGTGGATCTGGAAAGAAGTGTATCATAAACATGTTGTTCTTCGTAGTTGAAGAAAGAGAAAGACGAATAATAAAGGAATGAAGTCGTTGCCTATTTAAGGACGTGGTACCCCCCCCCTTTGTGCCCATGAAGCCTCGAAAAAAGTTGGAGAATCTCGGACGCCAGGGCACACCACATACAAATTTAAACTAATTATTTTGTATAATCATTTATTGGTTGCAGCCTTGCTCCTTACCTGCTCACGCACGCGCGCACCCGCACACGCACACACATGCACCACGCACCCACCACACACACACGCATGTACGCATGCATGCACACACACACAATGTTAGCAACACCATTGCCAAGCAAACACAAAAGGTGCAGAAGGGCATACCACTAGGATGCGTGCATGGTGGATATGTGGTTATCAAGCCCGCCTTGGTACACATAGCTCCACCAGCAGTGTGGGCACTGAAGACGAGGCCGATCTATGTGCTGGTGGCAACACATGTGGTTAGGATTGAAAGCATAGATCTGAGCATGGCTGTGTACCTGTCCAAACACTTGCTTGTGGATTTCCTGGCTGGTGAGTGGCAGTGGTGGAGAGGATGATGGCGAGGTAGAAGAAGGTGACAGTGCTGTTGAAGAGTTTGGGGTGAACGAAGGAGAGGGTGTTGTGAAGTACGGGGGTAGTGGCCAAGGTGGGTGCAAGGTAGGAAGGTGATGGTGTTGTGGGGAAGGACGTTGGTGTGAAGGGTGATGTGGTGGAGGATAGTGGTGAGGTGAAGGAAGGTGTTGAGTGCGCTGGGGTGGTGGAGGAGGAGGTGGCTGTGGTGGTGGGGGCTGTGGCCATGTACTGTGGTAGCAACTGGAGTGTGGGCGATCTCTGTGGTCTGGGCAGAATCCTGGGCATTGTTGGTGCAGGTGTGGTTGTGAGTGTGGGTGGCTGCAAGTGTGGGGTGACAGTGAATTGTGGGGGGAAGGTGGACAGGGTCAAAGGTGGCAGCAAGCACAGAGTGGTGAAGGAAGGTGTTGAGTGTGCTGTGGTGGTGGTGGTGAATGTGGTGGTGGTGGTTGGGTGGTGGTGGTGGATGGGTGGTGGCCAGAGGTGGTGGCAGTGGCAGAGGCAGAGATGACACTGCCTTGGTGAGGCTTCTGCAATGGAGAGGCTGACATTGCTGTTGTCTTCCTTGGCTGACCCCTCTTCTGGGCAGGGGCAACTGCTGCAGGTGCCAATCCATCCAGTACTGCTCCTTGGACATGAGCAGGACTGCACAAACTCCATGAATGATGGGCTTGATGTGATGAAACTCAAGATATGTCCTGATGTAAGCCCCATGCACTACCAAACAGTACAGCAGTTAGGAATGTTGGATGAGGAGGAGGGCAAGAACATCTTACATACATTCCCCAACATGGTGGTACATGACAGACAAAGCAACCCATGCAGCTGTATCTTTGGTGGAGTAAGCTTTGTAGATGAGCTTCTTTGAGAGGATTGCATACTGCTGTTTGGCTGATATGACTGAAGTGAGTAAAAGGGCAACCCTAGTGCACCACCCAACTGTACCAGTTTCAGCACAAGCACGTCATTTGAGTAGCTGCTGCCAACATCTCTGGTGCAGCTGAGCATGCTGATCATCTCACTTCTTCCACACCATCAGAACCTTGAGCCACTGTCTCTCTTCAGCATAGGAGACATCCAGTCTGATGTGCTTAAAGAGGTCAACAAGGATTGCACTCTCTTTGCCTGATGATGCACAGTTGTGAGCATTAACCAGAACAGAGCACACACATGCACATGCACACACATGCACACACACACGCACACAACACAAAGAATACCTTCATTGCACTCTAAGATTCCTGCATCAAAGAGCAGCACATACATCACTGTCCAATTGCAATCCTTGTTGACTTGCTTGCAGGCAGTGCCATTGAGAGACTCGAGCTGGATGGTGCTGTGGCCATGGATGTATCTCTGGCAGTTGTTTATGTAGCCATCAATGAGTGCAGCAAGAGCAACAAGCATATTTACATCTTTGTCCTGGATATATGTTCCACAGACATGATGTCAGCTTGTGTGTGCATGTGTGCCAGAGTGCAGGCATGTGGTGTCAACATACCCTCACTGGATCAGCCCAAGGGTTACAGTCCCAGGAGCATGACAGCATCCTTGGTGAGACTTGTTTGTGATGTGTGGGATGTGCAGTGCATATGTGCAGTGAAGCCAGCGTCATCATGCTAAACTTTTTGCTGGAGTTGGGGAGGCCCACTGCTTGAGACAGTCCATCTGTTCTGCACAAGAGACATCTGTGGCAGCCACTACTGATGGAGTGAGCTTGGGATGGAGAAAAGGTGAGCAAGGGAAGTAAAGAATGTGCAGGGGTATTAAACATTGGACTTGTGAAGGAATTTGGCGATCTGATTGGAGTGTGGAACTTGATGATAGGAATGTTTAATATGTTGACCTAAGCATCATGGTTCACATAAATGTTAAACACACAGCCATGTGTGCCAGTGATGGAGAGAGAGGCAGAGGTGGCAAGGGTCTGCTCCTTGGTTGGGTATGCAGGCGTGGGCGCAGGCACAGGGGCAGGCAAGGGCGCAGGCATGGGTGTGGGCATGGGTGCAGAGCTTGTCTTGGCATCTGTGGCAAATCTAATCAGTGTGTGGCATCTTCCCCCCCCCAGATTAATTGGTGGCATACATTGGGACTCAAGCAACACATTTTGTACAGAAGCAAGATTGGGTGCAGTGTTGGTGAGGTATGTGTTGAGACCAGTGTTGGTTGTGTGGTGTGTCTGCTCCTTTGCCTCCTTGATGACCCTGTGCTTTGCACCTTCAATGGCAGCAATAGCAGTGGCATGGCAAATGGAATTTGTCTTGTAATGTTCACAAGGATAGGAGAGATTAGGGATTGCATCAAGAATTGGTTCAAAGAGGCACTGTCCAATCATCATCTTCCCCATCAGCTGGTTTGTTAGCACCCCTATCTTGCTAAGGTTCCAGAAGAGATGGTCACCCAGCTCTTTTGAAGGGAGATGATCAAGGTGGAGGCTTACAATGCTAAGTGGGCAGTGGTAGAGTGCGTGTGGCTGAGTGGCAAGGCAGACACAGGCAAGTGGATCCGCCTTGGACTTTGTGCTCACATTTTTCTTGTATGTTCCCTGATGGATTTCGACCCACTGCTGCTCCTTGTTGATGACCACCTCACCAACAGTCTTCTTGATGGTCTTGCTGGAGTGGTGGTTGAGGAACCACAGGAGGATGAGGTAGAGTTTTGACTGGATGCTGGCAGGTGTGCTCAGAAGATTGTGGAAGGTGGTGTCAATCTCAGAATCCATCAGCTCAGGTGGCTTTGTCTCCTCCTTGTCAATCTTGTGCTTCCTGACCTTCTTTTGCATTCGCTTCACCACCACCTGGGTGTGAGGGAAGGCAGGGTCGCTGAGGATTGATTGCCACCCAAGTTGCTGCTGGAGGGCAGCAATGGCTGAGATCGCCACAATGATGCTTGATGGTGTTGGGTTGGCCAGCATCTACTGGAGATGGCAGGAGCAGTGGAGCCACTGGGAGAGGAAGCACAAGGAGAACCTCAGTGGGGAGTGGCTCAGCAACAAGCTCTCCTCTTGGCATTTCTGGATCTCCTCCATGCTGGGAATGTTGTCTTGCACATGCAGTGGGTTGCTGGCCTGGGTATACATACCCTGATGAGTCTGAACATGGTTGGTTGGTGGAAGGCTACTGCTTTGGCGATGCTTACATCTGGCCTTCTTTGTTGTTGTTGTTATGGTCCTTTGTGGGGTCCCATAGTTGTCCTGCAGCAATTGAAGGAGCTCTTTCTTCAGCTTGCTGCTTCTCCTTCTCCACATGCTCTTTGGCTTGCTTCTTCTCACTCTCCAGTTTGCATCATATCCCTTCACACCACCACCACTGCTGGAGTCTCTGTTATTCTTTCTGTTCTTCCTGGCAATCAACCATTCTAAAGCTGCACAGCATCTCCTCTTCTCTTGCTGCCATCTTAGCTCAAGCTTCTTGGTCTACTGACTTGGCCTTCAGCAATGGAGACAAGACCACTTTTCCTCTAAAACTTTTTGGCTGAAGTCTGCATTTTTCACTGTTGGACAACAAACAACCTGCATGCTTAGCATTTTTTTGAGGCTTCACCTGGTGCAAGGGGGGGGGCTCGCCCATACTGCATCCTTAAGGACATAACAGTGTTCAAATTAAATGTCAACTGGAGACTTGATTGGCTGAACAGTTGTCTTGGAGAGAGACTTGAGCAACCATGTGGAAGCTGTTCTCTAGGATCTCTGTTTGTGGATCCAGAGGTCAGAGCTGAGAGGTCAGTCCAACAACACGTCCAGCATGCAATGCAAGACCAAGCTCATGTGTGTGTGCGTACTGCTGAGTGAGTTCTGGAGGTGGGTCTTGATTTCATTCCACTCCTTGATGCCCTTCTTCACATTGAACATCTGGTACTCGCCCTTTTGGTTCTCCCACTGCAACACCACAACATGCCACACATCAATGGTATGGTGGTGTGTGAGGGGGGAAAACATGGTTTTGGATGTCAAGAGGGGGTGGGGTCATACATGTTCAGGGTGTTCAATGCCATCAAGCATGAGGGACACATGCATGTCACTGCCAGGGTTGGGGAGCATGGCATTCTCCACTTGCGCCTTGAGCTGCTCCAACTTGCACATCAGGTCCTCCCTCTCCTTGAGTGCTTGTGCTGTATTGGCAACACAAGTCAGAATGACACACATGCATGTTCAAGACACACCACACACAACACAACACAACACACAACAAGGGGCACTAACATGAGCATGTCTGTACCAATAAACCCAGCTGAATGGGTCACTGGAGAGCTGCTCTGGAGGTGGCCTATTGAAGAGAGAGACAAGATACTGGTAGGATTTCTTCATGGTCTGGGTATTGTTGAGCTCAGTGAGGGCAGAGAGGGTATCCTTGAGGATGGTGGTATCAAGCTGAGCCAGGAGAAGAGGAAGGGGAGAGTCAGAGGGACAGATGTTGAGGAAGGAGTAGGGACCCATCCAGGGTGAGGCAGAGGAATGGTAGTCCTTTATAAACATCGGAGATCAAGTGAAACATCTGCACATCATCTTCATGGCAGGAGAAGTGGAAGACATGAGGCCTGGAGGTGCCCTGAACACCACAGATATAGGGATCCATCCAGCATTTGATAGACCAGCACTTGAGAAGGAATATAGGCTCAGGGTGAAGGTGAGGTGCAGAATACCAGTCCTGCAGACCTTGCTTGAATGCCTTGACAGTCAGGACCTGTGGATTATACTTCATGCCAATCATGAAGGTTGAGAACATCTGGTCAATATCCTTGTGGGTGTGTCCCACAGGCAGGAAGGATATGGTGATTGATCAAAACACCTTGTTGAACACCAGCCAGTGGCAGTAGGCCTACTTGTTGTTATTCTCCTGGCTGCCGTTGTTGAACTGTAGGTAGAGAGTTGATGGATGTAGTCCTGCTGCAGGAACAGCCAATTGAAGGGTGAGGTGATGGTGCAGCAGAGACACTGCAAAGTTGGGACCACAGCTGAACTGGCCCTGGTGTAGGTACAGGGAGTGGTGGTGAAGGCGATGGTTGATAAATCCATGAATGCCAAGCTTGCAGAGGTCCTTCCACACGTTTTCTTGGTTCCTCCCAATTTAGTCTCTCTCCTGTCACTGTGATCAGAGTCTTGAGGGATGCTTCCACCATCTGTTGTGCTGAGTTGAATTTGATCCAGCTGTAGGAGAGGTTCTGCCTGTCCAAAGGGCTTCTCACAATTTCTGCTTCCTTGAAGCTTGCTTTCAGGAACAAGCAAAGGTTTGACAACTTCCATCTTTTCAGTGTGCCTTTCAGGTGGAGCTTGAACTCGATCTTCCTGATGTAGGACAAAGTGATGTTGGCTGGTCTGGTGTTGATGTTGATGAATTTCTTCACAATGTAGTTCTCCACATCCTCCACAGTGCAGAAGGAAACTGTGATGGAGCTGTTGGTCAATTTGGAAGATTTAATCAGTGAGTTTGCTTCTGTGTCAACAGTGTTGAGGGGGAGGTTGGGTGCATAGATGTATACAGTATGGGGGGTGTCAAAAGAGCAGTCAGACTGCTTTAGTTCTTGGATGGCCCACTCCTTCTTCACTCTTCTGATCACATTCATTCCTGCCACCCTTCCCTCTTCCAATGTGAACATGAAGATGGCTGATTGCTTGTGGGTTTGAGGGAAGAGTATGGTGATGTTGGTGTCTAGTGCACAGGTGGGGTTTAAGAAGGCTTGTACAGTCTGGAAATCCTCTTTGACATGCTCAGCAACAACTGTTACTGGGACAATGGGGTCTTCTTCATCAATCTTGGTACCTCCCCTGGACTTCACAATAACATTCCTGAGAACCACCAGTTCAATGGCCAACACCCTTGAGTTCCTGGAGATGTTCTAAACAAGGAGTCTACAGCCTGCACAATGTCTTCTTTGATTGTTGCATTCAGCTTCATGTTGCAGATTGAGGTTATTATCATGTCAATCAAGGTTAGGTTTGTAGGGGCTGGGTTGTTGTTTTCAGGTTGCCCCAGACTTCCAAAATTTGTCATTTCAGTTGCTTTTTCCTTGTCCTTGGCCTTGCAAGCCTTCTTTGTGATTGAGCTGGGCTTCTCAGGGGTCTTGCTTCAAGCAACTTAGGGCATTGTTGGGTTCCATTTCTGAAATTGTAATTTGTTTGTTTGGATTGATTAGCATCAACAATGTGCGCATTTGGGGTGGAGAAGCTAGTTCTCTGGTGTTGTTTTGCAATGGAATGAGATGAGATGCAGAAGCTTCCAGGGGCTATTCTCATTGGCAAGGAGGTTGAGAAGAGCTGTTATTTCCAGCACATTGGTCGTCAGGATGGAAAGCAGTCTGTGTGGTGAGACAGGTTAGTAATCACACACATGAGCCTTGTTTTGAGAGCAATGAATAATGTCATACCATGTCAATTTGGATTGGTGTAACCCAGCATCTGGTGCAGCCTGTGCTGATCCCAGTGGTGAGTAGATGGTAAGCATACCCTTCTTGCTAATCTTGTACTTGTTGCCTGCCAGGTGTGCTGTTCAGTTGAGAGGTGCTTGAGGATGTGAAGCAGAATTGGATTGGAAATGAATTCCTCAGGAGGCCAAGAAGTAAGAGATGAAGGGCACTGAGATGTGACAAATGGCCCCTCTGAATTGTGTGTGACAAGAATAAAAATTGACTTTTTGTCCAGGTAAATCCCAGCAGCTGTGATTTTTCCTTTTATGGTTTCTGTGTGCTAAAAAAAACGTGTGTAGTCATTGTGTACATGTATGCAATAAATTGTACCAAAACATGTACATGATAGAAATTGGTCATTCCAGACCTTGATCTGCATGAAATGGTGGAGTTAGTATGTGTATGGAATATGTGATTTTTTGTCACATATTTTTACACAATGAATGCATGTACCATTGAGCTGATGACCTTCTTCCACTCAATTGCTCACTCACCTTTTTTAGGGGTCCAGAACTTGTCAGTTTCAGGGTGTCACAGTGCTGGCAGTCCTTGTCATGCATGTGGTTCTGGCCCCATGTGAGGACATGAATGTTGTCTTCCAAGACCTTGTTCTGGATATGGAGAAATGGTATTAGTCAGAGCAGGGACATCAATAAAGTATCTTAGAAAAAGTTCAGGCATGCCATCTTTGAGGACACACTGAGAGGGAGGCAGCTCTTGAACAAGCAGACACTCCATCATAAGAACGCCCATCTTGTTCATTGATGTAGAGAGAACTCTGCATCCTCTGTGGTAACCAACTGGTGAGTGCTACTCTTGGTCATTCAGTTGATGTTGATTGTTACAGTGTTCATCTTCACATGATCTGCACAGAGGACACTATAATGGTTAACTTATCCTCCCCTCTCACCACCACATCTCTCAACTGCTCATGCATGGAGGCATCAGACACTCATGCCTGGTTTGTCCCACACTTATACTTGATTTTTCCTGTAATTCTTAACCCTTCTTAATCAAAATTATGATGCACCAAGAAAAATACTATTTATCATGACATCATGTAACATGTAGTATTAATTCCTATTTTATCATCACATGCACATACACAATGATTTAACTACATTTATGATATTTTCATTTTGCCACTTGTATGCACAGAGTCATCACATACACATATGCAATAACTATCCTGTCTGATATCACCTCTTTATTCTTACAGGCTTTATAACCCTTTTTTCAAAAACAGATACATCATCCCCAACACTCACTCCAGGAGTGATTCTGAGGATCATAGTGATCTCACCATGACACTGGTACTTGAGATTCCTGTATCCCTCATTCTGGATGTGTGTAGTGATGATACTGGTCACCTGGCTACATCCAGCCAGCAGATCATGGATTTGGTGGACTGCTGTGCACCACAGCCAGCAGCAAAAGTGCTTTCAACAGTTGAGGCATTGGACTTTAATCAGATCATCACAAGTCCCTGCTGTTCCACACTCTGTCTGCGCATGTTCAATGGATCACAGATACAAGCATGCTGCATCCAATATCTCAGCATGACCCAGGCAGCTTCATGCCAATGGCTGAGGACATTGATGGAGAACCAACCACTCCACTGTTGACTCTACCATTTATGTCATCAGGTATTGTCCATACAACAGCTCATTAGAGACAGCTTCCTCACTACACTGGTAGTGTGTTTGCAGGCAGGCGTTCATGCTTGCATATGGAATCTCTGAGAACAAAATGGCCAACTTCTCCACCATGGATACTCTTCAGACTGGAAGGACCTCCACTGATGCTAAGCTCAGGCCAGCACATGATAGAATATATTCTTATTAATCATGGGTGAAGTGCTGGGCGTTTAAGGCATCCAAGTATTTCTGGTAGAGGTGATCCTTGGTCATGATCATTGGCATGTAGATGGAGGTTGAGTTGGGAGCATGACAGCTGTACTGGAGTAAGGGAGAAGTTGAGCAAAACAGGTGATGAGTATCATGTACACATACATGATAAAATTTGGTGATTTATGGTAGCTGTGAGCATGATTAATGAGGATATTCTATCACATACACATACACAATAGATAAGGGGAGTAATACCATGTTGGTGTACATGGTTATCCATGTGCTGGCCTGAGCTGTAGCATCAGCGGAGGTATTGGTCTTTCTGTTGGTTCTGTAGCTGGCATCAGCATGAACCACAGGTAATAGATTGGATGGAAGCGGGAGCACGACGAGCGGAAGAAGCAGCGCAGCAAGATCGTGTACGAGGCGGCCAAAAAGAAGGGCATGGGCGACCTGGGCAACGGTGAGACCGCCTGCCTCGACAACTTCACCCCCTTTGGCTGCGCCTCGCCCACCATCGCCCAGACGCGCCAGCACGTCCTCCACCGCCGGCCGCCGCCCTCGCCTTCCCCATCGGCGGCTGGTTCGCCCCTACCTTGCCGTTCGGCCGTGCCGCCCAGCCCTGGCTCGCCTCTGGCCGCGCCCGTCTCAGCGTCGTCGCCCGTGGCCTCGCCGCTCGCATCCGCTCGCTACCCCCAGTCGTCGTCGTCGTCATCCTCGTCGGCGCCGACGTCGCGCTTCATTCCCGCCACGCCCTCCAACTCCGCGCCCGCCTCGCCACTTCCGTCGATGTCGCCGACCCGCGAGAAATTGAGCAAGCTGCGTGATGTCATCATCAAGCGGAAGGACATGCTGATGCGCTCGAAGGGCAAGGAGGAGTCTTCAGAGTCCGATGGCGACGATGACAATGGCGACGATGGCGCACACCACGCTTCGCTCATAATAGGCGAAGCACGTGACGTGCCGACTGCAACCGTGGCCGCGACGGTGTCCAGGTCGACCATTGTCGTGGGTCGTGTCGACCCCAGAGTGGCCCCGGAGCCCCAGCGAGCGCGAGCAACGTCCAAGCCAACGCCGCCGCTTCCTCCGCCGCGTCGGGTGCTGTCCAGCGACAACGAGGCGCCATCGCGCCCGGCCATCCCGCCGCTACCGCTGCTCCTCCGTGACCACCCGGCCTGGCAGGCCCGCGAAGAGGCCAAGGCCAAGACGAGGTCCACGCCCGGCCCCGCCTGCGAGACGTCGCCTCGCACCGAGCGACCGCCCGTTCCGCCGTTCCCCGCCTACCTGCACAACAACAACAACGACATCAACGAAGGCGAGAGTGCCTCCACCAAGGTCCAGCAGAAGGTGACGACGGCGGCGGGTGTGAGCGCGATCGCTGCGCCGATGTCGCCGCCACCACCCGCACGCCCGCCGCGTCCGACGCGGCTGCAGGCCACGGCCAAGCAGCGCAGCTACTACCCGACATCGCACCGCGACCGACAGCTGGAGGTCTCCGAGCAGCTGGCGCGCTGGAATCAGTTCTACAACAGCACCTCGCGCAAGGTCCGCGACAACAACACGGAAGAAGGCGACGACGATGACGACTCGGCGGTCTCATCACCCGGGACCCGAGGCGTGGCGAGCCCGAAGCCACCAAGCACGCGCCCGCCGCCGGTGCCGCCCGCGCGCCAGACCGTCGGCGTGCCGTCGCCCACGTCATGTCCGGCCGCGATCCAGTCGTCTACTCCGTCTCCGTCGTCGTCTACTTCATCCTCGCCAACGGGATCCGCGTCGCACCCACTACGAGACCTCCAAAAACCTGAGGACGCCGAGACCACCTCCGCTCCTTGATCCACCACCATCACCATCTAACCCTCTCAATTTCTTCCATCTTCCATCTTCTCATAATCAAATGCTGACATGTATAAAGACAACATATCCCATATCCCACCCCTACTTTCTCTCACCACTGGAATGTTGAGTGTGTAGGACAATGTTGACAGTCTGTCCCTGATGGAATGAGGCAGGAAGGAAGAAGGAGATGGTCCTATACTCCTGGGTTTGGCAGGTGGTGTGCTGGGAGAAAGCCTTTGCCCTGGATCTGGGGATTGAGGCTCCTCCAATCCGCGTTGGCGCAACACCCTTAATTTGACGGTGTGGCACGCTACAGACAACAACCCAAGCACACACCAACTGGGAACACACATCATTATCTTAACCACCAACCCAACCAACCAACACCACACCAACCCGATCTTCATCAAGATGAAGCCCACCGCTGGCCTTCTGTGCTCTTCGTTGCTGATCGTGCTCGCCTTGGCCTGCACCGCACAGGGTGCTGGGTACTCCCTCACGTGGGAGGCCAAGGGCTCCACCTTCTTCGACAAGTTCAACTTCATCACCTACAACGACCCCTCGCTTGGCTTCGTCAACTACGTCAACCGCACTTACGCCCAAGGCACGCACCCCAACATATCTACATGAACATGTTGATATGTCGGCATGTTGGGATCTAACAACCCAAACGACACACAGCCAAGGGTTACATCTCGGTCAAAGCCAATGGGCAGGTGAAGCTCAAGCCCGACACCAGCAATGTGGTGGCGGCCGGGGCGCGCGGCCGCGATTCGGTGCGCCTCGAGTCCAAGACGCTGTTCAACGGAGGCGTCTTCGTGGCCGACGTGGCCCACATGCCCACCGGCTGCGGCACCTGGCCCGCCTGGTGGACCTACGGACCCAGCTGGCCTACCAACGGCGAGATCGGTACCGTGTGTGTCGTGAGTGTCGTGTGTCGTGCGTGAGGAATGCGTGGCCGGCTGACTTGTGCGCACACACAGACATCATCGAGGGGGTGAACAGAGACACGGTCAATGCTGCGACTCTCCACACCAGCGCCGGGTGTGACATGACCAGCGTCAACCAGACGCAGCTCATGACCGGGACATTCCTGGAGCCCAACTGCGACACCACCGCCGGCAATGTACGGGCGGCTCGCCAGTCCCTCTGTCTCTTCGCACACCGCTCATGAGTGATGATGATGGTGGTGATGGTGGTTTCGGTCCGTGCAGGGATGCGGCGTTGATGCGTCGGCCAACTCGTACGGCGCCCCATTCAACACCGCGGGCGGCGGCGTCTACGCGCTCGAGTGGACCACGTGGCGGATTCGCGTGTGGTACTTTAACCGCACGCGCATTCCAGCGTACGCCAGCCTCCCCCCCGCCTCCCCCCACCACCGCTCTGACCCTCGTGTGTCGTCTGGTGTCGTCTGGTGTCGTGTGGTGTCGTGTGGTGTCGTGTGTGGGGTGGGTTAGGGACATCACGGCGGGCAATCCCAACCCGGCGGCGTGGGGCAAGCCCTTCGCCTACTTCGCCCTGGGCACCAACTGCCCGGCGTCGCACTTCCGCAACCATACGATGACCATCAACCTAACCTTCTGCGGTGCCTGGGCCGGCAACTCGTGGGTGTGGGGGTCCGACTCGGTCTGCGCCGCCAAGGGCACCTGCGTGGACTTTGTGCGCAAAAACCCATCGGTACCCGCCCATCATCTCTTCTTTCCCACACCGCTCCGTCAACAACCAACACCAATCATCTGCGCATGTGTGGTGTGGTGTCAGGCATTCACCGAGGCCTATTGGCTGTTCAATTCAGTGCGTGCTTACCAGTGGGCCAACTAAACACATGAGAGACTGAGGCCATAGGCATTGGCCCTTCTCTGCTCCAGACTGTACTTCAATAAGTGTATTGACTGGTCGGAAGCGTAGTGGGCGCGGCGGTGAGGGGAGCCTCGTTAAAAACCTCTCTCAGGCGTAGAGAGGAAAAGAGTGCCCCTCTGGTGTGAGTGATCGTCTTGATGGTCGTGTGGTATCGGGTCGGTTCGTGGTCATCGTCAGTCGGCTGCGGTTCTGTCGGGAGGTGCGCTACCCTCCTAGGCGCCAGCTACTGCTGGCACTTTGGGGGTTGCGCTGTGCAACGTATGTTAGTCCCAGGTCACTGAGTAGGTTACATCGCGATAGCCACATTTGGTGGCTGGCGGTGAGGAGTACTATTTGGATGTCTGGGTTCTTTTTCATTTTGTCGTTAATATGACTGTACACATGCTGGAGCTCCACACTTTCTTTTGTGTATATGAGATTTACAATGTTGTAGAGAGTGTCTGTGTTTGGGACCATGTGGCCTGGTGGTGGTCCTGCTGCTTGTGCCTTGCTGATAGCTCCTATTGCATATTGGCTGTCTGTGAATATTCTTATTTTTATTGTTTTTGTTTGTCTGTGCTAGAACCCTGTTCAATGCTGTACAGTTTGGCATTGTTGTTGGTTTGTTCTTGTGGTGTGTGAAGGGAGATCATGACTAGTGGTTTAGTGTTGAATGCTATGCTGCTGCCTGTGTTTCCTTCTTGGAGTGACCTGTTGGTAGAGATATCCATGCTCTTGTAGTTTTTGAGTGCCTTTGTGGGTTTGGGTGGAGGTGGGGTTGTTTCTCTGTGAAGTACAGTGAAACACTGGGAAGATGATGGTCATGTTGCACTCCTTGGCTGCTGCCACAAATGATGCTATTGTGGGTAATACCAAGTGTTCATGAAAAAGGGTCAGTGACTCTTTTTTTAAGGTCAAAATGCACTTTTCTGTATGGAAAACTGTGCAAAAGTGCCATTTTTTCAGCTTTTTATGTGCAGATTGGGCCATCTCATGGGGTTGAGGGAGCTGCTTCATGGCTGTGTGCATGCTGCACCAACCGTGGCACAGTGTGTGAATGGTGAGTCTATCATGTGTGTTGGTTGTGGCATACTTCAGGGTACCATCTGTGTTGACACCAAGCTGATTCTCATTTGTAATTTCTGGGGTGCAGTATGTGCCTGAGATTAAGCACATGCTGCTATCTCTGCTTCCCTCAGTGACAAGGGGCTCAGCATCCTGTGGGACCTGATTCATGGCTTCCAGTTCTTTGATGGTGGCGCTCTTCTCATTCACAAGGGCAATCTACTCATTGCTCCAATGCCACTACCCCTACATCTGACATTGCATTTGCTATACTCAATCTTGACATTTGACATCATAACCTTGGTCATGCAATGGGTGATGAGCATCAGATCAGAGAAAATAGAGTTTGAGGTGACCACCAGTGCCAACTCATGGGTGAGGGCCTCAGACTCAAGAGGCTCTGCAGGCATAAGACTAGTGTTGCAGCTGGGTGGCATGGTATTTGATGAGCCAGCTGATGAGATGTTGGTGAGGAAGGGCATTGGATTGAATGGCTGGACTGGCTCCTAGGGTGCAGGGGCTGATTCCACACTTGTTGAAAATGACATTGCATGTGTGCATTGCACAGCCAGTGGCCATAATGGGAACATGGTAGATAGACAAGGAGTACCCTTGATCTCTCCCAGCCAAAGAAGATCCCAGACCTGGCCACAGACTTAAGACTTGCTGACTGTAAGCCCCTCTGCTCTCCACTTCCCGCAGGCTGCAACCTCTCAGTTGTTGAAGTGACATTGTGCCTCCAGCTCCACTTCAGGCGAATTGTGGGATGTCTTCTCTACATTGCTCTGTTGACTTGACCAGACATTCTGTTTGCAGTCATCTACCTCTCCAGGTTTCTATGTGGGCATGACAACAGGCACTATGAAGCTGTTGGACACATTGTTGCCTACCTTGTTGGCATGGCCAAACTGACCATTCACTACCAGCATTCCTCTGATCACACAGTCACTCTAGCTCAATTGAACTCCCAGATATCGATCCACCGCGCCTTGTCCTTGAGGCTGCCGGCGCAGAGCGTGCGGTACGAGGAGCTGTTGGCGAGGTCGTAGGTGTAGGCGCGGTCCCTCTCCTTGGTCTTGCCCACCTTGCCCTTGCCCGCCGACACCATCTGCAGCAGCGGCACTGCAATTAAACGTCAGCACGAGAAAAGGCCAGGCCAAGAAAACTATGCGCGCGTCGAGATTGGCGGGAGGGGGCGTACGAGAGGAGTCGGAGATGTCCTTGAAGACTACCTCGTGCAGGAGGAAATACTGTTTGAAGGCGTAGAGCGGACCCTGCAGCCGAACGCTCGCTCTGGCCGTGGCGGCTATGGGTGGACGCGCACTTGCATTAGCGTGCGCACACGGATAAGCTTTGCTGGGAGGCGGGTAGGTAAGTGGGTGCCTACCAGTTTTGTTTGCGTGCTGGATCTTGGCGGCGGCGCCCTTGAGCGGCTCGCAGACCAGGAGGCAGTCGCTGAACAGGAAGAGCTGCAGCGTCTTGTCGACTTGCCTCTTTTTGTTGAGCTCGGTGAAGGCGGCCTCGCCCACGAACGACCGCTTCGGATTGATCAGCTCCAACTGTAGAGCGGTGCGCGTGTGAGTTAGCACCAGTGCGTCAGCTGCGCAAGGCCACACATGAGCTCGCGTACGTTTTGAAGACCCTGGATAGTGTGTCGCAGCTCGATGATCTTGGCGATGGAGTAGGCCCTCTCCGTCGCGTCGTTGACGTGCTCAGCGATGGCTAGCAGCTTCTCCAGCGCCCTACACGGTCCATGGGGTGAATACGGCCGTCTGTGTGTGCAACAGGTCTATCTAGAACGTGTGGGCGGCGTACAGTTCCACGCTTGCTCGGTCCTTGTGAGCGTCGGGCGTGTGCTTGAGCAGCTCCTGCAGCAGCAACGGGTACTGGCAGATGCGCTGCACCGGCTTGATCAAGAACGACTTGAGGTCCAGCTTGCGGCACTGCGGCTTGTTTTGCGCTTTCTGCATTACGGAAAGAGAGGAGGGGAAAGATCAACAAATGCACGCTCGCTGTGCGCACTAACAGTGCCACGTACGAGTATGAAGGTCTGGAACGTGGCGTTGGTGGCTTTGTTGCGTCGGATGGCGCGGAGTGCTTCGGCTTGCCGCGAGCAGAAGGTCCCGTACAGCTTCAAGTAGTCGGTCTAGTGTGGTAGAAGCAGTTAGCAGAAGAGCCGGTACGCAGTACTTCAGGTGGGCAACGTACGTGTTCGAGGAAGAGGTCGCCCATGCATACATCTTCGTCGGGAAGACCTTGGCAGGCGTTGACCCTAACTTGCAGCGCGTCGAGGAGAGACTTGTTGATCGAGAGCAGCGTGGGAAGAGTGGAGAAGATGAGCCCCAGCTCCGTATCGGGCAGTATTCGCCCCTTCCTCAACGGCTGCAGGTAAAGCTGTTGTGCACCAATTATTAGCGAAACGTAGCGCTTCATCTTCAATCGCTATTTACGAGTAGCGATGTGACCAGGTATGTGGAAGAGGGCGTACGTTGTTAAGAATCTCCAAGTCGCGGTAGTAGTCCTTCTCGGTCTCAACGATTTCTACGAGAACGTTCATCCTCCTTTTGGCTCGGGCCAGCTCGGGATCATCGATCTGGCTTCCTTCGCCTGGCCGTGGTGTAAGCCCCGGCTCGCACTCCTCATCCACATCTTCATCTTCTTCGACTCCCTGCTGAGAGCTTGTCTGTCCTTCGGTTGTGTTTTCGAGATGTTTGCCGGCTGTGGCGAGCGACTTCGCTTTTCCCGCCTTTTCCCACTCCTCTTCGTCTTCGACCCAGGCCTCTCCGCTCTCCTGCTCCTCCATCTGCTTGAGCTTCTCCACGATGTCGTCGAATCGGAGGGTGATCATCCTGCCCGAGGTCTTCGACGTGAGGCAGCGCTTCTCTTCTCCCGGCGCGTGCACGGCGATCGGTATTACCGTCTCCATCTTGTGAGGTGATTTTTGTAAATATGCTGTGGTCGTTGTTGCTTGTCTAGACTCGCCGAGTAGTACAGAAAGACTCAACAAATCGAACGAGTAGTAGATAATGAGGGAAAAAGATCTAGAATGATGAATGAAAATGATCAAACTCTACTGACTTCTCGTTGCATTCGTTGAGCGTGTGGGCAAGAGAGGACAGTGAAGAAGCACTTGCCGCAGGCCCCAAACGATACACTATGCGGCACCCACCACCGACGAGATAGGCCAATGCCCGACGCGTAGTACGGCCGACACTCTCCGTGGAAGGGGCGTGGTCGCACCACACGCGGCCAAATTAATGTATCACGGAGTCTGACCCACGTTGAAATCCTCGTAATATCCCCCCACAGTAGGCGCGTCCCACGGTGCCATCGTTAGGGCGACCGCAGCCTCGCACGACCGCATGAAGTGGTTCCCTGCAGTTGTCGCAGGAGCTCGCTTCCTCTCCGGTCTCCCCGACCTCGTTCGTCGTTCTCTGATCAAGCAAGCCCGCCAAGTCCAACAGTCGAAACGGTCGTCACGACAGGTGGCTCGTGTCGTGCATGTTGACCTTCGTGTGTGCGCACCCAACGGGCAGATACAAAGCACTTCCTCAAACAGCACGCACAGGACGGAGATGGTGGTGATGAAGAGGACAATGTAAAACGAGGAAGCTACATGTAAACACTCTCAAATGTGTTATTTGAGCGAACGAAGGATTATGAACATGAGAGGCTTGGGGGGGGAGAGCGACAACGGGACTTAGTCGAGGAGCGCGCGGATGACGGTGCTGACGTTCATCCGCTTGATGTCGCCGTACTTCTGGCCGGTGCCGACGAACACGATGGGCTGGCCCGTGGTGTAGACCATGGAGATGGCCGCGCCCACCTTGTCGTCGATGGTGTCAAACTTGGTGAGGATGATGCCGTCGATCTGTCGCGGCTGGGCCACGTTCGAGGGCACAAAGTCCGACAGCGCCAGGTTGAAGCCGCGGAGCTGGTCCACCGCCTCGTTACCCACCAAGGCCTCGCCCACGAACAGGATCAAGTCGGGGTTGTTGGTGTAGACGAGCTGGAGAACCACATCATCGAAGAGAGAGAGAGAGAGAGTCAGCACCATCAACGAATGACGTGGAGGGAAGGTCGTCAGGTGGGTAGGTCGGGCGCACCTTGGCGAGAGCTTGCATGAGACGTCGGTTGTCCTGCATTCTGCCTGCTGTATCGATCAACACCACGTCCATTCCCTTCTGTTTGGCTGTGGGTGTGTGAAAGCGTGGGTCAGCATGTGCGGCGCATTTGGTGTGATGTTGAATGAATAGGTAGTGAACAGGGAAAGGCGTCATAATAAGGACGGTTTGTTGTCATAAAAGATCCAAAAGTGATACTGATCTAATAAATCATCGCCTTCGTCATTGAGAGAAAGAGAGTTGAGGAGTACCTTCGTAGATGCCGTGCTGGGCCACGAGTGCCGGATCCTTCTCGTAGCCTCGCTCGAAGAGGGGCACATTCAGGTTGCGCGAGTGCACTCGCAGCTGCTCCACGGCTCCAGACCTGAAGGTGTCGCAAGCAGTGATCTGAACACAAAGCAGACGAGTAGCGTGAGCAAGTCGTCACAGAGACCACACTAAAGTCGTCGAGAGGGCAATGAAAAAACGGTGGTTTCAGATTTAAAAAGCTCGATTGTGTTAATCCACATGAATTGTCGGATAGAATGCTCATCATGTACACACCGCAAAAGAAAAGAGAAACTGCTGCTGCAGACATTGAGAGGCGGGCGACGTACCATGACGTTGAGCTTGTTCTGCAGCAGGTAGTTGCACACCTTGGAAAGGTTGGTCGACTTGCCCACGCCGTTGACGCCCACGAAGGCGATGGTGTAGGGGCGGCCCTCCTTCTTGACTCGCGCCACCTCTTGCAGGATCTCGAGCCGCGACTTGGGCGTGAGAATGCGAGTGAGGGCCTCCTCGAGCGTCGTTCGCACGGCAGAGCGCACGCGCGAGAACGAGGACATCGTCTTGCCCTCGAGCGACGTGCACACGGACTCTACCAACTCGTCGGCGATCTCCGAGGCGACGTTCTTCGCGATCAGCGTCTCCCTGAACTTGCCCAAAACAGGCATGAGCTCCTCCCGTTTGAGAACCTGCGGGCCAACACGGACGCACAAAGGTTAGCGTCACACTGTGGGGTGTAGCAGTGAACATGTGACGAGTATATGGATGTAATGTGGTGATTGACTGTGCAAGAGCTCGTAGACCGAATGGGTCATTATAACCGATTGGTGGATTGTCCTCGCTGGTGGTTGATGTAGCAAACCCCTCAAGAGTGTTTAGCGTAAAGGAGGGAAACAGCGAGCAAGAGAGTGGGTTGCTCTCTACCTACTGGCAGTATTTGCATATTGTGTGTGCGAGCGCGCGGTGATGGCATGAAACGTGCAAAAGAAGAGAAAGACGGAGGTGGTTACCCTGTTGGTGAGCCCGGAGAAAATAGAGCCGATGCTCCACGAGCTGCCGGACTTGGTCTGAGTGCCCTCATCCTCGTCATCGTCTTCTTCATCCACCGGGCTGCGCTTGTCTGTGTAACGGACAATTTAAAAGAGTATGAGCAACGCGAGAACGAAACGGTGTGTATCGTGTGAAGGCTGCGCACTCTTGAAAAAGGCGTCCCAGTCGTCGGCGTTGATGGGTTCGCTCGCATCGCCGTACTTGTCGCTGGCCTCAAACTGTGGACACAGCAAGAACAACAACCACGTTAGCACGAGAAGATGCTCATGAGCGGGGGACGCAGCAAAGCGAGATCAATAAGCACCTCTTGCTGGCCACTCTTCTCTGAGTAATCGATCTTGCCGGGGCCATCTTCCTCCCATTTGCGCGCCACCTTACCCTTCTTCTTGGTGTCAGCGGCCGCAGGAGGAGCCGCGGCAGGAACCTTCGGCTTGGGACCCTTCCGCATCGGACCGGGCGCGCCACGACCACGACCCACCGCTGTACCGATCAAAGGACAAAATTCGTAAGAATCGAAATGTAAAATCGTAGCAAGTAGCGAGCAATGAATTACCTTTCTTCTTGAGCAGCGCAGCTCTGTTGGCCATGATGGTGGCTTCGGGATCAGCAGCGGCAGACGCGCTCTCGCCAGTCGCCGAGGCATCTTCGGCTCCCGTGCCTTCATCGTCGCCTGTTTGCTCTACTTCCTCCTCCACCATCTTGTCGTCGGCTTCTCCCTCATCACCCTTGCTCTTCTTCGATGCCTTTTCCTTCTTTTCGCCCTTGGCCTTGGTGCTCTCGACCACCTCCTTGCCCCTCTTCGTGTCCTCAAAGCGGCGTTGCGCGCCTCGGGCCTGCTTGGCCTCCTGCGCCTTGGTCTCGCACTGCAGGCGAATGCGCTCGAATGGCTTGTCGAATGCCAGAGGCCCGCTCAGATTAATTGTCTTGGCCCTGACAGCATCGCCGAAGAGAGAGCAGAACTTCTTCTTCACCAGCTCCAGCATTTCCTCGATGTAGAGCAGCTGAAGGATCTTCTGGTAGACTGCCACGAAGACCAGCTCGAGATCGTTGTGGAAGGTCCATTCGATCTTGTAGCTGCCGGCGATGAAAGATTTCTCGGCACCCTTACGCTCCTGCAGGAGGATGTCAGTGGCCATTTTATAAAATTAATACACAATTAATTAATTCAAGGACGAACCTCGAGCAGAACAGTCTGGATGAGGTCATCGATGGGGTTGCCGACCAGGTTCGTGAAGCTCTCACTCCAGAGCACGATACCGCCCTTGGTGAAAACTGCTATCTTGTCCAGCATCTTGGCTGCTCGTGAGCTGTAGGTGCGAATCTAGATCTGATCAATCACTTGTGCGAGTCGCTCGTGTCACGACGGACTTTCGTTTGCCGTCGACGACGAAAAGCAACAGAAAGGCTGGCGGTGCGTCGGTGTGGGCAGCTGCGACTGTGCGCCAGGTGGTGGTGCTCCTCAGGAAGCGAGGATGACGATACGGTCGGAGGTGCCGCAGAGAAGGGACGGAAGGGTGAGTGTCATACTGGTGTGCGAGCGTGAAGGAGAGAGAAGCACCCGCTGCAGCTCCGCTTATGTGGCGGCAGTGGTTGCGGACTTGGCAAACACCGCTTGGTCAACCCAAGTCAAGGCCATATGTGCAGTAATCGTGCAGCATCGGCACTTCCATTTTCTTCTTTTTCTCTTCTCTTTTAATTGGAGAATCGATAAAGGCATCCCATCGATTGATCAGGATCTGCACGCACAAGAGATGGAAATCGACCACGACGGGGTGAGCCCTTTGTTCCTTCGCCTGCATTCGTTGCGTCGGCCTCGTGGACTAATCGAATTCAATTTGCGGGGGGGGGAGTAGGAAGAGGAGGGATTCCAGGCGCTGCCCTCTGGTGAGCGTGTTGAACCGCCCAAGGAGCGCAAGACCACCCGGTACATGACCAAGTACGAACGCGCCCGCGTCCTTGGCACCCGTGCCCTGCAAATCAGGTACGATTTAATTTTGGCCATTTACGGGGCGAGATGAATGGAGATGGAATTCCCGCTCGTCTGATCCCGCCGTCACGTTTTTGTGCCAAACAGTATGAATGCGCCCATCATGGTGGAGCTGGAGGGAGAGACGGATCCACTTGAGATCGCCCAGAAGGAGCTTCGCGAACGTAAGATCCCCATCATCATCCGACGCTACCTGCCCGATGGCAGTTTCGAGGATTGGAGTATTGATGAGCTGGTGGTCGATTAAACCAAACCCTCGTTGTGCATTCTCTCATCCTGACGCGTGGTCGCCGCCGTCTATCGTCTGTTCATGTCTCCAGCCACAGCCTTCCAGAAAGAACACCCCTGGCTCGTGCAGTTGCACCTCAACAACGTTGGTCGGATGGAGTCGTGGGTGGTGTATTTACAAACATGCGCCGCGCGAAGAGAAGAGAGAAGCTGCACCCACAAAGAGAAAGAGGCGATCATGAAAGAACGAAAGCGACGAAAGAGAGCCGCAGCTGGCGGGGCAGGTGCCGAGCGTAGCGAGCTTTGTTTCTAGAAGTCCCAATCGGGGTCCTCGTCGGCGGGGTTGAGGTTGGACTGCCTGCTGCGGAGGGCGGCGATGATGAGGGAAAGCGAGGCGAAGCCGATGAAGACCCACGTGGCAAAGTAGCAGATGACGCCGAAGAAGGGCATGCGCATGAAGATGCGGTGGATCATGGTCCCGATCGCCGTCATCTTGCACAACTCGGTGGGCGCCGCCAACGAACAATCTTGCTCCTGTTGATGGCGACGACAACGACGATGAGCACACCCACGCCATGAAAGGAGAGAAGAAGAAAAAGAAGAAGAGGCTCCAGCGTACCGCGCCGGCTTCGTCCCTGTAGGTCTGAGAACCGTAGGACGCGTACTGGGGGAAGAGGGTGAGGATCTCGAGGTTGAAGGCCACCAGGGACAGCATCATGATGAGCGTGGCCAGCAGCAGACCCTAAAGACAGAACACGCAAAAGAAAAAGAATGAAAACGAAAGACACATGTATGAGTTTGTGAGAATCCAATTCACACAGGTGGCGAACCCACGAGAAGAAGAAGAAGAGGAGTTGATTACCTGAGGGCGAGTGGCGCGCGCCTTGATGCGGTAGAGCAGGATCCACAGGGCACGGATGCCGATCGAAGTGACGCCCGACAGCGTGGTGAAGAAGATGTACATCACCACGAGGCCCACCACAATGTAGTCCATGGGGAAATACTGCATTATTTCACACACAACACGCAACACACGCAGCGCACACGAGGATCAGCGAGTCTTGCCTCATTGCATGAGAGAGTGGGCGGCACTGATTGGGGGGAGGAGCAGTGCCTTGGAGATGACGACCAGGAGGGCGTCGAGAGGGTTCCACCTCTTGGGGTTGGTGAGCACGTAGCCGCACGAGAAACCGCACTCCGAGTTGAGCAGCTTGTCGATGTTGGTGAGGACCATCGACACGAGCAGCACCACCGTCACGATGAAGAAGAAGAACCCGAAGAGGAAGAAGAAGGGACGCAGGCAGCCGTAGAGCCTGTTGCAGCCTGGACAAGAGAACAGGAAAGAAACGACGAGCGAGCGGTCAGCACCTGTCGCACACACCGCACACGCACATGAACAAAAGGGCTGTACCCTTGCCGGCGACGTGCAGCTGCTGCGCGTGGGTGTTGAGCTTCCGCTCCTTGTCCCTCAGCAGCGAGAGGGAGGCCTCGTCCCTCCTCGACATGGCCGCACCAGCGCCCATGTACTTGGATTGCAGGGCCTTTATCGAAGCGCAGACGCGATCAGTGATCATACGAGGATGCAACACACGACACCCAATCCACAGCACGCATGCCACGCGCATACAATCCACAATGCAACACACGCGTTTGCAAGGCAGATAAGGGTCGGGGGGGGGGGTATACCCTGCGCCTCTCCTGGGTGACGACGAGATCAGCGTCCACCTCTCCGGCCTCCTCGCTGACGTCCTTCGCGCCCTTCATGAAGCCCACCGGGAACGACGCAAAGCCGTAGCCCTACGATAACACACAACACACAACACAACACAGGCGGTGAGCGAGAGTCGAGTCCGCAGATGACGTGTACACTCGAGAGACAGCACACGGGGCGTACGGTGTAGATGAGCCAGGTCACCAACCCGAGCAGACCAGCACAGGCGAAGGCAAAGTTCATCACGGCCTCTCCCCCTACACGCACGCGTCGGTGATGATGAAGAAGAGGAAGAGGAGGGGTACAGAGTGAGTCGAGGATTGACCAAGCGATGGAGAGGTGGATGGGGTGGTAGTGCAGCCGTACGGTTCTCGGTGTCGATGATCTTCTCGACGTACTTCTTGTAGTCCTTGTCCTCGGTCGAGGGCGAGCCGCCTTGCACGAAGAGGCCGATGACGAGGATGATCACGGCCGCGAGCACGAGGAAGATGGTGTACTTGCAGCCCGCGAAGACGCGGCGGCAGAAGCTCACGTTCTCGCCGAACTCCTCGTAGAAGAAGTAGGTGAAGGGGATAACCACGAAGATGGCGCCCAGGATGCAACCGTAGAGCACTGCACCAGGCGTGCGCGATCAAAAAAGCGCATGGGAGGAAGAAATCAATGAGCATGTGAATTGATGAAAGGGAAAAAACAATGCTAATGGGAATCTCGCCTAGAAGGTACCATAGTACAGGATCTGCACGACGTCGAACATGGTGTTCCTGGTCTCCTCGGACATGCTCGTGTCGGAAACGACGTAGATATCGATGGGGATGAGGCCCAAGCAGAGCATGATGAGGCAGAGGCCCACCACAGTCACGAACTTGGGCAGCTTCGAATCGGCGCTCTCCTCCCTCGCGCGGGAGAGCTTCGGGTCAGAAAGATACACGACGATGCCATAGTTGAAGATGAGGATGCCCTGCAAGATGTAAAATGGTAACAATTAGGCCATTATCAAGAAATGGCAAGTGCTTTCGAAGATGGAGCGAACCAAGATGACAGCAGCAAAGATAATCCACGCGATGGCGATCATTTCGCGACCTGGAGCACGCCCGCAACACTTCTGCTTCTATTTCAGACTGTTGTATTTTGTTGTTTTTTCTTTTTTTCTTTTTGCGTTAGTTGTATTTTTTTAATTTTATTTTTATGACTCCCCTCCTTGTTCAACCCAAGAGCCGCATTTCCAGAGCGGACCTGACGAGTTGGACCAGATGGGGAACGTCGACCTTGTAGTCGAGGCCGCCCGACCCTTCCATGATACCTGCGCACGGCCAGTGACCACGCATCAGTACAAACCTGCGCGCACCTACACTTCCCACTCAACTGTGCTCACCTTCTTTTGTGAAATTTGCAACCACGCCGTGGTAGGCCGACCCCAGGCGCGCAGTGGTCACCATGTTCTGTTCATAGCCTCCCACGAACTGTTTGTCGTCAAACGAGTCAGATCAACAGTCGTGTGCGGTGGCGTGTGCGGTGCGTGTGGGCGCGTGCGATGGTGCGTGAGTAAACCAAGTATGCAAGGACGATATCAACGATACCTCAACAACGTGGGCTCCGGGCCTTGTGGCCGCCAAAAATACGAACCCTGTGGTGGTGGTGGTGGTGGTGGTGGTGGTGGTGGGCACTCTAGAAGTTAGATCTGGGCAGCGATCGCGGCAGTGTAGGTGAAGTGCAGCCAGCCACGTACCTGCGCCGTGGGGTCCGATCACGAAGTCGGCCTGCGCGAAGAGCTCCAAGGTCTCGCGCAGAGGCGTTGTGGGGAAGTGCTCCCTGTAGTTCAATTTAACATACCTCTCTCCCGTTCGCTCGCCGCTTTCGCTCTTCGTCTTCGTTCTTTTCAGCAGCTCGGCGGGGAAAGTGGTGGCCAGGTCGACCAGTGCGGCCTTCATTTGCTCGTAGTTGACGATGAGGCGGCCTCGCCAGTGGTTGGTCCGCACGCTGACCACAATGTTGACCTCGAGCGGGTGGTCAGCCGAGTAGCCCGGGACCGGCGCCAGGGCCGGAACGCCGAAGAAGGCCTCAACCGCGCCGCGCATGGCCGGGTCGAGCAGGGAGCTCCAGGGCCGATGGCCGGGGATGGCCAGAAGGCTCCACATGCCGCTGCGCAGCTGCTGGGCGAAGCCCAGGGCCGAGGTCTCGTGGCGGGACAGCTCCGGGACGTAGTAGATCACGTCGGCCTTGACGCCCACGTCATCTCCGCCCGTCGAAAAAATGATCCGTGATCTTCACACCGCACGACACACAGAGACTATAAGACTCACACAAGATGAGAGCGAAGGAGGAAGGGGCGTTACTTGGAGATGTTGCAGAGCTGGAGGAAGTGGTCGCCGAAGCTGCCGTCCCAATCGTGGGGGTTGGGAGAACCGAAGAGGAAGATGTGGATGTCGGGGTGCTGCTGGAGGTAGGGCAGCAGGGCGAAGAGGCGGTAGTACTGGTCCTGCACCATGTGATAGAACATATCCTGGTGCAGGTGGTAGACGACCGCCACCTCCCGCACCTCCACCAGCTGTGGAATTGCCTCCCTATTGCACGCCAAATACTTCACAAAATAAAAATAAATAAGAATTGTCAAATAACAACAAATTTAATTTGGATAGAATAAATAAATAAGAACAAAAAAAAACACAAATGTCAACAAAATTGTCGTGTAGTACCACCTACCTGGTACGTGGAGGGGAATCCGGCCTCGTTGGCGTCGCGGTTGAGAGTCTCCTCGACAAAGGCACCGGGGATGAAGACGTCGCGGGAGATGATGCTGCCGCGCGCGGTCACGAAGCCGTCCAGCACCACGCCCACCTGCGCGAGGCCAGCGTTGTCGGGCATCTTGCGCAGCCGCTTGACCTCCTCCTCCCGGCCCTCCGCCGCGGCGTTCATGACCGATCGCTCGGCGTAGTGGTGGCGCACGGCCTCGGCCGAGGGCACGAAGTCCGGCGGGACGTAGGTGAGGTCGTAGAGCTCCGTCAGCGATCGGTCGGTCCAGAGCGCGCAGGCCGGGTCGAAGTGGTCGCAGGTGAGCACCTGGAGGCCATCGGCCGAAATCGTCGGCGAAACCTCCTTGTCGAAGAGCCACGCCAGGCTGCGTGTCTGATCCGACTGTGTGAATGACACGACACGACACACGGTACGGCATACGACACGACACGACACGACACGACACGACACGACACGACACACGATGCACACGACACACACAAAACAAGAAAAGGTGGCGGAGTTTAACATTTCCGCGGCCGGTGCCTGGCACTCGGAGGCGCGTGTGTGTTAAGCTAAAGTTGTGGTGGTCGTTCAGTACCCACTGGCGAGGCTTCGGGGCGGCCTCGAGCCGTGTGTTGGCGGAGCTGCCGCCGCACAGCACCTCAACACGCGACGGCTGCGCGACAGACTTAGATGAAGTTGAGTTTGGGCGGGCTGGGGTGGCAAACCTTGGTCTGGGTGTAGTTACGGTGAGCGGCGAGAAGGGCCTCGTGGGTGCGGCTCAGTGCCGATAGTGGTGGTTGCGAGTGCGACTTGGTGGTGGTGGCGGGTGGTGATGGTGGCGAGTGTGAAGTGGAGGGTCGCCGGGCGGCGGGTTCTGTATCGGGCGCGGAGGAAGTGGGAGAGGGAGGTGGTGGTGCAGGTGGTGCGGCGCGGTCGAGGCTGGTGAGGTACTCTTTGAAGAGCTTCTGGGAATCTCCCAGTTGGGTGTGCCAGCCGTAGAACCAGGCCGAGTACACGAAGATGCCACCGCCGAACAGCAGCACGAGCAGAACCAGGCGAGAAAGTCGGCCGCGCAACCACATCTCCTTCTCCTCGTTCTTCTTCACCCCAGCAACAGCTTGTTTGGGCCTTCGTCTCGCGAAAAGAACGAATTTGTTTTACTGCAGTAATGAATAAATAAATAAATAATAATTCCGCGGAAACTGCGTCCGACGCGAGT